GCTATGGCCCTCGAGCGTCTGCAGGCACGCGCTCCATCCGTCGCTCAGAGCTGGTCTAATACTGATTGTTTTCGGCTCTTCGTGCTGGAACAGCTGTCTGATGAGACCACTTGTCGGACTGAACAGGAGTGCGGATGCATAGGTCTGAAGAGGGTAACCCTCGATTGCCCCTTTGTGGTACATGATGAATCGCCATGCGTCTTGAACAAGCAGAGCAAGTCTATCTTGGTCACGCATCTCCTACTAGCATTAGCAACGAGATTGCACTATGCAGACACACAGACACTGGACGACGTACCTGCACTAACAACCACAGTTTTGTCATTGATACCACACCATTCTCTACGCCTCTGCAAAGACTAAGCCCTTCTAGCCAGTAGAGATACTTCTTTCTTAGAAAGTTATCGACAACGTCTAGAGCTTCCAGGCCACCGACACTGCTCCCCAATGACTTGGGCTTTGACTCCCACAGATGATCGACCCAGTAGACGCACGGGTACCGTGATACTACTAATGGGTCTGCCTTGGGTAGTTTGACGTTCTTGATAGGATATCCTGGCGCTTCTAAATTGTACATGTCCCTGCGGAGCGTCCTAGAGAGCACTGCCAGCGACCTTAAGAATATTGTCTGATGAATGGCTTCGCTTCCGTCTGGAAACGCTTCGTTATAAGCCTTTGCAAAGAGGAAGTCCTTTGCGGACTGATGCACAAAGTAGACTATATCCTTTCGCAGGGTGAGAAACGACCCACATAAGCCGACAATCTCCCGCACCGACTCTAGGTCATCTAAATCCTCAAGCTGCTCCACAAGCGCAACTAGTTCAGGGACCGCAACAGGTCGGTACAGGATCGCAGTCGAAGCTAGCACCTGCCGGCAGATCTCGGCACCATCGGACTCGCTTATCTGGTCCATCATCCGCTTGTACAGGGAGTCTAGCTCAGGTGGGAATAGGGCTAGCTTGTTCAACACGTTCCACTTTGGTGTCGTTTTCAGGTCCTGGCACACTAACGCTACCCAGAGGAAGGTGTCGTTGGCGTTTAACCTCAGGTGCTGGAGCACGGCGAGCCGGACCTCTGCCTTGTACCCCTTTTCCTGCGCTAGCTGATCCACCTTCCGCTGTATAAAGACATCAACCGCTGCTGCGACTGAGTGCGCGTTTAGCTCAAGACTTAGCTTTACTTTGTGTCCTGCCCGCTCTAGCTGTGCTTCAATATCTGGCCAGTTACGGCTAGAAACAATCCACTTAACACGGGGGGACGCAGATGACTGCTTTGCGACAAACTCCAGCAGCTTCGTCCGATCCACGACGCACTCGTCCAGTGCGTCGATGATTAGGTACGTCATCGTAAGGCTTGGATTTTGTATCAAATCCCCGAAGATCTCTTCCAAAACTACCCAAGCATTCGCATCTTCGAACAAGGCCTTTCCGGCAAAGTCGTACTTCTTGCGGATGTGCGATGCAAGCGATGGTTTCTGAGTCACAAGCATATGCAGCAGCCCTCGTAGCGCGGCCGTGGCGCTGTTGATGCGCGCATCAGTCGCTTGATAGAAAAAATACGACAGATGGGCACTCTTAGGAATCGATTTTTGCAGCTCGTTAATAAGGCCGCAGAGCAACATCGTCTTGCCTTTACCAGGGTCTCCTTTTACCCATAGCAGCCGGCTGTGCGGGTCCTGTTGCCATTGCTGGAAAGTGGTGTTGTCCAGAACCCAGCGGTAGGAGTCTGCTAGCAGTCCACCCTTTGTATCCTCAATGCGCTGCTTGTCATTACGCGGGTCTGTGCTGTGTAGGTCTTGGACACATCGTTTTAAACCGTCGATCTCGTCCATAAGGCGCCTGAAGGCGCCAGCTGCACCTTCGCCATACACTGGCGCTAGCTCGACATCTAGAATCCCTTGCAGCGAGTACGCTCCGTCTTCTTCGCGTTTAGTCACACGGCCTTCTTTCCACCGCAGCCGCTCGTCAATGCTAAATTGGGAAAGAGGAGCTCCTTCTAGCGCTTCGTGTGGAATGCCAGTGATCCTTTTGATCAATGACTTTAGCGATGTCTTGTCACCAAGCTTCTCCCACTCTTGAGAGAAGAACTCGACGATGCTTGGTGCGACAAGCTCTTGGAGCGTCCAGCCACGAGTGAACCATCGACTTGACTTAAAGGCAGGCTCCCAAGTGAACTTGGTGGAAAAACTGCCAGCTATTCCCTTCTTTGTCGATACGTCTGATAGGTATACGTAGCACTTGGTCGCATTTTGGTACCAGCGAAACATAGACTGGATAGCTAAAGAGAGCTCAGCCTTGTCTGACTTGTCGATGCAGCATGTGTCAACCCAGAAATACTGCAGTCCATCTTGCTGTGCTTGCTCTGCACAGAAGCGAATCTTCTTATAGCCAGTCGTCTTCTTATAGCCAAGCACCTTCTTATAGCCAAACATCTTCTTGTAGCCAGACATCTCTATATCGCCAGGCTTGTGCTTGCTGTTGCCTTTTGCAAGGTCTGCGAAAGTCACCTCATCCGCATCTGCCCCCCAGGTATGTGAAAGAATTGCATAACGGGGTAGCGCGTCATCGTCGAAGCTGCTAATAGTAATGCGGCCATCTTCTCCGTACTTTAGAAGACGCATCGACTCATGTGAATCTGTGGATCTGTGGTGGACGCGTGGTGGAAACAAGACGCGAGAGGTTCGACGTGGCAGTCTAATAGGATGAGGGTGAGGTGGCTGTGCTGCGAGCGGTAGAGGTCGGCGTAGCAGGAGGGCAATAGACAGCCGTGCAGCTCTGAATGTCTTGATAGTAGAACTGGGTTCCCAGAAGCGCGAACTGAGTCGAGCGCGCTGTGTTTTATTCTTAATCTGGCGATGGCATCGCACAAGGCCTTAGGTGGGGTAGTTGTGGCTTCATGCGCATGCAGAACGTCAGCCGCGAGGCTGTAGAGCAGGCTAAGCAGCACACGTGATTAGACGCTTCAGAATGCCGCCAGCATGCGCCACAGCTACTTTTAGCAGTGTAGGCATAGCGTCAAGCATATTACGACAGCATGCAGCATATTTGAGCACGCTACTGCAGACTATCGTGAACCAAGAGCAGCTAGAGCTCCACGCCCTGCCAGTCGAGTTTTAGCAATGTTGCCGTTCGCACGGAGAAATTGCCGGAATGCAGACTCCCATCTTAACTTAACCTTCAGAGCCTTGCGATATTAATCTTTAACATCTGAATTTCCTTTCTAGTCATCCGAGGACTGAAGGAAGATTCGCCTCTACGAATGAACAAGGGGGTACTTGCAGAACAGCCGACAGCACGCTCAACAGCGCATTCTCCTCACTCGGAGGCTAATTCACTCAAAGAATAACATATCTAGAACAAAGTGCGTTGAGCTCAACTTCTCGCAGTTGCGCTGGCCTGGGGCCGGGACGAAAACGCGTCCCGGCACACAGGGTGTCCCGCTACGCAGGGATAGACGTTACCCACTTTGCATGCTAATGAAGCACGGTGCCATCCTGATCAGCATAGGTAGCGCCGAGCGCTTGCGCGAGCTGCTGCAGACACGGCCCAGAAGACATGTTACAAGAAAAGAACGTCAAATTCCTACGATACCTATGCACCCAACGCCTAATAACAAAAACCAAGAAATACAAACACAAGGGAACGATCCCGCTTCTGCCACACGTCTAATGCACAACCCACGCAAGTACAATTTTGCCTTTCATCCCTACAATTAAGTAACTTTCCGACCTTTCATGCCATCTCATCGCATCGTACATCCATCCATTTTTTCTTGACCTAGACAAACGTCTTGATCGCGTTGGCCATGACCTGTAACTGCTCCTCGTTAGCCATCGCACAACTCTCGGGGAGAAAAGTGAGACATACCTGATCCTTAGCCTTCATAAGCGTAAAGTGATTCCCATCCACCTTCTCAAACACAAACTCGCTACTGACCAACAACCGATCCCACCCATTCGTCCCAAAGTCGGTGCGGTTGTTCAACAGCCACTGCATGCTCTTGCTCTCATCGCCCCGGACCTCAGGCCGCGGGCTATCCGGGTACCGGCACACGCCGTGGCGCGCCCAGATAGCCAGGACCTTTGGCGCGCGGGATGCCGCGCTCGCGGGGATGGGCGTAGGCTTGTACTCGTCGAGGGCTTTGATGGAGGACGAGAAGTGCGAGAGGAGCCAGTCGGGGATCTTGGCGCCGTCGTCGCTGCCGATGAGGCCAATTTCGGCGAAGAAGTCATGCAGGCGGGAGGGTAGGGGCTCGAGGTCGATGGGGCAAGGCGAGTCGAGCAGGACGAGGGAGGATACTTTTTCGCCGGCTGCGAGGAGTTGGAGCGTCATTTCGTAGGCGATGACTCCGCCAGCGGACCAGCCACCGAGGTGGTAGGGACCCTGGGGTTGGCGGCGGCGGACTTCTTCGAGATACATGCCGGCCACACCCTTGATGCCGTTGGTCCACTCGGTAGGGTAGGTCATGTAGGGGCAGTTGAGGCCGAAGACGGCGACGGAGGGATCGATGGCAGGGATGCTTGCATAAGATGTAGCAGAGCCGGAGCCATCAGGGAGCAAGAAGAGGGTCTTGGAGGCAGTGCGTGGCTTTCCCTGCATAAGAATGGAGACAGCGCGCCGGGCTGGGCCTGAAGCAGGAGCATTGGAGCTTGAATTGCTCGATGACTTCTTGGGGGCCACCTTGGCAGGCTTCGGGGCTTCTTTCTTAGGGTTAAGGAACTCGGCGATAGCGTCCACAGAGGAATGGGTCAAGAAAAAGTCAGACTCAAGCTCGATCTCGGCCTTCTCCCTCAGCACACCGCAGAGGGTCAAGTTCATCAACGAGTCGATACCAAGGGACAACAGGTCGTTGGAGCCGACGACTTCTTCCAGGGGAACACCCATCTGTTCGGAGATTGTCTCGCGGAAGAGCTGAAGCAGATCACCCTCGGCAGTGGGCGCATTGACGAGCTCGTAGTCGGCCGGGGTGGCAACAGATTCAGGTGTGGCAGCCTCATCGGCAGACGATTCGTCGTCATCAGTGACAAGTACAGGTTCTTCATCCGAGGAAGCACTTTCACTGGCGTACGTCTTGTTCAGGTAGTCCTTGAGCTCTCCGATGGTCTCGCAGTCCGTGAAAACGTGTGCGGGAAGGTCAAGGTCCGCAGCCTCGCGCAGCTTACCGAGAATTTGGAGAGAGAGCAGAGAGTCGATGCCCAAGCTTGAGAACTCGCAGTCATCGCCAAGCTCTTCTTGGGGAAGTTCGGACTCGGCAGAGATAACATCCATAACTCTAGCAATGATTGCGGAAGCAGAAGAAGAGGCGGCGGCGGGCTTGACAAGCTTAGCTGTGATGGCCTTGTTCAGCTTCCCGGCATCAACCGCGACAGGGGCCGGCTTGGGAGCAACGGCGGCCTGGGCTACGACCACTGGCCTGGGAGCAGCAACAATTGCACGGGGCGCGGCAGCAGGCTTGGGAGCAGTGGCAGCGACAGGCTTGGTGGCGATAGCTGAAACTCCTTGAGGTGGGAGGAAAGTGTTGAGTACAGTGCGAGGGATGCGCTGGAACTTCAGACCAGCACACACGCCGATGATCTTGCCACTCTCAAAGAAATAGACGTCACCAGCGATGACGTTGGCCTCACCAGTCTGCTGCATCTTGACATAGGCGTTGTATGTCTTGTCCTTAGACAGAGGCTCCGCGAACTTGATAGCCTTCCAGCCGTGCGAGATGTGCACGAATTTGCTGGTATCGATGGCGGTCGTACCGTTCAGGATGAAACCACCAAGATGCGCAAGACTGTCAATCCAGAAGGGGCTGACGTGATAGTTTCCATCCTTCTCTGTGGTCTGGAATTTTACGGTGGAGGTACCTTCGAAGTTGGCTCCATCGATTATGACCTCTTCCATGCCCTGGAAAGGCGTCTTGTAGTCCACAAAGGTGGAAAAGAGCCGATAAGCAAGCCCACGAGACATCTTGTCCGCCTGGTTTTTGGCTAACCTCTCCTTGAGGGTATCAATGCGACCTTCCAGGAGATAGGAAATCGAGTTCCAGCTGTTGGTCCACGTAGTAGGGTCCTCGTACGTAACAACACAGTTGGCGTGGAGAGTGACCTGGTTGTTGGCATTGGTGTCGATGCTCTGGAATCGAAGCTTGGCCTCGCCCTTGGTCAGGTCTACATCCGCAGTCACCTCCAGGATACGGCCCTCAGCCTGGTTCTTCAGGATCAAAGGCTTGAAGACCTCCATATCGTTGCAGCTGACACCGGGAACGGCAGTTCCGGGGTTGATCTCCTTCCAGGCATAGTCACCAATGGTCAAAGCCATATCAGCGTAGATGGAAGACGGGCAGAGGCTGGTATTGTTGACTTGGTGACCAGAAAGAGCAGCGCGGAAGACCTGGTCGCTGACATCGGATTCAGTGACGATCTTTCCGGTGGGGCCATCGTAGGTCTCGGAGACGATCCTGTGGACCGAGCTAGTCGTAAGCTTGGAGCGCGCAGGAGCAGCAGGCTTGACATTCTCGATCTTCTGGACGGTAGTACGCGGCTCAACCTTGTGCAAGCACCAGTCGTTAACGTACTGAATCCAGTAGTTCTTGTTATCGAAGCTGTACGTTGGTAGGCTGAGCAGCTGATGGGCGGAGTCGAAGTCGCGGTGGAACTCTCCAAAGTCGACAGGCACGCCTGAAGTGTGCAAGGAAACAAGAGACTTGGAGAGGCTCTTCCAAGAATCCTCATTCTTATTGAGGGAACCTACCGTGTTGATCGATGTCGACAAGGTGCTCTTGACCATACCAGAGCAGATAGGGTGCGGGCCAACTTCAACGAAGATAGACTTCTCGCTAATGAAGCCCTCGTGTTTGGCGGTCTCAAGAGCCTCCCCAAAGTTGACAGTCTCCCTTGCGTGGCGGCAGAGGTATGAAGCATTGAAGACACCCTGGTCCTCCACAACCTCACCGAGCAGCGGCGAGATGACCGGGATGGTGGGAGTGCTGAATACAACACCACTGGCAAGCTCCTCGAATGTATCGAGGATAGGGTCGACCTGAGAAGAGTGGAACGCGTACGGAAGGTTGAGACGAGTGGTCTTCATTCCATTCTTGGTCAGGGTCGCGATAGCAGAGTCGATTTGCTTCACAGAACCGGCGACGACCGTCTCAGTGGGCGAGTTCAAGCAAGCAATCTCGTACTGCGAGCCTTGCAGAGTCGCTTCGACATCCGAAGCTGAGCCCTTGATAACGAGCATAGCATGGGTGTTCTCAGTGCACTTCTCCAATAGAAGGCGGGCTCGCGCTCCGACAAGGTAGATGGTGTCTTCCATTGTCAAAACACCTGCAGCGTAGAGCGCAGCATACTCTCCAAGGCTGTGTCCAGTGACGATGGAGGGCTTGACGCCCCATGACTTCCAGAGGTTCAGCAAGCCAATCTGAACCGACACCAAGGCAAGCTGGGTTTCCAGAGCAGTGAGCTGTTCTGTGGGAGTGCCATCGAGCGCGGGAATGAACGAACTGAAGCCTTGAGCCTGTGCAAGCTGGTCAAGATGGAGGATCGTAGACCGGAATATCTTGGACTGCTCGAACAGAGTCTTGCCGAGGCCAGCATAGTACGCTCCTTGTCCAGTGAAGACGAACGCTGCCTTGGGGGTCGCTGACGGCACGGGTGAGAAGTTGCCTTCATCAGCCTTGGCCGAAAGAAGCGTCTTCAGCTCATTGAGGCTAGACGCAGTCACACCAATGCGGTAGTTGTGGTGCATGCGGCGCGCGGTCAAAGTATAAGACAAGCTGGCGAAGTCTTCAGCTGAGGCACTGGCAACGAATGCAGCGAGCGTCTTGGCCTGTCGCGACAACGAGGAGAGCGATTTCGCAGAAGTGACGAATGGCAAGAACGTGCGAGGGTCGGTCCCTAGAGGCTTGGTTCGGGCAGGGCCATCTCGGATGAGCATAGCGGTGTTGCCACCAGCAGCGCTGAAATTGTTCAAGAACACAGTTCTGGACTTGCCCTCAGGCCTGGGGTAAGGAGTGTTCTCAAAAGGCACCTTGATGTTGCGTACAACCAAGTCGGGAAAACTCGGGTTGAGCTCATTCTTGATGCCAACATGCTTGGGAATAGTGTTCTTCTGCAGCATGAGAAGCACCTTGATCAATGCTCCAATACCAGCAGCGGCTTCACCGTGACCGATGTTTGACTTCACTGCTCCAATGTGCAGAGCCTTCTCGGGCTCGGTACCACGAGCATGTTCGGGGGCAAAGACGGTTGTAACTGATCCGATCTCAGCCATATCACCAGCCTGAGTTCCAGTTCCGTGCATCTCAACGTAACTGACGTCCAACGGGTTAACGCCAGCCTCGTGGAGGACACTCTGGTAGAGGTAGGCCTGGTTTCCAGCGTGAGGGTGCGTGATGGAGATGGCGTCGGCAGAATGATTGGTCGCGGTACCCAGAATGACACCTAGGATGTTGTTCTTGTCGTTGATAGCGTCATCCAATCGTTTCAATACCACTGAGCCAACGCCATCGGCTCGGCAGTATCCATCTGCTTTGCTGTCCCAAGTCTTGCAAGAGCCCGTCTTCGACAGAAACTGGCCGCGACTGAGACCAGCGAAGATATCGGGCGCAGTAAGGATGTTGGCGCCGCCCGCAATCGCGGTATCACACTCGCCAGACCTCAAAGACGAGCATGCGATCTGGATCGCCGCCATGCTCGAAGAGCAAGCTGTGTCGACACTGTAGCTAGGACCGCGGAAACCAAAGTAGTAGCTGATGCGACCAGGAGCAAAGGCTCGTACTCCTCCGGGAATAAAGTATGTGCCAATGTTTTGCGCCGCATTGACCTCACGCCAATCGTCAGATGTCTGCCCGTAGAAAGTACCAACGCGATCCTGCTGCGATGACGGAGTCGAGTTGAGTACGAAACCGGATTGTTCGAGCGCCTCGTATGCAGTAACAAGGGCCAAACGGTGCATGGGATCAGTTTGGGTAGCTTCAGTAGGTGACATGTGGAAAAAGCGGGCGTCGAATAGACCGGGCTCCTCGATAAATGCACCAAACGGAGTGTGACTGGTGTTGTTGACCTTGCCATTGGGGTCATGATGTGTCTCGGGGTCGAAGCGGTCCTTAGGAATTCTCTTATGCATGTCCTTGCCTTGCACCAAGACTTGCCAAAGCGCTTCGACGTCGGCCGCACCAGGGAAGCGGCCAGACATGCCCACAATGGCAACGTTCGAAGTATTTTGGACTGGCTTCGAGCCAGTGTCGGCAGTTGACCATTGGCCGAGATCTTGAAGTGCAATCGACTTGCCTCCCGACTGAATCGCAGCCTGCAGGCTCTTCGACGCTTGAGATGCCTCGAAACTGGCGAGGGTGGTAGCTTGCGAGAGGAGCGGGTCGCTTGCTACAGACTCTGTGATCGACGACCATTGCACGGGTCTTCGGAGAATGTCTGTGACGGCTTCAGTGAACAGGGCACTTGCGGTTGTAGCGTCTGAACGTTTGCCAGTGCTGGCGGATATGGTTGCCCTCCGGGGGGCAGGAATTTGGCTCAATGCATCGGACCGTGACTGTGTTACTTCCAATACTTGCTCCTCGCTGTAGATGCCGGCCGCATGCCAGACTCCAACGCTCTCCAACTCTTGCACAGCTTCAGATTGGAAAAGTCGGGAGCTCCGCCTGAGCCAGTCGAGGCGTGCGGGGCTGCCGTTAATTGTGCTTGCAGATTCACTAACAGTAGAGACAAACGCACGGCTGGTCACCGGGAGATTCTAGATGCGTCAGTGAAGATCTGCTACATTTCTTGCTCAAAAACTTACAGCTGCTTCCTGCAGACTTTGGAGCTCGGTCTGAATTTCTTCAGGAGTACCTGGAACAACGAGGCTCCAGCTCGCATCCGCCTCACCAGCACGTCGAGCCGGGATTGAAAAGTTCTCAACAACTGCTCCCGTGCGGAATGCCAATCGTACTGATTCTACAGCAATGTCCGGTAAGTCGATAATGTTCGCCGCGCAAGCCACGGCGGCAGCAACCAGCTGGCCAAGGCCAGTTCCGACAAGAAGGTCATCTGTGGTATCCACGCTGCTGTTGTCTTGCTCATGGTGGCTGCAAGTCCAACAATCAGCGAATGGCATCATCTGTGCGCGAAAGCATTGTGTACATACCCGATGAAGTTGGTCACCTCAGCAATCACTAGAAGTGCGCTGGAGACTTCTACGCGCTGAATTTTTGAGGCGGCATGCCTCTCGCTCAAATCATATACGCTGTTGAAAGGCGGTATCTGATTCCTGACATCTCTGGGGAGGTTCCACACTTCCGCTCGGAGCGCAGAGTATGCCTTCTCGAGGAAGGACTTAACAAGTACTGTCCTCTTTTTCGCTTCGTGCGCTCGTCGAATGAGGCCTCGGGTATCTGGTAGCTGGTCTGGGAACAAGGAAACAGACATGGTTAGAAAAGAACGACGAGACACAGAAGCAAGAATCCAGAGAATGTAGGAGATGAATACTGTGACAGGGTAGCGTGAGAGAAGTAGACGAGCAACAGAGTAGCCAGACGGGATATATGGCATAGTCTACGCTGGGAGACCTTTCGCGTCGGGTTTGGGTTTGCAGCATGTTGTGCGGTTGGTCCCGGTACGCTTCCGAGATACACGTCGGTCAACCGCAATCTGACCGTTGCCACGCGAGTTTCACGGCTCATTACCAACTTCGCACGAGCATGAGCCTCAGTCCTTGGTGGCAGATACGTTTAGACACGAAGTCACGTTGCTAGCTATGCTGGATGTGGGGAGCCTCACACGCATTGTGGCCTGGTGTTTCGCTAAGTCCTTGTTCGCGTGTGCAACTGGAGACGGTCTTTCTGACGACTCTACCAACTGTCACTCTTCGGGTCATCAAAAGCATAGCTATGCGCCCAGCAGGATGGTGTCAGACGGTTAGACTAGCCGAATGCGGTATGTGTCTAGGCCATGTGGGTCTTTATGAGGAGTCGGATTCCGAAGTAAGCGAAATTCTCAAATGCGCAAAGAGCTTCGGGATACCTGTGCACCCGGTCTAAAGTCATTCAGCGAATCGAAATGACATCCCATGCCATGCTGTTGGTCTGCTCATGTACGGGGACCAAGCCCGTCGTGACACTTCGCATGATTCATGAGCAACTCAGGTTTACAGTGGAGGATCTGGAAGTATCCGACGCTATGCACAATGCGCAACATATCAGAAGGCATAGGAGGCTTCTGGGTCGTAGGCCAGTACATCGTGACTGTGTTCAACCTGCAGTGGTTGCATCAATGCGATCGAAGCCCTAGGCTGCGTCGACTCTAATCGCTCGATGCGACTACGACGAGTGGCAGATTACTAGACTACATCCACGCTGTCAGCTTGGTCGTCCGCAAGATAATTAGTAAAGAGTGGCAGTGGTCGGCCTTCGGTGACGTCTGGGTTCTGACCGGGGGTTTACCGACCGTGAAGAGTCGAACCAACAACAACAGCAACCGCTGGCATGGCAGCCTATGGTACGACAATCAGGAGACACATTCGTACTAGACCAGCATATCAACGTTGTCCGTCGCAGTGTCTTTAGTACTTTCAACTTCTACTTACCATCCTCAACAACAGCAACCATCGAATTCACCAAGATGGCCGCATCTAATGTGACTGGTCTTGCCACGAAGTTGAGGAGTACTCTGAAGAACTCCACCGTACTGACGCCCGACTCGGAAGGCTACGCTCAGGCAATCATACGATGGAGTGACGAGATGGAGAAGAGGGCGGTAAGTCATGCCTAACGCAGAACTGTGTAGCGCATAGTATGCACGTTGCAGTTGCTCATTGTCTTCTAGGGCATCGTCGTATACCCTGAGACAGCAGAAGATATCTCAACCGCGGTACTATTGTCAAAGGAGTATTCTGTCCCACTTGCTGTATGTGGCGGCAAGCACGGCTCCAGTGGCGCCGCCTCCATCGAGGGTGGCCTGCAGATTGACATGGGACACATGCGCGATGTGTCTATTGACCTAAGCAACAACACCGCCAAGGTTCAAGGTGGTTGTATCTGGAAAGATGTTGACGAAGCTGCTGCACCTCACAACCTTGCCATGATTGGAGGTACCATCAACCACACTGGCGTTGGTGGGTTGTAAGTATTGCACCAGCCATGAGGCATAACCGGGCTTGACTGATGACGCATAGGACTCTTGGAGGTGGCTACGGATGGTTGACTGGGCGTCACGGTCTTACCATCGATGAGGTTCGTGCAGTGACGATGGTCCTCGCTGACGGCCGCATCGTCACTGCGTCTAGCGATGAGAACCAGGACCTTTTCTGGGCGGTTCGTGGAGCAGGTCACTGCTTTGGTATTGCTGTCGACTTCACGTTCCAATTGCACCCCCAGGAAAACCCCGTGTGGAGCGGACAGATGATCTTCCCGGCATCCAAGGCCCTCACCACCGTCGTCAACTTCGCCAACAACCTCGTCGCGACCACGGATGGCGCGTCTGCCATGGTCATGGGTATCACGCAACCTCCATTCATGCAGGAGCCTGCCGTTGTTGCGACTGTGTTCCACGACGGTCCCGAGGACGAAGCCAGGGAGATCTTCAAGCCTTTGTTGGACCTGAATCCAAGGATCAACACCACCAAGGTACGCCCGTACGTTGAGCAGAACAGTCTCATGAACGGCCCCGTCGACTATGGCAACCGCAAGCTGTCCAAGGGAGTGCCGTACACGCTGCCTCTGAGCCCCGACTTTGTTCACTCGCTGGTTGGCGAGCTGAAAAAGCTTCACGCGCAGGTTGATGGCTCCACCAAGTCGATTATGCTGTTCGAATTTTTCCACATGGGCAAGGTCTTGAGGCCATGGCAGGACATGGCGCACGCCATCCGCGGCGAACACAACCAGGTCATGATTGGCCCATTCTGGCTGAAGCCAGAGGACGACGCGACGGTTCGATCGTGGGCGACGAACACAGCTGCCGTGGTCCGCGGCGAGCTCGAGCGTGTGAACGGCAAGGAAGTCGCTGACTCAATAGGCGAGTATGGAAACTATGACGGTGAGTGCTCTCTTACGACCGTGACAATATTAGTAGCTGATAACCCGATACAGGTCTCTTGGTCGACCCCCAACGCATCTTTGGCAAGAACCTGCCGCGCCTCGCAGAGCTCAAGCAAAAGTACGACCCAGAGAACGTGTTCAACAGGGGATACCAGCTTGTGGCTGCGCCGTGAGCAAGGAAAAATTTAGCTTCGTGTAGATAGATTGATAGATTTAGCGCTCATGAAAAACGACTCATCAGCACAGAAACCCCATTCTCGACATTGACGTGAAGATGAGAGTGAGGGTGAAAAACAACGTAGACGCGTCTTAGCGCGTAACACTAAAGCTCTGGGTTTCGTCGGCCCCTGCCCGCTCCAATTGCCTCCGTCCTCTGCAACAATGCCTCGGCGAAGATATTGTGCAGACAGACAACAACGCATTACGGTTCGCTTTTACAGACATCAAAGGTGTTCAAGATGAAAACATCGCCTGCGCTGTACCCAAAACAAATCGCGCCCATGCCAGAAATTATTACTATAACTTCAAATCTGGCATGCTTGACTATCTCGTCATACACCACCACTCTCCACGAACTTACGCAAAATCTCGGTGTAGCCAGTCTGGAACAAAGGGGCCAGAGTACAAGCATCTGGCTGTACCTCTTCAATCCCTAAAACGTACCATTGACGCCGAAAAACCAGTATCTTGAAAGTGGGCGTACAGCACCAGAACCCTCGTCCATGGGCTCCGAACACGCGATTCTTGCCACCGCTTGCCTCGCTGAGAGTTCCAGTTATGTTACAATTTTTGATAGCCGGGCAGTCAACTGTCCGCAACAAGCACCGAGTGTATCTTTTGCAAATTCGCAGGTAGAAAAGACACCTCCCACATGCCAAATGAATTTGGACACGCACATCCAGTCCCCGATTACTGTTGTCCACGACATATGTACTTCTGGAGAACTCAAAACTAGCGCCTGAAAATCTAGTAGGAAGAATGACTGTTCCCTTTCTAGGGAGGACTCCAGTTTCATGGCAGCGTTTCGCGATCGGCGGGCTCAAAGGCGGCATCTTGCACACTGATACGACAAGAGTATCTCAGACTACAAGAAATCAGGGACATGGATAGAAGGATCGACTAAGCTATGAATACAGAATAGAATCATGATAACGCAGCTCTCTTGTATGGGAGTGAAATTGAAAGGGAACCATCATCGCCTTCCAGCGCCACGAGGAAATTAATCAGCGTAACCCCTCCCCGGAGCTACCCCGCTTTAGTCTTCCATCCAAATGCTTCCGTTCTGCCTGATCATCCGAACGCTCGCACAAATTGTGATGTTTCCAGTGCATGTACAGTCTAATACAGTTCCTCACGTTCTATCTTACCTTCTACCACATACATTCTCCGTACGCGGCCTTGAAGCTCGTCACACCGCCCGCCTAACTTGCCTTTGCCGTGAGAGCCTTGAAGCTCGCGAATGCACTGAAGGGATACAGTGGCTCGCCGTCGTGGGTCATGTTTTGGTAGCTCCACGACGGAGTCGTCCACGACATCCAGGCCAGAACCCAAACAAAGCCAATAGCCTTCTTCCACAAAGCGGTGGACTTGCTGTTGCTCGGCCCGGCGACTCTGTGGTAGGTGCTTTCGACGAAGTCTTCAATGGTGATACCAACGGCCTGCGTCACAAACAGCTTCCACGCCGTGTTCCTCGCGAGCGGGATGCCCGCTGTGTTATCCATCAGTGTGTGGACAAAGCCGGATAGCGCGAACGTCAGGTAAGCGCTGGTGTAGCGGCCGAACAGGGATCCCTTCGGCAGGCGAAGGACATCGTAGGCGAAGAAATTGGCGGTGCTGCTGAGCGGGTTTCGCAGACCAGTGTGCCAGAACACCCTGCGGACTGGTTAGTTGGGCTTTGGCGCGGGGCGTTGTCGCACACTTACGACCAAAATCTGCGCAGATTGTACGAATCGAACACGCTACCGAAGTATGGTGGCCAGTCCGCGGGCTTGGTCAGGAACGTCGCCACGCCGAACCAGCTGAAGAGGTTGTAGAACAACCCAATGTTGAGGCGCAGGATAGTCCACCAGAGCACTGTGCTGAAGATGCGCGTGCCAATGGTCGCGCCATTGAGAGTATGTGCTGGCGGGAAAAGCAAGGCCTTTTCTGCTGAAAAGTCCTCAGGATCAGGCTTGGGTTGCTGGCTGAGGAAATCAATCACTAGAAATGCGCCCACGACAGCAAGACCTCGCCTCACGAGGAATGCAGTCCTGGAAGGCACGTAGCTGGGGTCCTTGTTGGACCACTTGGGAATATTTGGCGTTTGCTTCGGCAAGCCAATGGCGCGGTAACTGAAGACAACTTTGTGCGCCCATCCAAGTGCTCTCCAAGACAGGATGCCGCTTGTGTCTTGCGCATTCGCTTTGGTCTTGGTTGATTCCCGAGATACGAGACGCTCAGACTTTTCCTTGCCATCCTGGCCGAGATAGATGCGGCGCAGCACGAGCGCGTCGACGGCCGTGAGAAACAGCAGGTAGAACGGGCCTTCGGGAAAACTAGCACGGGACCTGTTCGCGATGAAGCGCGGGACGGCGGTGCGGTAGGCGAAGTAGCCCAGAGCAACGATTGGAATGATGGCCAAGCGCAGGGGCGAGCGGGGGTGCAGGTACATTATGCCCAGCATGGGTAGATAGAAGGTGCCCGCAATCAGCTCGACGGGATGCGCGGCATAGAAGCTCGCGACTGATTCCGGGAGACGCCCATAGAGGCAGAGGAGCAGGGCGGGGACATAGGCGGCGAGCACAATGGTCAGCGCCTCGCCCTTGGGGATGGGCGTGTACGGGGCTTTGGGAGCCTTGGAGGCCATCGCGAAACTGAAGCCGCCTCACGTGACGCTGCGGTGCGCGGTATTGATGCGGCAGAAATGAAGATGCAAACAAAGCAATCGATGCAAGGGCGCGTCCCCGTACAGTGGATCGCGCAGCTCTTTTACCAGCCGTGGCGCCATTTTGCCTGAGATGTCGCGGTCAGGGTGGAGCATGGACTTCGGGCGTCGCCAGCTGCTGCAATGTCATGTTTTGGCGCGATGCCAGCGCGGACGGAGGTTCACATATGGCAGAGACAAAGAGCGCATGACGGAGGTGGGGGTGGGGTGGATCGGCCGCTGGGCCCGTTGCTGGGTAAGCGGTCGGCGTCGCGCTTTGTGCCTTACACATGCACTATCCGCCCCCCGCATGCCAGCCAACCACGACGCCTGCCGCCGGCCACCCGCGTCGGTGTCGCCAACCTCTTGATCCCCGAAGCCGTCGGTTGCCAAGTCAGCAAGATTACGGCACGGGCATGAGGCAGCGTGGTGTGCCTCAGCGCTGGATGCGTGCCTCCCTGCTAGGGCAGCCGCCCACCCAATCCGGGCGCGGGGTGCAGCCTGCTGTCGGCGTTCAGGACGACGCGAACGTCCCACCCATTTGCAACTGTGCCTCACGCGCGACTCAAAGAAGCTCAAAGAAGGTCGTGCCTGCATCTTCGCTCCACCACGCTGAAAAATCGTCTCGGGCTCGCTCGCAATGAAGGCATTCAAAAAGCTGCTCGGCCGCTCCTCCAAGAGCTCCAAATCCACCACTCAACCCACCGCAGCTCCTTCCAAAGCTCAATCGACTCCCACCACCGCAACCAAACCTCCTCCCGCAACAGCCACTACACCCGCAACCACCACCATGGCCAAGCAAACCATCGTCGTCTTCGGTGCTACTGGCAAGCAGGGCGGCTCCGTCGTCAAGACCATCCTCGCCGACCCCAAGACCGCCGCCAAGTACCACGTCAAGGCCGTCACCCGTGACACCACCAAGGAGTCCGCGCAGAAGCTCAGGGACCTCGGCGCTGAGGTCGTCTCCGTATGTCAAGTTCCAACTCGCTCCAAACTACATCCTCACTGACAATGGCAGGCCGACTTGAACGCCCCCGAGACCCTGGCTCCCGTCCTCGAGGGTGCCTATGGCGTCTTCGCCGTCACCAACTTCCTCGAGAAGATGGACGCCGCACCCGAGATCACCCAGGGCAAGGCCGTCGCCGATGCCGCCAAGGCTGCCGGTGTCCAGCACCTTGTTTGGTCTTCTCTCCTCAACGTCACAAAGCGTACGTCTACCTGTCCGATCCAACGTGGTCATTGCTAACACCGTGACCAGTCACCGAGGGCAAGCTCACCAACGTCCACCACTTCGACAGCAAGGCTCAGGTTGAGGAGTACATCCGCGAGATCGGTGTCCCCGCCACCTTCTTCCTCGCCGGCTACTTCATGTCCAACCTGCCCGGCATGTCCATCTCTGAGCAGACCGGCTGGACCCTGAACCTGCCCACCACCAAGAACGCCCCGATCCCTCTCTTCGACGCCGAAGACGACACCGGCAAGTTCGTCAAGGGCATCTTCGAGAACCGCGAGAAGCTGCTCGGCCAGCGCGTCCTCGGCGCCACCGCCTACTACACCCCCGCGCAGCTCATCGAGGAGCTCAAGGAAGTATACCCCAAGACCTCCGCGTCGGCCGCCTACAACGAGCTCCCCGGCGACGTCTACAAGGGCATCCTCGGCAGCTTCGGCCTCCCCGAGAGCTTCCAGCAGGAGATGCTCGAGAACCACCAGCTCTTCGATGTGGCTGGTTACTTTGGCGGCGAGAAGCTGGATGCCAGCCACTCGATTGTCGATGAGCCCCTGACTACCTGGAAGGAGTACATTAGCAAGAGCCCCGTCTTCGCTGCCGTCAAGAACTAGAGTGTTTGAGGTTTCAATAGTATAGATATCCGAGCTTTGTGGCTCATCGGGCTATGGCTAGTTAGAGTAATGAATTTCATGTGTTAAACAATTGTTCTCCGATCTTCTTGGAGTGAATGATGCTGCAATCTTATAGTGGTAGCACGTCATGATTGATGTTCGTGGGGCTGCTCGGTCTGCGAATAGTGACACGCGTCATATTTGACACAATTACACTACTTGAGCCTGGTTGTCGACCTCCGACTCATGCAAACTCTAGTTCATAACAAAGTTTTCCTTTTTCGATAGAGGCTAGACATAGCAATGCCACTCAGAAATATTCTTCTACGAGCATTGGAGAAGAAATGCATATATTTGCAATCTCTATGTTCGGATGTTGGCGGTCAAGGAAAATGCCAAGCGATTTATGACTGTCGACCAATGTGAGATCCAGTTCTTCCTGCCTGCGAGATTCATTCCATTCTATCTAATATAGTTGAAGCGTGCACCATCCTCCCATTTGCGTGTGTAGACAATGCTCTAGGAGGGGTTGAAATCTCTATTAGTCGGTATTGGTGTTGCTGTGGGTTGACGAGTTGATGTCAACAAATGGCTTGGGAAGCGGCGTCTGCGTTGATACTATGGCATCGGGACCTGTCCTTACACGAGTATCTGACGATTGAGCGACAATTTGATTCTCATCAAAGACGCAACATAAGGTGAGCGAAATTATCTTAGAAATTGCTTTTTTTGGGTGTCAAGCTTGTGGAGCGGTTTCTGTGTCGTTCGCGCTTGCGCCGATCCGATCTGCGCTTCTCCTACAAAGGTTAGCGTGAGATGTTAATGCCCGTTCCTCGCTCCGAGACGTCCAATGCCCGCATCCTCAAACACGAGCCCAACCGACCCCACCTTATACACCACCCATGCAGGCTCGTGATCATAGCCCAGGCCGCCAGCGCCTTCCAGAAGCTTTCGTCGGGTCGTCTAGCGTCTGCCTAGCCCGACGACAGTTAATCCCGAGTACCGTTTTCGCTTCTTACTAGGACATGGATGTCAGTCGCCGACACTGTTGGTTGATGTTGGCTACTAATGAATATGTACCCTTACAACTCTCGGCTGACGGCTGACAACACACAATATGCCACCAACAGCGAAAGCAGTGCTTAATCTTTTGGATGTCGGTGTTGTTGCTCCCCGCTTACTCGAGTGCGCCTGCGTTGGCGATAGCCGAGCGGCACTAGGTTGCATCTCTTCCAGTTCCAGAGGTAGAACGCTTTACTCGGCCTACGCTAGACGAAGCAGAGCTCGCGGAAGGCCGACACTATGCTTTGTACCTGCAGCGGAGTATGAAGATCTGACGAGCAATGGGAAACGCGTGTAGGTGCCGCCATGGGACTACCGAGAGATGCTCAATGCAAATAGCAAAGCACATACAATAAAACGACTTCGCCAGGTGTCGCCCAATTTTCTTCATTGATTAGACAGTGGGATTCACTTCTCTCATCCCGAATTACCTATTCAACCCTGGTCTGCTCCAGTGTGTTTCATTTCTCTTCTATCAATTCGTTTTATACCCCTAGACAAAATGTCTGCTCTCACTGAGCTCGCGGCTATCGCCTCCACTGAGGCTCAAAAGCTCACCAACTACATCACAAGCAACAACCTCCCTCTGCCCAGCTTCGAGGTCGGCGCCCCGGGCGAGCTCCCCATTCCCTCAACGGATGAGGACCTCCAGGCTTCCCGCATCAGACTGCTCAAGGCCGCACAAGACCTCCAGGCTCTTGCTCTCGGCCCCGCTGAGGACTTGAGGTGGAAGGCATGGAACCAGTACAATGACAACATCTCCCTCCACGCGATCATGCACTTCCGCCTCCCTGAAGCCGTCCCCGTCAATGGCACCGCCACCTTCGCCGAGATCTCCCAGAAGACCGGTCTCAAGGAGCCCCTGGTCATGCGCTTCGTCCGCCACGCCGCCATCTACCACGTCTTCAAGGAGGTCTCTTCTGGCGTCGTCGCCCATACCGCTGGCTCCGTCGCCCTCCTGGACGGCTCCTCCGTCCGCGACTGGCTCGACATGACCTTCGAAGAGTGGGGCCCCGCCTCTGTCAACGCCGTCAAGCAGCTCATCCAGAGCCCCGACAGCGGTGAGCAGAGCGACGCCGGCTTCGCGCTTGCCTTCGGCGGCCAGACCATCTTCGAGTTCCTGGCACAGCGCCCCGACCGTGCGCGCGTGTTCGGACTGTCGATGAGCAACTTCTCCAAGGGTGCCAGCCACAAGGTCGAGCACCTCATTACCAACTACGACTGGCCCGCTCTCGGCGAGAGCACCGTTGTTGATGTAAGTTGCCCTCTCCCTCATTAGGCCAAGACGCTCAATGTTAATCCACCCCAGCTTGGCGGCTCCCACGGCCACATCTCCCTTGCCATCGCCGCTGCGCACCCCAAGCTCAAGTTCGTCGTCGAGGACCTCCCCGGTACTACCGCCCAAGGCGAGGAAATGCTGCCCGCCGAGTACAAAGACCGCATCTCTTTCATTGGCCACAACCTCAACGACCCGCAGCCCTACCACGGCGCAGACCTCTACATGTTCCGCTCGGTGCTGCTCAACTGGCCCGACCAGTACGTCGTCAAGTTCATCAAGAACCTCGTCCCCGCGCTCAAGCCGGGGGCCAAGGTGCTTATCAACGAGGGCGTGCTGCCGCAGCCCGGGGAGGTCAGTGACTGGGACTACAAGGTGCTTACGTCGCTGGATCTGTGCATGTTGGCCATGTTCAACAGCAAGGAGCGCACGGTCGAGGAGTGGGAGGGTCTCTTCAAGGAGGCGGATCCCAGGTTTGCGTTCCAGTATGCACGGAAGCCCGAGGGCTCGCTGCTGTGGATCATCGAGGCGGTGTGGCAGCCTACTCCGAGCCCGTAGACGTAGTCAAGGCGCGGTGACAGTAAGGCTATGAATGAACAGACATGCTACGCTACGAAGCTCCGCTCAAGTGCTCCCTCCATCGTGTATGAATGAGCGGCACAACCGAGTTCTACCGCCCACGTGCCAGCCCCCACAATCCCAGACACCAATGTTTGCGCTCTGCTTATGTCGTCACGAACCCGCACCGTATGGCACCTGCCTCTCCACATGACCTCCGCCGCCTGCCATACCCTTCCCCGCATCTGTACCCTGCGTGAACCAAACTCCACCGTCGGCTACGTACGTGCTCTGCAGCTCCCACGCGCTCTGCGTCCCGGGCGATGGCGGACCCACTCGCGCGTGGAGCGGACTCGGCTACGGCCTGGGATCCTGGAAGGCAGCACGAGAAGGAGGCCAGTCAAGTAGAAAGACCATCCAAGAAATCGAGGCGCGTCGTCGGGTGATCGACATACATCTTAGCGGGGCACACGCTGTGGGGGCTAGCTGGACCGCGGGCGCGGGCGCGGGGGATTTGGAAAGCGGGGCCCGGGTGTGAGTGGGTTCCGGAAAGGTCTTGTGCATTGAGCGTGTGTTGGAGGTGGTCTGCGGTTGGGGCATCGGGCTGCGCCCTTCTGGACCTGGCGTTGCGGCGTGTGCATACGAGCTGACGGAGACAACCTGTAGAATAGCCTAGTATGCGCGATGCAACACGGCGGGCCTGCCACCAGATGTCGCAGCTCAAGCCCACCGACTGGATTTTGAGAGCTCTGGGAATGTCGCTGATGGTCGGGGGGCAAGGGAGACGGCGTGGGACGCGGTCGGCACGCGCTATCATGTCGCACATCACAGTGCATGCTCGGCTGCCTTGACAGGGTATCTTATCATATGCTACATTCACAAGTCGTTCATACGGCCCCTGCCTACATCCCTCGGCCTAACTGCTTCACGCCCTCGAAGTTCGCGGTCAGGCCTTGTCGGAGGTAGGCGACAAGCTCGCGATGCAGCTTCCCCCCAGCCCCAGCGACCGCGAAATTGCGCTCAAAAGCCTCGACGCACGCGCTAATCTTGCCGAGTTCGATTTTGAGCAGCGAGGTTTGCAGGAGATGCGAGTCCCGGTCGTCGAGCTCGTAGGTGCCGAGGGTCAGGCGTACGGATTTGGTAGTCGTTTCCAAGGAGAGAGAATGGGATGAGGAAGAAGGAAACGGGTTCGGGGTTGGGAGAGGCGTATTCAGTCCGCTGGAGGTCGTGGTGCTGGGTCTACTACCCTGTCTGCTCACGGTCAGCCACCACTCCATGCTCGAAATCAGCGGACGGAACAAACATACACACTAGCTGGCGGCGTCATCAACTCCAGCCCGGTATTGAACATGTTGAACCTCTCCCGTTCCCGCTCCTCGGATCCGCGCGCAGAGTCGGGCGGACTGGTGGAGGTTTCGCGCGGGGAGTCGCGGTGCGGGCTAGGAAAGAGGGATTCGAAGACTTGCAGGACGTGGGAGAGGAGAGCGGAGAGGGTGAGGAGGAGGGTTGGTGAGCTGGGTATGGAGGGGGCTACGGAAGTGCATGTACGGCAGGAGAGGGTAGTGGTGCAAAGGGCGAGGATGATCTGTGGGTGGCACGTTAGTTGTGGGTGTTGAGTCAGATGGGGCTTCATCGACACTTACCCTGTTCTCTGACAGTGCGCGATCAAACGGCATAGGCGCACTGCCAGACGACGACGACGACAGAGAGAGTTCTGACAGTTTGGAAAGGATGTGCTGCTGGCAGCCGCACGCTTGTGATGCCGGCCTCGGAAGCGGTTTATGTGGTGCGGGCGGCGTGCTTGCCGTCGTATTGGCATATGCGCTGAAGTTCGTTGGTGGAAGATACGCATCAGTAGAAAAGTAGTCGTCTAGATTATCGAGATCAAAATTGACGTCTGAGAGTGCGGATAAAGAGTCGAAGTCGTAGAGGCTTGTGGATATGGCGGAGTCTATTGTGGCGTCCAGTCCCCCTTCTAGGCCGGTGCTCAGCGGGGGCAGCCTGGATATGCTGGATTCGGTGTTGATGTGGTTTGTGGGCCGTGGGTTGGGTGTTGTGTTGACACCAGATGGCTTTTTGGTGGTCGAAGTACTGCGGTTGTCGACAGGCCGCTTTGAGCATCGCAGTGAGACGCTGTAAACACAGAATAGCTCTTTCCGGTTGCACCGGCGGCAGCAAGGGCGTTCTTTTGAACACTTTACTTTGGCAGTGTTGCAAGCGTCACAAGAATTTCGGAGACGTGCCTGCGTCGTTGGTGCTATTGAGTTCATCAGGGCGACGGGGTGTTGATGCGTATCGGTGGTGGTTCGCATGGTCGGTCGAGTGTATCTTTGGATGGTCTGGCTTGGCTCGGAGGGTGGTCCCAACAGCCGGAGAAATGCGAAAGGTATGTATGCCTGTGCGGACAGTCCTGATGGACGTTCCCAGGTACAAAAGGTGACGGGACAAGCGAGCTCCCCGCGCGAGCGTGACAGGTAGTGCTAGCCTGCTCGATCCATTGCGATGCGCATCCGGATACCGGACTTTTTGGAAGCTTAGCATTGGCAGACGACGCGCATGTGGTGGAAGCAAGGGCTCAGTGTGGCTCGGACTTGATGGTACAGTCGAGCAACCCCGTGCATGCATATTCACTTGTTGGAGCTAGGCGAGGAACGAGATCCAACCAGTTGGTGCATTTTGGCGAGAGGTGGAGCGCTGGGAAGCCACGCTATCAGTTTGAGCCGCAGACGGTCCATGAGCTCGCCCCGCCATGTCCAGCATCAGTGTCTGTCCGTTGTCAGCCTGGTGGAGCTGCCAGGTGTCACGTTACCTGCTATCAGCCTTGGAGATGCTCCATTTGGCGCCTTGCAACGCAGCCCGCGGCAGCTGAACACCAACAACGTGCCGATACCAGAACACGGGCGTGCTGCTCCTCCGGCGACTCAACAGTTCGCCTTTCGCACGGTACCCAATAATGTGTGGTCAGCTTGCCCAGCAGCTTCGTGACGCGACAAGGTGCTTATGCGTGACAACCTCAAACAGCCAAGGCGTCCGCACGTTGTGAGCTGCTGCGGGCGCCCCGCTAGCGACTGCCCCGCCCACCCGGGGACTATCCGCCCTGCATTAGCGGCCCAGCCAACCCCGGCCCTAGCCACTGCACCACCACACACATGCACTCACCCCATCGATCGTGGTTTTCTGACCGGCCGTCGGCTGCAGCGGTACCAGCACCGCGCTGCATCGTGATGTGGACTAGCTGGGTGACTTGACTTTCGCCCGCGCTACGCTTCCGCGATGGCAGCTCATAAAGCCCCCAGAGGGCCTGCGCGCACGCAGCCCAGCTGCCGTCTAGAATCTGACGCAACGATTCTGACCAAACTGCAAAGCACAGCACAGCCTCGAGGAAAGGCGCCCGTCATGACCGCCTCCGCAACGCCTGCCGCGCCTGCCGTCGTCCTGGGAACGGCCTCCTTTGGCACGGGCACCCCGCAGGCCAAATTCAACTCTCGCGAGACAGCTGGGCCCCTGCTTGATGTGTGCCAGCAGCGCGGCGTGCACCTGCTCGACTCTGCGCGCGCGTATCCAGTAGGCAACCCTGGGTCCGCAGAGAAGCTGCTGGGCGAACTGGGCGCCGGCTCGTGGGCGACCATCTCGACCAAAGTCACGTCGTGGGCGCCTGGCTCGCATTCAGCGGCGAAGATCGCCGAGTCGGTGCCGCTGAGCCTCGATGCCTTGGGCGTCGACAGCGTTGACATTATGTACCTGCATTCGCCGGACCGGACCACGCCGTGGGCCGTCACCGCCGAGGCCATGGACGAGCAGTTCCGCCTCGGCCGCTTCAAGCGGTTCGGCCTGAGCAATTACACCGCCGAGGAGGTCGAGGCCATCTGTCAGGTGTGCGAGGAGAATGGCTGGAACAGACCGAGCGTGTACCAGGGGCGGTACAACGCCATCATCCGCAGCGGCGAGGAGCAGCTGTGGCCGACGCTGCGCAAGTGGGGGATGTCGTTCTACGCCTACAGGTTACTTCTTCCCTCTGATGTGATGTCGGACACGCAAGATTGACGCGAATAGCCCCTCCGCCGCAGGCATGTTCACCGGGAACATCAACTCCTCGAGCGTCAACGTCGCGGGCTCGCGCTGGGACAAAACCGTACTTCTCTCACCATCCCCCAAATCTCTGTCATACTGAAACCCATCCCACAGACCCGACTAGGCCAAGCCTACGAGAGCGCCTACCTCAAGCCCTCCTTAATCGAAGCCGCGGCCCGCGTCGCCGACATGGCGAAAGCGGCCGGCATCGGCGGCCACGACGTCGCTCTGCGGTGGGTCATGTACCACAGTATCCTTGACGGGCGGCGCGGTGATGCTGTTATCCTCGGGTGCTCGAGCGTGCGGCAAATGTCGGCGAATCTGGATGCGATTGCGGCGGGGCCGTTGAGCGGAGAGCTAGTGGAGGTGATCAATGGGGTGTGGGACGTCGTTCGGGAGGATGCTGCGAGTTATCATTTGTAAAAGTAGACGGGATCCATTTAGATAGCAAATAGATACTGGGGGAGTAAAGAGACTTGCGAAATTTCCTGTGGGTTATGAGTGCGTGAGGTGTCTGGTGCTTGTACGCCGTTGACAGGCTAAACCACGATGCTTCTTTTACTCTTATAGAAAGAGCGCATTATCCCCGGCATATTCCCCGTCTCGGTCCCGCGTTCTCCGTCTCCGTCTCCGCCTCTGTTCCCGCTCCGTCCATTTCCCCCATCCCTTCAGCGCATTATAAACCAACCCTAACTCTCCATGTCCAACTTACAAAATAGCTTCTCCGTGCCTTAGGCGTTGCGTAGTGATCCCGTCTTCACGTTTCGTCCCTAGGATCGGATTGAGTACTAAGACAGTGTGCAATCTAACCCAGCCAGGACCAAAAGTGAAACAACACAGCTAGGTCGGATTTCATCATGGGTGAATTTCTAATGGCGACTGAAGATGCGGTTCAAGAGCTTACACCCCGATACAGCGACATCTATGGTACCAGACTAGGTTCCCGCATTGTAGAGCACGAAGGTGCATCGGGATATTGAGCGTGCATTTCCTGGAGCGGTATAGTAGATGGAGGGAATGGGGCACCACAGTGTGAGCTGTCACATCAACGGGGTGCAACGTCGAGGTCCATCTTTCACACATGACATCACCAAGGTCATGTTCATAGACGTCAGCGAAGTCAGACAGACATTCTAGTCAATTCTCCTGCGTCGGTGATCCAGTACCTGCACCCCAATCCACCAACCTATTTACACAAAACGAGCAATAACTGTAGGGAAATATCGAACAACAACGAGAAACGAGACAGCTCTAGCACTTCCAGCTGGCCTTGGCTTTCGGCGGTACAGCACCTGGGTTGTAGAAGACAAAGTTGGGATCGAACTTCTGGCGCGCCTTGACGAGGCGGCACACGTTGGGCCCGTAGTTGGCCGTTACGATGTCACCGGTGATGGCTTGGTCGATGTAGCCGGCGTAGGTGTACGGACTGTTCCAGCCATTAGCAACTTCCTTGAACAACAGATAGGATGAGGAGGGGAAAGGGGTCAAGACTTACCCAACGCGTGGACGGAACTGCGCCTCAAACAGCGCGGCCAGCGCCTTGCTCTGAGCCTTGTACGGTTCGACGTTCTCGACCTGCATGCGCCACAGCGTCTTCGCCTTGTCGGACCACGGGAACGCCGAGTCGGACGCAGGCGTGGACACGTTGAAGGTCGTGACTTCGATCCAGAAGCCCATGCCGCTGGGCAGGTTCGCCGTGTTGTCAACGATCCACTGGAGATCAGCATCGCCGAGTAGGCGGTCCTTTGTCTCCACAAACGTCTTCGTGTAGATGTTGCCGCGCTGCCATAGCGCCGCCCGCGGGATCGAGGGCACCGCCTGCTGGCTGCTGATCGCGGAGACGGCGACCTGGCCGGGGAGAGGGGTCAAAGCGTCGGGCGCGACGTTGTACTGACCGTAGAAGGCGGCGTTAGCTGTAGCATCGTCTGTGCACTCGTCCTGGGTGTAGGTCCAGAAGTTGCGGGAGTTGGCCGTGCTGCAGTTGCCTGTGACTTTGATCTCGGCGTTCGGGATAGACGAAAGACCAGAGCTGGCGAGGATGGCTTCAAGCTGCGCCTTATTCTTGCCCAGATACCAGCCCAAGATCTGCGTGCGGTCGCTGTAGAAGTTGAACTGAGATTCAAAGTTCGGGTCCTGCTTGGGGGCCCACGCGTTGTACTTCTTCAGGGCCTCGAAGCGTGTGGTGGCGTTATTGAAGTTTGCAACGAACATGGCGGAGCGGGGGAGGACGGCGGTCTCGAGCACGGCTTCAACGACGATGCCAAAAGTTCCGCCGCCGCGGGCGGCCCACCAGAGCTCTGGGTTGGAGGTGGGGGAGATGGTGACGAGGTCACCAGCAGCAGTGATGACTTTGGCGGACTTGACGTGGTCGACAGCGAAGCCGTGCGTGCGCATCTGCATGTTGTAGCCGCCAACTCCAAGGTAGCCACCGATGCCAACGGAGGCGCAGATACCGGCTGTGAAGGTGATGCCGTAGCCCTCAAGGATGGAGTAGAGGGCACCGAGACGAGCGCCGCCGCCTACGGTGGCACTCTTCAGGTCCTTGGCTGGGAGAACGTAGGAGATGTTCTCGATGTCGATGACGAGGGAGCCGTTCAGGGCAGACCAGTTCTCGAAGTGGTGAGCTCCCGTGCGGGGAGAGACCTTGAAGCCATTCTTGACGGCGCACTTGACGAGAGGACCGACCTGGCTCTGCTGGGTGGGGTATGTGACCAACGCAGGGAATTGGCCCTCGTTCAACAGGATAACACCAGTGCGGGCAGTAGTGTAGGATGCATCCGAGGGAGAAACGATGTTAGCAGCAGGTAGAACCTTCTTGGCGCAGGCCAGGAGATCCGAAGCCGCATCCCGCTGATGCTTTGGCGCCGCAACGACCGAGGTCGTGAAGAAAGGAACGAGAGCGAGAAGCGACTTTGCGTACATGTTGAACGACGACTGTGCTGATCCCACTCTGTGCTGCTGAAGACACAAGAGGCAGTGAGTGACGAAACGACCGGAGCGCGAGAAGCTCGACACAGATATACTCCCATTTTCCAGCCCTACTAGTTGGTCTCAGACCATCCTCAGCGCTCGCATAGTCGTATAGGGCCAATTCCCATTGCCTAGTCGTGGCGCACCGAGACCAACCCGACCAAGGATTGGTAGAATCCTTCCCGCCCCCACCATGATTGGCCAGAATCTTACTCCGAGGTCGACGCGTCAGATTCGCCGTGCGCCTTGCTGTCTTTGCGCTGTTAGCTGAAGCCATGGAGGCTGCGCTGGTCATAAAAGTTGTCAGTGGTGGTGCTTTGGGTCAGCGCGCTGGGTTGGTTCCTGCGCCGTTCCTGCATAGCGTCGTACCGACAAATGTCTCCCACGTGCTGCAAAGTACACACTCCACATTATGTAACCGACAACCGTAGCCTTGGGTCTATTGTCGTCTACATGAGACATCTTACCTAACGCGGCCAACTGACACACGTGAATGTCAGGCTACAAAGAGGAGTTTCCCGAGCGGGCGGTCATCTTGGCGGCTTCCACACGTGGCGTGCTGAGTATCTCATGCCGACATCCAAGCAAAAGCCGGCCTACATTTTCCAAAAATGGGGTTTGACAGCCTTGCGAGACCCATGTATCCGGAGATTGAAGCGGTGGGTCCCATCAGATTTGGATTACAGAAGAATGAGCTATGAATAGATTACAATGTCACAATGTCCACAATTGAGTGATCTGAGAGGCATGGTTGTGAGATTTTACTCTGGTACGACTTTCAACTAATTTACACTAGTCTTTCTTTCTGGTCTCAAGGCTCGACCCCAATGGTATTCCCGTCCTTGTCAAATTTTCCCGCTGATCCAACAAATACCCTCTCAAATTCATGCTCGTTGAAGTCAACTTTGGTCTGAATACCAGCCCACTTCCATATGCCGTTTACTTTCCTATAGAACGTGGTGACGAGACCGTGGCCATGGCCCTTAGCGGCGATGTCTCCACGCCCTTCCTCCCATCTCTGGTGAGCTGCGCGAGACTGATGCTGGCTCTTGATCTCAGTGTCGGAAAGCTTCTCCCACTTTGACAGACCAAGCAAATGCTGCGATTCAATGTTTCTGTCGCCCAGAAACAGGGGGTTCTGCATCATCTTGACGAAATCCGCAGCTGGCATTGCGTCTGCCTGAGCGTTGTTGACGCCGCCGTAGTTGACCTTTGCAGGGGTTCGAATGCTCAACAGCTTCCTAGAACGTGGGTATGTGACTTACGGTGACGTTGGGTGCGAGCATGTTCCCCAGCCGCTCCCAGTCCTACATAAAGTCATTGGCCTATCCATCCTGTTCAAGCTGTGACGAATCTACCTTCTCATCGTAGCTCCTAGCCCACTCGAAGGCAAGTTCACTGCAGTCCTGCCATTCTGTGACCAGATCAGATCGCTGTATGCCACTGTTGATATGTAAGCCTCACCCTCAAAAGTTGGCTTGTTGGCCCTGGTCGTGGACATTTTGAAATTGATGAAAAAGTTTGGAGAATACGATGTGAGAAGAGGGGTAGCTGTGAAGACGGTTTACTATCACAGCCTGCTGCGGGGCTCCTACGCGGCCTTCGTCGGAGACCCGATGTTGTATGCAACGCGGGCACTTTCGTTGTTGGAGTTACAGACCGCAGGTCAGCCGGTCATCGCATGCTACGTCGAGCGGGTACAGAGCCAATCTAAACTGTTCGGCAGACCCGAGAAACCCGACGCTGTAGGGGATAGGCCCCGTACAATACTTAAAGTCACCAAGCGGAAGTGAGATGTTCGTAATCTCAAACAAACAGCACATCTACCGCCGATACTTACGAAAATGGGAACCCACGGCGCCCTTAGCAATGGAACCACAGCGGCACCACCAAAGACGCTGGAGGGAAAGGTGGCACTCGTTACCGGATCCGGACGCGGTATCGGTGCCGGTGTAGCTCGTGAGCTAGGTGCAAGGGGAGCATCGGTCGTTGTCAACTATCGAGGCAGCGCTGAGGCGGCCGAGGCCCTGTCCAGGGAGATTGAAGCTGCCGGCAGCAAGTCCATCGCCATACAGGGTGATATTGCTAACGTCGAGGATATCAAGACGCTGTTCGAGAAGACAAAGGCGCACTTTGGCAAGATCGACATTGTGGTCTCCAACTCTGGCATCGAGCACTTCGGCAAACTGGACGAGGTGACGCCCGAAGAGTTTGACAAGGTTTTCGCTGTCAACACTCGCGGTCAGTTCTTCGTTGCGCAGCAGGCGTACAAGCACCTCGAGGACGGCGGTCGATTGGTTCTCATGTCGTCAATCTCGGCGCACAACTCGATCAAGGAACACGCCCTGTACGCAGGCAGCAAGAACGCCGTCGAGGCTTTCGCCAAAAACTTCGCAAAGGACTTCGGCCCCAGGCGCATCACGGTGAACACCATCGCGCCTGGAGGCGTGAAGACCGACATGGCCAACGACGTGGGGTGGAAGTACCTCCCCAATGCCGACGAGACCTGGACCTGGGAGCAAGTCGAGGCAGTGGTCTCCAAGTGGACGCCGCTCGGCCGCATAGGTCTGCCGCAGGATATTGGGCGCGTAGTGGCTTTCCTCGTCGGCCCCGACGGCTACTGGATCAACGGTAGGTAGCGCCGGGATTGAATTCTTTAGATGATGCACGGCTAACAAGTCAATACAGGTCAGAATATCACAATCTCTGGTGGTGCCGGCGGTTAAGCGGTCACCGACGGGCGACAGGGGGATGGTGTTGGTCAGAAAAGCACGAGAAATGATGGAAACATGACGTGGGGTACTCAGTCGGTCTCCGTCCGCAACTAGCGCATGTCGGCGGTTCGTACATTAGTGAGATGGCTTGGCGTCGGAGGCTGGTGTGAAATGCGAGAACGCCGATGCCGAAGTGCTTAACAATTGACGCCAATGCATCTCGTCTCGCTTAGGCCGCCGCCCAACCACATCGTCGATCTACACAAGGGCTACGGGCAACAACAATGCATCGATCAATCAAACGGGCTTCGGTCCTCGCGCTCTGCTACGTGACCAACCACAGCATGCTTACAGTAGGCCGGCTTGCGTGCTTGCCATGGGTGGATCCGTTTCTTTCAGGCGGTACTTGTGCTGTGAGGAGATGGCGTAGTAGCGACACTGTCTCGTACAGGCAGCCAGACTCATGAATATAAACAGCGCCCAGCGTCTTTTCTCAGTGCTCAGTCACTTGCAAACTGCATCCCCAAGAGCAGCCTTCAGCAACATTTACTTACCAAGTACAACCTCAAAACCATCCTTCAAAAAGATACACACCGCAATCATGGCTAACCAAGCTTCTTGGATTCCCGCTGCCACCAAGCAAGTGTCTGTTGGCCCTGCCGAGACATACACTCCTGGCCCCAACGAGCTGCTCGTCAAGATCAACAGCGTTGCCTTCACTCCCATTGAGGCCAAGATTCAGAGGTGAGTCTCCCAGCCACCATACTCTCACGCTGTGCAACTAACAGTGCAATAGATTTGGAACTCACCCCATTCCCTACCCCAACATTCTCGGCACCTCCTACTCCGGCACCGTCGAAGCCCTCGGCGACGGCGTGACTGGCTTCCAAAAAGGCGACCACGTCGCCGCCATCCGCTCCGGCAAGACCCTCGCGGACCCCCGTTTCGGCGGCTACCAGAAGTTCGCCCTGGCACCCGTGAACTCAACCTCCAAAATCCCCTCCTCGGTCCCCTTCAACTCCTCCTCCGCCACCATCATCAACCTCGCCGCCATCACCTCCGCCCTCTCCATCCACCTCGGTCTCGAGCGTCCCCCGCTCACCGGCACCGCCACCCCCAAGAACAAGAAGGTCCTCATCTATGGCGGATCCTCCTCGTGCGGTGGTCTCGCCGTCAAGTACGCCGCCTCCGCTGGGTACGAAGTCATCACCACGTCGTCGGCCCGCAACAAGGACTTCGTCGCCTCCCTCGGCGCCGCCACCATCATCGACCACGAGCAGGACGCTTCCGCCGTGGTCGCAGACCTCACAAAGTACGGCCCCTACGACGCGGTGCTCGACACCATCGGCCTGCCCGCCCCCACCGCCATCCTCGTCGAGTACTTTGAGTCGCTCGGCGGAGGGTCCTACAACACCATGATCCCGCCGATCCCCGGAACTAGGGACATCCCCGACAATGTGAAGAGGATCTTCGCGCCGTACAGCTTTGCGTTTGACGAGGAGGCGCACAAGCCGCTTGCGAGGTGGTTGTATGAGGAGTACTTGCCCAAGGGACTGGAGAGCGGGCTGATTGTGCCGACGAGGCAGCATGTTGTGGACGGGGGCTTGGAGAAGGCGCAGGAGGTGCTGGATCTGATGAACAAGGGGGGCGTGAGCGGGAGGAAGCTGGTGCTGGACCCGTGGCAGACGACTGCCCCGTGAGCGAATGAGCTTCAGGGGTACACCGGGTTATAGAATTTAGAAAAGCAATGCATTTCCTTGTCCACTTCCAAAGTCATCTGCAGAGGCGTTGCGTGAAGGGACCGCAATAGTTGTCAAGCCAAACCTACACTGGGCAGGCTGTAACGACTCATGTGGACATGGATAAAGGCGCGGTGGGCAAGAACGAGTGCAGAACTTTTGCCATCAACACAGGGTGGCATTGGCTGACTCACATCTGTCGTAAAGTCACGTCCGGAACCACCAGCTTATATCCATCTTTACCAACACTGTGTCTGACTAGTGCTCAGCCAACATGCCTGATTCCAATCCTTTCCCTCTACAAGCATCACTCTAGGCTCTTCTTTCAGACTGTCATCGCGGAACCTGCCGCGCTCCGCCAGCCTCGAGTTTTTCTGGATCTTTGTAGTACCAATCACTTTTCAACTCCCATCTGAGACTGAAGCCCTCTACACTTGCCCTTCTCTTCCGTCCCAGGTCTGTCGACCTGAAATTGTCCGCATTGATTACACCTTGGCCTATATGGCATAGTGACAGAGCGAGAATCAAGCAGCCATGTCAAACCACGCCTCACAATCAGCAAGAGGTTATGCAGTATGATTTCGATCAGAAGGTCCGTATCTATCTCGTTTCTTCATAAATCGTGAAGTGGGGTATCTCAGTATCCGTCTGCGCAAAATCGCCCAAGCCCACGGACGCCCACCTATGCAATACATCCTCCTCCTCGTCATCTCCTAAAGATCGATCAGATCCGGCTCCCCCGACCCCACACCCCTCAGCAACACAATCATGTTCCCCGTCTGACACGGCTCCCCAATCTTCTCGCTAAACTTCAGCAACCGGCCTCCCTCCACATGGAAAACTCGTAACTTCTCCTCCTCGCCTCCGCCACGGTTGTTGACGTTTTGCACCTGGAGTGCCTTGGCCGCCATATCCAGCACCCGGCCCACAGTCCACTCCTTGTTGTAGTAAAACTTCCCAGTCGGGAACTTCGCCTTGGTGGTATCCGCGCTCGCCTCGACGTACAGGTACACGCGCTTGTCCGCCGGCACGCTCGCGTCGCCCTTGGCACTCCGTTTCAATTCGTTGGCTGCGGCGAGGGCTTCGCGCGCGCCGGAGGACTTGGAGCCCAGGCCGAGGAAGCCTGACTTCTTGGTCGTCTGCTTTGCAGCGTCTTTGGCGCGCTTTTCCTCGGCCCAGACTTTGAGTTTTGCGAGTGCCGAGAGCCCCCGGTCGCGGTGTTGTTGGAGGGCGCCGAGGCGCGCGCCGGCGGCCTTGACATTCTTACAGTCGTGGTCTTCGGGAAAGCGGTGCGGGAGGCAGTACGAGCGGTTGCAGGTGGCGCACTGGTTGGCGGGCATGCGGGAGGTATTGATCAGCGTCTTGCATGCCGCTTCGTAGCACTGCTGGTCGTGCGAGTACAGCGAGGGCTTCCCAGATAGCGAGCTCAGCGGGACACTGCCGTCGCGGCCATTTCTCCGCCGTGCCCATTCGCCCTCCTTGGGGCATTTGTGTGCAAGCTCGGAGCGGTGGTCGAGGCAGAATGTGCCGCGGCAGGATTCGCAGCGGAAGGGGAGGAAGTCGAGGACGTGGCAGTAGGGCATTTGGCAGTGCGCCCCGATGTCTTCTACGTCACGCTTCATCTCGGTGTAGCTCGCGTTGGGCGCGGTTGCCGTGGGTGGTGTGGACGCCATGGCGGCAATGGGGGTGGTGATATAGAGGGACGTCGGCGGTAGTGAATGTCGCTGAGAAATACTCAGTAGCAACGCAAGAAAGCACCAGAAGGCGGCGAGGCTCAGGCAGCGAAGCTGACGCCGCCGCTGTGAAAGTCCGTCGGAAGCTTCCAGACGCGTTCCGAGACCAAGCTCCAAGACGGCTAAGCGGCTATGACTAAGCACCATGTGATTGTTCACTCCTCAGGGCCCCACGCCTGACAGCCAGCTGTAGCTCGAGTCATGCCTCCAGGTATACATCTTTGTAGTTGGCATTGACGCACGAAACTGTGTTGCTATTCAGGTACAAGGTCTGGCAGGTATACACCACTTTGCCCTGCATCTACACTCGATTGCCCATCCAATCCTGCTGCCCTCATTCCATCTCGTCTTCTCCCGGCAGGCATGCTCGGATTCCGTTGCCTCAAAGAATCTTGCGAGGGTGCCCTTCTGGATCTGCTGGTAGTGTCCTTTGACGTTCCTCTAATGATTCTCCTGTGGCTGCACTGCCTGGATATCATGGCACTCATCCTCGTGCGTGGCATTTTCCGTGGGGCCTAGCTCCTACGACCTCCATGATGGTAGTCCAAGGCCTCAAAAGTCCAAGCGCGGCTGTCACTCAAATGGCCAGCCCAGCAAAGGCGCACCAAATTCGCATGTCGCAGCTCATTCGGACTGGGTGAGGAAAAGGCGTGTTGGCGTGTCCGCATCTCTTCCAGCGAGGAGAGTGATCGGCGAACAATAGGTTTCCGCGCCTTGCGTGCCATTCGAAAGATCATTTTACTGGCAGGTCGGTCGACGTCGGGTTGTCGTCGATGTCGCGTTTCGTTTACTTCCTTTCCTTGTAATGGTTCAAGCCGGGTCATCGTTTATACAACGCAGTCCATGTACGCGATTCCCCCACCCGGCGGTCGCCAAATTATTTGTCCCACCCGCAACGGTAATCATGGATGCCTCTGAACCGGTACAATCGAAGTTACTGTTAAACCCATCAGCATATAGGTTCCCGTGCGTCGCATCCGGCTACAACTTACTCGTAAAGTATGCAGTACCATTCGTCGTTCCGCTGGTACACATCCCAGATGTTGTGTCCACCGACCAACACCGACTGCACCTTTCCATCTATCAAGTTGTTGTCCAAGCTGAGGCACGTATTGTTGCGAACATCAACCGCGACCTCGGAGAAGTAACTTGTCTGCCCGAACAGGAACACGCGGATGTGGTCTGTGGCGACGTACTGGGCTTGCACACCGTCCAATAGCCCTGCGAGAAGTCCAAGAGTTGCGATCCCAGCCTTCATTGTCTTGTCGAGTTGCGATCAATCAGGTCAGAACATTACGTGGGTGGGTACGAGCAGGGAACCAGCAACACGGCCGTCAATGCAGAAGACAAACACAGGTAGACTGGGTGACGAGCGCCGAGAGGGAGAAGAGCGAGGAGCCTGAGGTTGCAGAAGAAACGCAAAGCCCGGGGCCGTGTATGATGTCGTGCGGTGCGCGCTGATTCGCTACGCCGCGGCATAGCCCCAGTGAAAGCCCCGTTGTACGCGTGGATCGGGGCGCGCTAAGACAAGGCTGGCATGGTGGGGACCAAGGCTCAGGCGATCAGGGTAGTAGAAGGGAGGGTGACTGGCTCGGTGTTCGTCGTTTGGAAACATCGGGTAGACCGTCATAGGAGGATGCGTGAGCGAGGCTGGAGGGTGGAGTGACACGGCGTGTGTTTGCGCTATGTTGGTCGACACCGCGATGGTCACTAGCATTGTGACCCGCTCGTGTTTGCGAAGTGAGTTGCACGTTCCTGTGTTTGTACAACAATGTACGATGCTGGTGTTCAAGAATAGTAAGTGTGCATGGGCTCACGTGGGCAAGCTAGGTAACTGTGAGTCAGCATTGGTGTACGCTGTCGCAACCCGATCACTCGTCAAAAATCCCTAGTCCTGGAACCCATGAAATGTGCGGATGCGGCTTGACGTTATAATCAGAAGTGCAGGGGCCGAATTCTCGTCTAGACGCCACAGGCGGATCACGATTCGCCAATCCCGCAAAGGATGATGTTCATGATGCACGTTCACATGTACCAAAAAATTAGCACTTATCGACGCCTGCAAAATCGATCTCTTTCTGTCGCAACTGTATGGGTGGACATGTCATTCCGTCCATCATCAGTAGCGAAAAATGTGCTGTCAGAGTCGTCCAAGATAAGAGTAATAGCGGTGCTGTGCCTCAGACGATGCTTCATGCGAAGCGACCCAGTGTCTGATTTGCACTGCGTGAAAACAGTTAGGACACTGAAAAGAGTTCGCCAAAAGCTTCTTTGGCGTGAGCACTGTTCACGTTCGATCGATTGAGCGTATACCTTCGAGTAACTACAATGGGTGGTTATGGTTCCAACCTCACGGAGATGGTGCAGGAGTATTCGTACGCGAGCGGTTATTCTTGGATGTGAATATCACTGCAGCTTTGAAGATGTAGATGAGCTGCAAATTCATTGTTGGAATTTGAAACTTATGAAGTATGTAATTAGGAGTAGTGGAGAGGGAAACTAAGCGTGGTGAAGTTGGATCTGCTACTCAGGCGTAACACTTCCGTGTACGGTGACATACCAGGCTATCAAAACGTTGCGTGGGTTGCTCGGGAGAATCATGCTCTAGCCAACGAAGCTCCTTAGACAACTATTTGTGTTCAACTAGGAATATTGACGAAGAATTTCCTCGATCTTACCGAACCGTGGTACGAGTCCTAGCATAGGTGAGGTTAGATTGCTCTAGCGGTGCGAAATTGCCGCTTGGCTCCATGTTTTCTATGATCTAATGCTGCTAGAAAAGGTGTGAATGTCCCATGGAATCGAGGCTTGCAGTGGGCACAAACCCAGAAGTAGGAAGGATCGGATGGCTAGTTGTGGATATCCCGATAATGTTGAGATTGGGCCAAGGAAGAGTCTTGCAAGGTAGGTCCGACTTGGATCATCGGCCAATGATCTTGAAATGCCTGATCAGGAGTATTTGGTTCAAGTTCTCAAGGCCGCAGGTGTTCGGCAGCGGGTCGTGTGGGGTCGAGTCTTCGATAAGATCGAGGTCAATAGATCCCAAATCGTAGGGTTCACGTGCAGGGACTGGTAAAGAAGGAAACCCCGGCTGCAGAGGTGCATCGCGAATCCATTCAGGGTATTCAGGCTGTAATCCCACGGAGTTGTTCTTTCAAGGACGTGCAAAGCTTTCAGGAGGGGACGGCACTGACGGGAGTGTTGGTAGCCCCAGGGTTTCGATCGTGAGCTGGCCGCCGGCGCAATTGTATCCCTCTGGGTACAAATGGGTTGGGTAATGGCCACCTGCATCGGAATGCAGACGACAAAGCAAATGATTTCTGGAATTGGTATCGATGATACCTGGCGTGTCCACTTGCATTTCGTCCGCACCGATATTGTCGATGTTTGCATCAGGTATGGTCGTGATAGTAGCGTTGCAATATGCCCCTGATAAGGTGACCATCGTAGAAGAGCCTGAGCTCTGGATCCTCTGCAAGGATACTCTCCATGATAATGGCATCATGAGACTGATCCATGTCGTGGTCGTTATCTCGGAAAGAATCTACAACGGTTCAAGGTCATTCACCAGACAAGGCTGAAGTCAATGATTACAAGAAAGAGAACGAAAAGAAAGCAGCCTGCGGCGGATTTTTGATTCGGATGCACACAGGATTGGAGGCGCGCATACTGAGTAGGACAGGAGTTAGAACCAAGGAACAGTGAAGGGTATCGTGGCTCTTATAGAGCAGCAGGCTGGCCACTCTAGCAAGCACAGTCTTCTACTATTGGTCACGCCAATGCAGGTATACATAAGTGAGAGTGTGTTCCGAAGGCTCAAAACTGTTTTGATCCGCCACAACGTCGCCTTGGTCCCAAAAGAGGTCTCGGAGTCGAGTGCTCAGCGCTATGATCATCACATTGAAGTTCCGATGGCCCATTTCGGAAGCCGGAAATATAAAGGCCTGAGGCCGAGGGGACAGATGTAGGCTATCAGAAAATACAAATACTAAGTGCGCAACTACGTTCAGAGAAGCAAAACAACCAACGAAAACGTACCTATGATATTCGCAATCGCACGCACGGCAATTTGGTCAACCAAAGGCACGAGTCTTCTTATAATTCAAGGCGCATCTCGGAACGGGCCCCTATCTCGTAGTCTCAGCCATCTCTGAACCGAGATTTGAGCGGGACATGGCTCAAAGTACTACTGCAAGTGCTGCCAAGATCCCTCGCACCATCGGATGAGAAACCTAAGTAATTCTTGAATAATAGAGTCACTCGACATGGTACGGTCAGAGCGAAGTGTTGACTTATAAAATTCGGTGTCGTCAGGACGACGGAACGTGTCTTCAAAGCCTTCAGGCATACCTTTGGGCGGCACAACTATAGACCAATACCGTTATTTCTATCCTCTTCCAGCCCAGCTGCTCTGCTATCGTGATCCAGCCACATGTGAACGACCTATTTGTTCCCAGGACTCCGCCGTTGCCGAGTTCTTGCAGTAGAACAAAGCTTCGGTGCAAAATGTGGGGTCGCATCCTCTAATGTCTGGGGGGTTGCTGGGGAGTCACTTCCTTCCTAGTAGGATTAAGCACTTGCAGTTGGGTTGTTTGATTGAACACTGTTGCTCAGATTATACCCATAAACTGTCTTCCAATCACAAGCGTGGAAGTACAGGCACCGGTACGCTTTCGATTCTGCCGGTAGAGCAGACCCCGCCAAACAAAGTAATAGTGAAGTCATGCCAGAACATTTCGGCATTTGTGACACATGGTCAACAGAACCTTTTTATAACCTGTCAATGATCGCAACTGACTGTCCTGACAAGACACGTACTTGATCGTCTGGGTCGTAGTGACATACATACACCCACAATGCCGTCACTTTCGATAGTCAGAAGTTTGATGGCCATTGTGGCCCTGCTAGAAACTGCATCGGCGGCCTGTACCCGTGAGGGTCTTCTCGCCTCCGCGCAATCCTACATCGATGCGCAAAAGGCCGGCAACACCACTGCGCTCAAGCTCTCACCAACCTTCAAGTATCAACAGAACAACAAAGAGCGCGCCCTCTCAGCTGGTCTCCTCGCCACACCCTTCAAGCTCGACCTGGTCCGTTCCACTGCCGACACGGTCGCATGCGCCTCCTACACAATGTGGATTAGCTCCGCGGGCAGCAAACCGTACGTTGTCGGGACCCAAATTCGCCATGACGGCAACGATACTTCCACCATCACCCTCATCGACACTATTGCAGCTACCACTGGTGATCTCTTCTTCAACGCGCCCAAGACGCTGGGATATATCCAGAAAGAAGATTGGAGTCCGATCAACAACACCGCGTCAATGCCGTCGCGAGAGCTTCTGAAGAAAGTTGGCAATGGCTATCTGGATATGTGGACGGATCCGAAGGCTGCGGATAGTATTCCGTGGGGCACGGACTGTGAGAGGGTCGAGGGGAGTCAGTATACGAATCCTTGTGGGAAGAACTTGCCGCATGGCGGAAGCTCGAAGCCGAATGGCATGAGGCGGTGAGTATTCCCTACGAAGTCCGCGTGTCTGTACTGGCTGACTTGGTATGTAGATATGTCATTGATGAGGTGCAGGGTAGCGTTGATGTTCTGTGCCAATTTGACAGCTTAGGCACGATGCCGGATTCGCACGAAATCAGAGTCATCGACGGAAAGGTGAAGTATGTGCACACAATCACTGCGCTGAAGATCGGTTGAGACAGTAAAAGCATGTAGCGGACTCTTCGCGATTCTGGATCGATGTAACGTTGAGATCGAGTCCTGCCTCTTTAGCTAGCGTTTTACTTGATTATTTGATATCGGAGCTCTTGACCACCGTTCCAAAGACATCACCCAACTCCGCAAGAGCAACCCTGGTAACCTCATCGCCCTTCACACCCGGAATATCGCGGTCGCCGATGCCATCTTCGACAAGGATGACGTCGTATCCGCTCTGATAGGCCTCACGCGCAGTAGTAGACACACAGACGTGCGCCATGTATCCGGTCAGAACAACCTTCTTGACACCCCATCCCTGTAGAGTCTCATTCAAGTCTGTCTCCTTGAAAGCCCCTGGGAACTGCTTCCAAATTGTCGTCTCGCCATCCTGGTTTTCATTAGCCTACTCGTCCCCAGTCTACTTTCAACGAACCGCGTACTTTAGCTTTCAGAGCTTTGAACTCCTCCGCCAACTCCGTTCCAGGCGTAAAGATGGGTGCACCCTCGGGCGTTTTGTGCAGTACGTGAATGATTTTCCCGCCTGCTTTACGGTACTTCTCAAGCAAATCCGCGATGGCCTTCCCGCTAGATTCGGCGTTTGTTACTGTCAATGCACCGCTTGCGTATTCGTTTTGAGCGTCAATAATTATGAGCGCAGAGTCGGACGTGGAGGCTGTGCTGGGCGGCACGCCAAGGAGGTCGCGGAAGGACTTGGTGGCCATTGTGAGCTATTGTTGAATATTTCGTGCGAGAACGTCGTTATGGGATAGTTGAGAATATTTATTGTTCGAATTCAAGGACCTATTTAAACAAATGGGAAGGGTGGAGGGTTAAGACCTGGAGAAAGGGAAGTGGCGGGCGGAATTACCCCGCTCGGCGACGGGTCGGCATGATGTGTATGACGTGCTTTTTGAAAATGTAGCTGGAAGCGCGTAGCAGTTGCTATGGCGCGAGACTCTCGCTTCAAGTACATACCAATCCGACTAGGAGATGATGCCCACAAGAGGACATGAGTTGCTGACTGTGGATGCTACTTTGTTCCGATAGACCAAACCCATTTCGGGCCAGTGCAGCCGATAGTGTCCAGATTGTAATGCAAGTAAAGGGAAGTGACTTGAGTTGCGTCGAGTGGGACTCGGATGAGAGTTTCCTGAGAACTTCAAATGGAACGCAGGTTGTCTTAGGCCTGACAGGCATATGTAACCATGTGGCTGTTCAGATATCCTTCGTCGACCCGGTACCACAGGTACAACATAATGTGGAGACGTTGTGCTGGCATTTCGTTTCGGGTACAAGGAATTGGAGAATAAGTCATCATGGAGTTTGTTGAAGCACTCGCGAGGACCTAGTAGGATCCTGACTTTGGTCGATACCTTCCTCGGGTAAGAGTGGACCATGGGTACCGGTGGGTACTCAAGAAAGTACAGGTCTGCCGCTAATCTAAAGCTGGCATTAGCCTCGGTTATGTAACAGCATCTACCTCCACTCCGCTCATAGGACAACCACAGCCCACGTAGCAAACAGTCTTCCCCCTATCTCGCATTTACGACAACGCATCAACAACAGCACTGCCGAGTGATCCATCAGGCGACAGTACAACGATTGACCGCCGTTCAGCCTCGCAGCTAGAGGCTCACGTTGCCGCCAGTAGCGCCGATCTTTGTTTCGTTACAACAACATGCAAATAACGTCCGCAAGAGTTCCAAAGCATCACCTTTTTTGCGGTCTAGACACATCTGCACCGCTACTCGGCTAGACACTCGAGTGGTGGGACTGGATATCCCACCTATGCAATGATTCCCTCTGCTTCGGACGATTCTAGAGCCAGCTCGGCGCGTAGGCTGCTTATTTTCTCAACGTTGAAAGTCCACAGACTGTGAATGTGCTGTACTTAATCGGCCGCGCTAACGTCACAGACGCAAACACCCACTGACGATGTAGCCTCATGCCCACGGAAGCTGGCCCCTCGCCTTCATAAGCCCCCAGTGTCGACTTGAGCAAATAGCGCACCTCGATATACTCCCTAACTAGAGAGGCACCTCCACTCCCATGTCGCCGCCGATGTCTGCCTCTCCCACCACCATGGATAACTTCATCCGCACCAAACTCCAGCCCAGCGGCAGCTGTATCATCTGCACCGACCCCTTCAGCGCCTCCCACCAGCCGGTCGCCCTGCCCTGCCACCACATCTTCGGCCACGCTTGCATCAAGAACTGGCTACACAACGGCCGCGGTGCCACAAACAACTGCCCCATCTGTCGCGCCGAGATCTACCCCTCGGACGGCGGGGCCTTTACCTCCGCCTCCATCTGGACCGCGCTCTGTGCCGCCTCCCCAGACCGCATCCACGACTTCTTGTCCGCCCTCTGGCCACGCGTGGCCGCCCTCTTCGCGGACGACCCCACCGGCACCTTCACCACGCGGGACCTCCTCTCTCAAGCTGTTCTCCCCGCGCTCCGGAGCATGCACAACTCCGATGCCACAGGCCCCTTCACAGACGCGCACTCCCTCATCGCCTCAACCTGGAACTCGCTCGGCCGGCCCAACTCCGCCTCCGGCCTCGCCATCCCCCTCGTCCGCCTCGCCCGCCTCATGGCGCAGACGTCGTCTATCCTGCCCAAATGGATCACCACCGTCCCACGCACGTCGCTGCTCTTCTGGCGCGCGAACGCCTGCCTCGGCACCTCCTCGTGCGAAATCTCCTGGGCGCCGCTTGCCGAGGCAGCGGGCCTGGCTAACGCGCGCTACTTCCCCTTCTTGCACTTGTACACCGTCTTGCTTTCCCAGCACATTGTGCACGCGCGGCCGACACACACTGGACCCTCGCACAGCTCCATTATCGAGCGGTGCTGTACGAAGATTGGCGGGGAGTGGGCGGGCAAGCCGGGCGATGGGTTCAAAGAGAGTGTTGTCGGTGTGTACGAGGAGTTGCGCCGGCACCAGCTCGAGGAGAAGCGGATTAGTCTGCGGGGACATGAGGAGGAGAAGGGTGTGGTGACGGGGTTGTGGGCGATGGCGGGGTGGCGGAGGGAGGATGCGCGGAAGCCGGCGGTGGAGCTGAGGAAGAAGGTGAGCGGGGGTTGGAGTGATTAGGGGGCTGCGGTTGCCTTGGACGTGATGGCGTTAAGGGCACGAGGAGAAACCGTGTTTCATGGACCTCATTGGCCTACGACGGATTTGGGGTTCATGAGCATTCCGGGTGTCTACGACGGGCTTACATATGGCGTTACCACGATAATGCTTGTACGATAATGTGTACAACAGGATTTCAATACATCATCATCACCAGAGCAGAAGAACAACATGTGATCATACAAACGAGCGCCATAAATTCAGTCCAGGTCACCGCCCAGATGCCCAAATCCCACTCTAGAATACATAGCGAACGAGGAGCGGATCAAGTCTACCCTCTTACTCCCCGGAATCTTAATCTCCATACCACTCAATCGAGCATCCGCTCTCAAGCACAAGTAATACATCGAGGAAATCAGCTCACCTCAACTCAAAGAAACAAAGGATATACATAAGAAGAATTAGACATTAATCGCGTTTAGTGCGAGCTCTCGACACCCAAAACATTCGCCCTCTTCCCGTGCAGACTCTCATTGACCTTGTTCCGTAGGCCCTTGAAGTTGTCGGCTGGCGACTGTGATATACTGGAGGCCTTCCGCCGCGTGCTGCGAGGCGCAGAGATCTGCTGCGGTCGCACGTTCTCGTCCAACTCAATCGCCGAAGCGACAGCGGATCCGTTCGGCATCGCTTTAGCCTTGTTCTCTTCCTCCTGCGCGACCTTCTGGTCGGCTATGCGGCGCGCGCGCTCGTACTTCTCCTCCACGTTGCCTGTGTACATGGTGCCACCGATTCTGTCCCAGAAGACGAAGAAGGGCTGCGAGAAGTTGGTCTTGATGCCCCAGCTTTGGTGGTGGATGTCGTGGTAAGCGGCGTTGTTGGGGAAGATCCAGTGGAGCGGGTCGTAGGGGAACTCGTAGCCGCTGTGGTCCAGGACGGTCTTGATAGTCGAGCCAGAAAAGAAGAACCAAGACTGTCGGACGGTCATGCCAGTCACAAGGTAGGCAAGGCCGGCGCCGAGCGTGTCAAGTAGGAATCCCTCGAAGGGGTGGTTGTAGAGGGCACCGTAGGCGTACGGTACGTAGAGTCGGTGGTGGCGGGAGTGGAAGGTAACTGCACGAGTGAGAGGGGGCAATAAAGTCAGATGAGACTAAAACATACCATACAGCCATTTGTTCATGTGCATGGCGCGGTGCAGCATGTACTCCCATGTGTCGATGATGATGATGCCAGCCGTGAACTGCAGCGCGGGAATGGCATACCAGTAGAGAGCACTTGCAACGGCCAGCTCCCACCCTGCAAAAGCGGGCGCAACCGATTCGTGGAAGTAGTGCCCGCCTCGAAGAACACCGGCGAGGGCTGGCTGTGACGCAGCCACCTTGGCCGCCAATGCAGCTGAGTTGACGCCGACGCCCGACAGAACCACAGGAACAGCCCGTTGCGCGAGACGCAGCTTCTGCGCATACCAGGCGATATCGTAGTCGGCTTTTCCAATGTGTGCCACCTCATCATACCACGACAGGGCCAAGGCAGCGAATGTTTGAATAATTTGTTGAATTATGACGTCCCGGAAGACTTCGTATCGTGTGACATGGTTGCGCTTCAGCACCTCGGCGGGAGTGTGTAGCCGATATTTGCTGAATAGGTCGTAGACGTCGATTAGATGGTAGACTAGAGACACAGCCCAGTATGCGACGACAGGGAGCGCGGCTGCAAGGGCTTCATCGGATATCCAGGAGAGGAGCGGTGGTTGCGGTCGGAGGGTGTATTCAGGGAGCGGCGGGAGCTCGTATGACGTGTTCGCGGCCGCCATTTTGTGTCGCGAACGTGCAACAACGGGGTGCGAGGAGAATTGCAGCTCTTCCGGCGGTGTAGGAAGAGGTGCGAGCAGCGGACGTCAGATCCAGGAGCTGAGAAAGAAGGCACGCAGCGGGCGCCTGTGTCCGGAAGCCGCGGGTCAGGAGAAATTACAAAGGAAAGTTCAATGCGGACACGTTGAGGGCGGTCTCGCGGTTTCTAAGGGCGGTTGCAAAGGAGAGACTCGAGTGGGCAGAGCGCGGCGAGGATGGTGTGAGAGTGGTGCAGCCTTCCTCCCATGTGCATGTCCGTCACCATTTCACGCCGGGCCGTCCAACATCGAATTCGCCTCCCGCCTCCTTGGGCCCGTGCATCTCAGCCTTGTTGGTTTAGCGTTCGAGATCCCAGTGCCGCTGAATCCGGCATAGCGCGCGCCTGCCAAATTTGACCCCGCCAAAATTCCTACCCTCTTCTGCCCGCCCCACGCCCATCCTTCTCTCCAGTCCTCTCTCCCTCTCCTCGACACTCTTTACTCGTCAAGACACACCCGGCAAAATGATTATCTTCAAGGTGCGTTCCCAAGAGCATCCTTGGCTGCGCGCTCCGATACCCCGCCTACCCCTCGGCGCTGCCCGCAGTCCCCTAATCCGGACAACTCTCAAGCGCTGTATGACTGACAGTTGCGCAGGACTCCCTCACTGGCGACGAGATCATCTCCGACTCGTACAACCTCAAGGAGGTCGACGGCATCGCCTACGAGGCCGACTGCTCCAAGATCACCGTCGGTGTCGACAACATCGGTGTGTACCTTGCGCCCGCGGAGCCGTTCGATGCACACATGAGCTGACAAGCCGCAGACATCGGTGCCAACGCCTCTGCTGAGGGCGGTGACGAGGATGCCGATGATCAGGCCCAGACCGTCATCGACGTTGTCCACTCTTTCCGTCTTAACGAGACCTCTTTCGACAAGAAGCAGTACCTTACTCACCTCAAGGGTGCGTCCACCATGCGTCCACCATACAGCGCTCCATTGACAATATGTAGGCTACATGAAGGCTGTCAAGGCCAAGCTCCAGGAGAAGGGTGCCAGCGCCGACGAGGTTGCCGCTTTCGAAAAGGGTGCCCAGGGCTTCGCCAAGAAGATTGTCGCCAACTTCAAGGACTACGAGTTCCTCATCGGCGAGTCCATGGACCCCGATGGCATGGTCATCCTCCTCAACTACCGTGAGGATGGTGTCACTCCCTACGTGACTGTCTGGAAGCACGGTCTGGATGAGATGAAGGTCTAAGTTCGCTTAGAGTGAAAGAGTTGGTTGACGAAGCATGACCTCGGAATTGGATTTTACGACTACCTATTGCATCACGGGATATCCACCATCGTGCCAAAAGCGCTCATGAATCTACATGAATATAGCCTTCCCAATGAGTGCTGTCTAGTGATTGCCGGTGAATGAGAAAACGTCCGAGACCATCACAAACTGCAGCCCAATTCGCAATAGCTTTATCGTAGTAAAAGTTCTTCATTTTCGCCCTATTTGCTCACCATATTCACAACTGGACGCAGAGAACTCGAATATCCTCTTCACGAGTGAGCTGCTGCCCGGACATATCCAGAATATTTCCCATCAATTTTCCCAAAGAGGCAAGTACGACTGGTTTTTGTCCTCATACACAGATTGGCCATGGATAGACCTATAGCAGGTGACTGCATCATTGCTGATTAATCATTCGCACACTGCGCAGTACTGGAAGACATTTGGCCAAGCGCCGCAGCAGACGACCTTGCCCCAATTTCTGTATTCATCGGCGCCTACATGGGACACGGAGGTGGAGTCGGCCCGATTGTTAACTCTACTGTGTTATACTACATAGGCAGACGACGAAGAGTCGGAGGGTGTCTTCAGGAAGCGCCGGGCCCCCGCGCGATCGCCGTGGGCTACCGTCGTGATTGCGTGACGGGCCGTATCATCTGTATTGGTGTGGTAACACGGCCAAATTTCCTCGTCAATGGAAGAGATTTGCGGGACGTATCCTATGGAACTCAGTCCAGCGGCTGCTTCGGACGGATATGTCGGCATGCCTCAGGTATCAGTCTGCCTCGATTACTACTAAAACGACCAATAGCCTCCACAATTTGTGGCGGTGTAATGTTAGTTGCCATACATCATTGGTGAGGCGCAGGTACACAAGATACGAGCTTCTCGTATAGGAAGCGAGGTGTGAACAGGATGTCGTATTGAGATACTCGAGTTCCGGCGTGAGAGAGCGCTCTTGCAGAGTATCGAGAGTCCCAATGTTCGCTCGGCGCCCTCTGCTTCTTTCCGGAGTTTCTTCGACGGTCAGTTCGTGCAAGGAGGATGAGCAAAGGGTATCAACGCCAGACCTCGTGACTGCGCGTCCTCGCGTACGGCACCGGTAACGCACGGCCACCTTTCGTACCTGCAGCAACCCCGGGAGCCTCAGGCATTATGTCTCAGCTCACAGCCCCTCCCTCTTTGTTTTATATACCTGCTTTCTCTCGATTCGCGTATACGTTGGTCGCATCTTTTTATCCATTTCTTCCGGCTTCTAGTCGCCGTTTTACGAGCGGGCCGCAATGGCCAGTAACCGCCCGCCGCCGTCGCAAGGCAACCGCGGAAAGAGCGCGGGCCTAGCCCCTCCCGCTCCCAGCACTCCAAGTAAATCTGGCAAAGAGCTATATGCTCTCATCGACTCGTTCAACGAACAATGGAAGTTGGGACTCGTACGTGACCCAGACTGGACTCCGACAAAAAGCACCAAGGATGTGCCGGAAACGGTGTACAATCATTTGAAACGGCTTTACTGGCAAGGCGACTTCCACGACGTTGTCGGACGCTTCGTGCTGCAGGCGCCTTCACTTTCGGGCACCGCGCAGGTGGTGAGAACAAAGCGGTTGGGGTTGCTGTGTGACATTGTTCGAGATGTTGATGTGGCTAAAGGACGGAGTCCTGGCTCAAGGGCTGGTACGCCAGTTGGTGGGAGCAACTTGATCCCAGGCCTGCGGGCGTTAAGAATGGACCAGTCTTGTAAGTTCGTTCCCATTCCCTGGACTCGTGGACTCGTGGACTCTCCGAATCCGACGATGATTGGATGCTTCAGACTGCTCTGCTCGTCATCTTCCATCGCGCTTCATTTGCATGCCTCTAGAGAGACATATATCTCTTTGCGACAACGAAGGTGCAGACTGAAGATGTCTGATTTTGCAATTTTAGAGCTTCTGGCCTTTTCTTCTGACATAAATTGATGCCTTTCCCTCCTCAACGTACCTCTGCTTACAGCCATCGCAGCTACGTCCAAGTCCCGCCCATCTGCAGCCTCAAGTCGGCATTACACCTCGTACACCAGCAATGGCGAGTCGCACGGTGCTTTTTTTGATCCTGGGTCTCCTACGGACGAAGATGAGCCACCGCCGTCGCCAATCGCCTCTTCGAAGTCCGCACAGCGACGCATTCAGGCAAGTCCCCGATATCAGATGGGAGCTTCGGCGAGGAAACGTCCGTCGGATAGCTCTGGATCTGATTATGGCAATTCTCCAAAGCTTACAAGAACGTCCAAGGGGAAACAGCCGGCCAACAACGCATCAGACTCCACTCCCCCAGTCTTCAAGAAGCCTTGGCTTCCTGAATCATTCACTGGGGTGCCCAATCACGGGTCGTCATCCCGGTCGGCTCAACCTGAGGTCGTCGATTCTTTCGCTTCCACCGTAGAAAACTCTTTCCATACGACCTCTTCTTCACAACAGACGCTAGTAGACACTCCTGGAACGTCGTTCGCCTCTGATGCGTATGATGCCGATGTTAGATATCCGAAGTTGACGCGTACCAGCTCCACATCGCTGGGCTCACTCAAGGACCAGGATCTGTTCGACATTGAAGACCCCTCTGAAGCTCAAATACAGCGAGAACAAAGAGTGAGAATGGAGGAGCTCAATTACTCCCACTCCTCGCAAGACCCACCGCCTCACAGCTCCTCAGCGTATGGATCGGTAGACGAAGAAGTCATGTGGGAGAAATCATTCGAAGTCGATACTGAAGAGTATGACTCACCAGCCGTAGCACGACAAAGTTTATCAAGATTACCCTCCGCCTCATCTTCCGGTAAAAGACCCCTTGGCTCCAAAAGGCTGCCAAAACCTTCTGCCGAAAGCTCTCCTTTCAACCGGCCTTCTCCACATGACGACCACAGCGAGCGCAGCTTGAAGCCGAGCGTTTTTGATAGAAGCAAGCAACTTGGGCACAAAGTATCAGGCAACTCCCCTGCAAGGGCATCCTTCAACAAGTCTCCTTCGAAGCTTCCTCATTACATACGAAACATTCCTGACCAGAACTTCTTTAACGAGCCATTGACAGGAGATCTGAAAGAATTCCCATACTTTGTGCTTTTCATCTGTTCGAAGCTAGCAAGCGAGCACAGCATACCGTTGCCTACGTTGCTTCAGGGTGTTAACGCACGCAGGGCTTTTGCCGATCCATCTAAGTTTCTTGAGCAGGTCTGCGAAAAGCTCAGCCTTCCGCGTGATGCATTGAGAGATCAGCAAAAGTACTGGTCAGCTTGGAAGCGGGACTTTGAAGGGTACACATTCAAAGCCAGGATAGACTACAATGACTTGAAATTTAGTAAGTTGTACTGAAACTCGTCTTGCGCTCCTGGGTTTTCCCGAATGTCTTTAAGCTATGTCGAGTAGTAGGCTCTGCTGGCACATTTGCACACGCTGATACTTAAGGCAGAAGTCTCATCTAACCCTGTTTTCAAGATGATTTTACTCCCGATTCAAGCAGACCGATCTTGCCGGCTTCAGCGCAAATTTGGGTCGGATCGATTTCTTTACGTGAACGTGCCGTCGTTCGACCTTACGTCTTCACGGCACACCAAAGACGACTTGAAGAATATTGAACATCAATTCAAACTTTGGTGCGGTCGCAATCACTCGTTCCTAGGCCGCACATGGAGGGCCTTCCACGTTGAACCTATCAAGAAAAAGAAGGGTCGTGTCACGGATGACTTATCCGCCCAACGAATAGTCCTGTTCGCCATAGAAGGTATTGGCATTGAAAAGCCCACGATTGCCGGAAACATGATTGACTGGTTCTTCCCTTTCGAGGAGAATAAAGATCAAATTTATCCCAAGGCATTTGCGCGCTTGGATCTTGGCCTATCGCGGACAATACCCTCGCTTACTTTCAAACCACACCAAGTTATCTATGTTGAAGATATACTTGCAGACAGCACACCCGAAAATTTGGACTTCAACGACAACAGAATCGGCCCATGGCCAAACGACCACAATGTCCAGAAGCGCAGAGACGGCGATCATATCATCCAGAAGTCCAGAGATTATCCCAAAAACGCCGTGATGAATGACGGTTGCTCACTGATATCAGTGGGAGCAGCGCTGTTGATCTGGCAAGAGGTTAGAAAGATAACAAACTCTGATGAACCCATGCCAAGTGCCTTCCAAGCACGTGTTGGAGGGGCAAAAGGCGTCTGGATGATCAGCGCGGAACCATCGTCCGCTACTGATGACGACCGAAAGATCTGGATCAAAGTCTCCAAAAGCCAGTTGAAGTTCGAACCTCGTGGAGAGGACCGATCCGATGAACTAGAGTCTGATCCTCTCCACTTGACGTTTGAATACGTCAATCATAGCCGTCGCCCTGTTCCATCGGAGCTACACATCTCTTTTGTTCCAATCTTGGTCGATCGAGGCGTCCCGAGTAGTGTCATTGCAGATTTGATGGAGAAACAGCTCGATAGCAAAAGGGACGAGTTAATCCAGCTCTTGCTTGATACGGAGCGGATGTACCATTGGGTCCACCAAGAAGGCCCTTCGAATACGGGGTTCGAGAGTCCCCCATGGCAAGGTGCCATGTACCAATCTCTTCCAGAAAAGATTAAGCATCTGCTTGAAAGTGGATTCACGCCTGCTCAGGAGCCCTATCTCGCTGATTGCCTCTACCGTTTCATCCAGAATCGTCAGCTTTGGATGGAATCGAAGCTTCGCGTACCGCTGTCCAAGTCGACCTTTGTGCTCGGTGTAGCCGATCCTTTCGGCATATTGGAGCCGGGTGAAGTGCACATGGAATTTTCAACGCCTTTTACAGACGAGCTGACTGGTGGCCGGTTGAGATCGTTGGAGAATATAGAAATTCTTGTCTCACGCCAACCCGCTTGTCGCCGTTCCGACATTCAAAAGGCACGCACCGTTAGGCATCCTGAACTGTCGCACCTGATTGACGTCGTTGTTTTCTCCACGAAAGGGCAATATCCTCTTGCCGGGAAACTTCAGGGTGGCGACTACGATGGCGATATTTTCTGGCTCTGCTGGGACCAGGCCATCGTGCAGCCCTTTAAGAATGCTCCAGCGCCAGTCGGTCCACCAGATCCCGTTCAATATGGGATCCAGCAGGATATACGGAAATTGCACCAAGTCATGGACTCCACAGACTTGTCGACGGTGAACAATTTTCTGGCAGAAGCCTTTGAATTCCGAATGGCCCCATCCATGCTCGGTGTGGTCACGAGCCATCTGGAAAAGATGGCTTACCATGAGAACCAGGTCTTCTCCAATCGCTTGGACGCATTATGTGACATGCATGACCTTCTCGTTGATGCACCTAAGCAGGGATACAAGTTTACAAAGAAAGACTTCCATCACCAGACAATCAACGTCTTACGTTGCGATGCGCCTAGAAAGCCAGCATACAAGGAGGCAATGGAGGATTGCGAAAAGAAGGACGACACCGACAAGACGCGAAACAAGGACTACAAACCTAAGAATGAGAACATTCTGGACTACCTGTACTTTGAGGTCATACGCAAGCACGATGTCGCGACCCTGAAGCAAGTCAAAGACCTCTTTCCCAAAGAGTTTGGTGAGGACCCGGATGCCGTCCTACAGTACCCTTACCTCCAGCTTTGCAAGCACGTAAGCCCTGAGGTGCAGAAGGAGTTGAAAGACCTTTTGGAGAAGTTGGAACTTGTCGATAGGAAATGGCGGGAACTGTTCCATGACCCGAAGAAGGAGGAGAAGCTAGACTGGTACAGTCGCGCCGTCGAGACGTGTTTCACGAAGTACCGCGCTATCTTGCCAACCCAGGTCGATCATCCGGACATCAAGCCCTGGGTTCACCCATTCTCACGGCCGCAATACAGCGTCTGGGAGGAGATACGCGCGTCGGCGTTGTACACTAAGTTCACGAAACGGCGGCCCAAGCTTGTGTGGGCTGTGGCGGGCAAGGAGCTCGCTGAGCTCAAGGCAGCGTCATGTGCGGGCTCGACGAGGGTTGTGCCAAATATCAAGGCAATTATGAAGCCCAGGGCTCCAAAAGCGCCGAAACTGGAGGATAGTGAGAGTGAGGACGAATTCGAGGACGCTGTCGAGGAATTATAGAGGGAGTGCGAGGTCTATATGACAGGTCGATCCGCCTTATCTGGTGCTGTTCGCTAGCCTATGTTTTACCAATGTTGTGAAGCGTAGCCGGACGAGTGACCAGCGTATGTCTTCGTTCCTGGGCATCTTATGGCGAGCATGCGGTATGTTTGATACTCCTCTGTCTGAGACTTTTTCGGGTTCGAGTTTGGTTTAGCGGAGATGTGTCCTGACGTTACGACTTGTTGTCTGTTCCCCTGGCTAAATGATAGATTAAGCAATGCTACTCTTTACGCGCGGCTTGCGACCTTCATAAATGTGCAGATAGCCGCAGAAGACATCAGTAACTGCATGCTACCTCGGGCTGCAACAACTCAGCATATTGCTCAACCGACGAGAGTAAAGTACTTCCGGAAGACGCGTTTTCAATTAAGCTTCGCGCAGTGTTGTCTAGTGGCGGCCCCTTCCGCCCCTACTTGGCTCGGAGCAATGCGTAGACGATGTGGAGCGGGGTAGCAAACCATCCCACCCACCTCCCACCTCCATGGCGACGTTACATGGAGACCACATCTCGATGCCACGCCCTCCATCAAAACGCTTACTGATAAAGGCAGCGCATCTGATGTCGCATCCCACCAGAGCTGTCGCCCATCCTCACTACCCAGACTGAACACCTAGCAACCTTCCACAATGGCAACCTCCACCGAGACCGTAACCGCAACCGCACCTCCCACGACCACCACCGAGCCCGATGCGAACGACACAGTAACGCACGCATCGAATCCCTACGCCGCCGCCCGCGCCGCCCTCGACCGCGACGGCTTCGTCGTCCTCCCCGCCTCCCTCTTCCCCACCTTCGACCTCCCCACCCTGCGCTCCGCCGCCAGCGACCTAACCGCCTCCGCCCGCGCCGGCACATGGCCCTACATCCGCACCCTGCCGAAGCAGTTCCCACCGTGGCCCTCGACCCCCGGCGAGCACGGCATCTGGGGCGTCCAGCACCTCATGCACCCGGCGAACCCATCGCACGCCGTCTTCGCGCGGTCCTACTTCGATGGCGAGCTGCTGAAATATGTGGCGGCCTTGATTGGGTGTGAACAGGGGCAGCTGACGATGGAACTGTATAACATGCTTGTGCGGCCCGAGGAAAAGTTTGAACTACGGTGGCATAGGGATGACATTCCCGCGTCTGCGAGCGACGAGGACGAGGTCGAGAGGCTGGGGAAGCCGGGGTTCCATGCGCAGTGGAATCTCGCGCTGTACGACGACGCGAGTCTGGTCGTCGTGCCTGGGAGCCACAAGCGCGCGCGAACGGCTGCCGAGCGCGCAGCCGCCCCGTACGAACCGCATATTCCCGGGCAGCTTGTCGTGCAGCTAAAAGCGGGCGAGGTCGTGTTCTACAACAACAACATTCTACACCGCGGAGTGTACGATCCGAGTAAGGAGCGGATGACGCTGCACGGGAGCATTGGGACGACGCTGGGTAGTGCGGAGCGGGCGAGGAATGTGCTGCAGCATGGGGTTGGGGACTGGGCGAAGGAGTATGATTTCGAGGACTTTGAGTCGGAGATGAGGGAGAGGGCGCTCAAAATGAGGGCGGCGTTGGTCGAGATGGGGAAGAAGAGCGGCGAGGTGGGCTTCTATTCTAAAGACGAGTAGGAGGCTTGGGGGACAGGTGAGTGTATACAGGAACGTTTGATTGTTGTCTAGGGGGTATATAGCGGAAGTATGAACTATGCGTATCTCATTGCGGAAGGCAGAACGGTCGTCCCGGGCGTTATCCTGCAGGTGTAACGTTCCCCTGCTTCAAGACGACGACTTCGTTAGCACGAAACCGACCCTCGAATCTTTCTCCTTCAGCATATCCAGGAACACGTCGTCATCCACGGCCAAGGCGATCGCATCGGCATCTACGGAGTTGCCCCTTGTACTTTCCTTCTCCACTAGATCCACTTCCTCCGTCTTCTCTTCGCGTAGGTGCTTCGGGTCGATGTGGCGGTACTCCATTAACAGCGTCAACTTCGGCTGCTTCGCCTTGCGCCGTCTCTTGATCCGCTCTTCCTGGCCATCAATATCCACCTGGCTAGCTGACCCGAAACCCCTCAGCGGTTCGTCATCGCTATCTTCCTCTTCCTCTTCGACCTTAACCGGGGGCTCAATCTGAGTCTCCAACGAGCCTCTACAGTCGCAGTCGCATCCCAAGAGGTCATGCGTCTGGCACGTCTCCCTCTCATCCAGGCGAAACAGATCCTTCAGCTCCTCCCTCGAGAACGACGATGCACTCGCTTTGTTGTCCACCACCGCGTTTGCGAGACCCATCTTCATGATCTGTCGCTGGTAAATCTTCTCGTCAAGCCCGCCCTGGATCATGAACCTATATATTTTGCACGGCAGCTTCTGCCCGTCTCGGTGGATACGTGCCATGGCCTGCAGATCTGTCGCAGGGTTCCAGTCAATGTCGAACAACACGATGCGCGAGGCACCGACGAGATTGAGTCCCACGCCGCCGGACTTAGCGGATAGGAGGAACGCGAAGTGGTTCTTCTGGGACGACCTGTTGAACTTCTCGACGAGACCTTGGCGGTTTTTCGCGGGCGTACTGCCATCGAGGCGGCAATACGTGTATGAGAGAGAGACGAGGAGGCGCTCGATCATGTCGAGGGTTTGCGTGTAGTTTGAGACGATGACAATCTTTTCCTCTGTCGTAGTGTAGATGCGATGGACTAGGCTATCCAAGACACGCAGCTTCGCGCTTGAAGCGTTGGAATTCAGGACGTTCGGTGGGATCAGAGGCAGTAGAGACTGCAGCATCTCCGAAGGTGTGTCATCAGCATCCTTCTTAGACTTCAGCAAGGCTGGGCTGTTGCAAATCTTCTTCAATACGTTGATGAGCTGCAGAGCCATGTCGGTGTTGCCCAAAGCGACCGCAAAGATGGGCGAGGTCAGAATGGCTCGATATGCAGCTGCTTGAGCGGCAGTAGGTCTAACAAACACGATGTGCTCAGTCTTCGGAGGCAGATACTTCGTCAAAACTTCTGCGGTCCTGCGGATCATGAAGCGGCTGGTCAAAGACACGAGTTCTTTCCACCGAGCTTCGCCCTTCTCAAGCTCCGACTCGCTTGCATCTGGTTGTCGACTGCGAACAATTGGGGTCTCGAAGGTCCTCTTGAACGCGGAGCGTTGGCCGAGAAGACCAGGGTTGACAAAATCGATAGCCGTAAAGAACTCACCCAGGTCATTCTGTAGTGGAGTACCTGACAGGATGACACGTCTCTCAGTGTTCAGAGACTGTATAGCTTGCATGGCTTTGTTGCTGGCAGTCTTGAGCCGGTGGCCTTCGTCTGCAATGACAATGTCAATGCTACCCTTCTTCATCTCCTCCTGCACAGTCCGGAGCATCTCGTAGCCGATAATCATAACGTTGTAAGCCTTCCCCTTTGTGAAGTTCGTGATCCGCTTGTTCTTAGGATCAGCGACAAACACACCGACGCGCTCGTTGCCCAGCCACTTGCGGAACTCGCGACGCCAGTTGTCGACTAAACCAGCAGGACACACGATCAAAGCCTTGGTGACGACGGGTGGGCTTTCGTAGATTGGATTCTGCTTCATAAGCGTCCAGAGCAAGGCTATGGTTTGCAGCGTCTTGCCCAATCCCATCTCGTCGGCCATGATGGCGCCTTCTCCCTCACATCGCATGCCCATGACACACTCGTATAAGAATTGAACGCCTTCACGCTGGTGGTCTCGAAGGTGCTTGCTGAGCACAGGGTCAACGATCACATCCACAATCTGCTTGCCTTTGGGACAGGAAGCTGGACGCTTCATGATGAGAGCGTTTGCTTGGTTGGGGTCATGTCGTGGCTGAGGGGCCGTGGAAATCGTCTTCGGGACGACCGTACTTGAAAGCAGGGGCGTTTTGAAGATCCTTCCTGCCGTGGCAGGCTTCCGGTCCATGACGAGGCTGCCATCGTTCCCTGCACCATCACTAGGAATTCGAGTGGGCTTATTACGGCCAGTCGGCCCCTTCGGAGCTACCACCGGCTTGTAGCTGGGCTCTGCACGTTTCGGCAGCTCCGCAGATGCTTTTGCTGCCGTGCCTAGAAACATACGACCTGACATGTAGTCCTCCTTCTTGATGACGCTGTCGATTTCGAGCTCTTTTCCACCCAGCGAGAGCCCAGATCCGGCCAGCAGCGGGCGGTTGCATGCTCCTCTTGCCAGTTCTTTCCCGGTATCGCTGTCGGTCAAAGTACCGTAGCCTGCCTTCACAGCAAGCACCCCGTCACCGTCCCAATTCTTGTGCTTCTTATTCGTGAATTTCCGCCACAGGACCGTGTAGTAGCGTTCGTTTGGGTCGTCCGACTGCGATTGGGGTGCTGGAGCGGGATTCGGAACCGTGACAAGGGGTTTGCGGTCGCCCGACGCGTGTCTTCGGGGCAAATCGTCTTCTGAGATTCGCCGCCTTTTGAGGGGCGGTTGGTCGCTGGACAGGGTGTCCCGAACAAACGACGGAGGTCGGAAAGGTTTGCCTATCATGGTAGGCAATTTAAGAGCTAAGTTGGGCTCAGCATATCGTAAGACTATCGTAAGGTCGGGTGCCGTCCGCAGAGTTGAGATCGAAGGCGAGACCGCGCGACTCGCGCCAAGAGACGCGGTGTCACGTGGCTAGCCTGAACTTTGACAGGGGCTACCGACGTCATGACTTCGCGTTTCCAATTTCCACGCATCTGCTTCTTCACATTCACTGCACTTTCTACGCTGTCAGGCATCAACTGCGGCATCTCTCCATCTCGAATTGTGTGAACAACGTTGGTATCGATCGGATTGAGCATTTCATCACATTGAAATACATTATGGCACGAGCATCTACAACACGCGCAAAGGCGAGTTCCAAAATATTGAATAGAAGCAAACCATCGACACCTGTGAAGACTGAAAAGACACCTAAGAAGATCAAAGAGGAAGACGAAACACCCGCAAGGCCAATTGACACGGGCTCAAAGCGTTCGGCCCCTTCCACCACAACCCGCAGAAGTAAGCGCATTAAGACTGGAAGCAATCAGCAGACAGGGCTGCTATCCCCATCAGGATCCACAGGTTCAGAAGCAGAGTCAGAGGAGGCCTTCGAGCCTAAATCGAAAACCAAAGCCAAATCAGCATCGAAATCAACGGCAACAACCAAAGATCTCTCGTCAAAGAAGCTGCAAGCATACTTCACGAACGCAGGCCAATCGCCATTCCCGACCTTCAAGCACCCAACTAGAGACGAAGCCAAACTTGCGCATCGAATTCTGGCCTCGATGCACGGTGAGCGCACTCGTCCAAAGGAAGTCATCGCGAGCAAAGACCGCGCAGGATGCGGCGACTCGCCATCTGTTCTAGATGCACTAGTGCGCACCATTCTCTCGCAAAACACAAGTGATAAGAACTCGACGCGAGCTAAGCAAAGCATGGACGAAGTTTATGGCGGCTCGGACCAATGGGATGCCATTGTGGCAGGAGGAGAATCGAAACTACAGAAGGCCATCCAAAGCGGCGGTTTGAGCGTGGTGAAGTCTAAAGTCATCATCTCGATCCTAAAGCAAGCGAAAGCCAAGTACGGCGAGTACACCCTAGATCATCTACACCGGGCCAGCAACGAAGACGCCATGCGCGAGATGTTAAACTTCCAAGGCGTGGGTCCCAAGACAGCGAGTTGCGTACTGTTGTTCTGTCTGCAGCGCGAGAGCTTCGCGGTTGATACCCATGTCCATCGTATTACGGGCTTGCTCGGTTGGCGCCCTAAGACCGCGAGTCGCGATGAAACGCATAGCCACCTGGATGTCATGATCCCTGACGAAGACAAGTACGGGCTGCACATCCTGCTCGTCAAACATGGCAAAGTCTGTGACGAGTGTAAAGCTGGAGGCAAGAATTCGGGGAAGTGCGAGTTGCGGAAGGCTTTCCGACAGGGCAAAATCAAGGGAGAGGGCTGTGAGAACGCTGACCTGGAAGATCTGAAGGAGGAAGAGGACGAGACAAAACAGGCAGAGCAAATAAAGGAGGAAGATGAAGAGGTCAAACAAGAAGAGCACATCAAGAAAGAAGATCAGGGCCAGTCCGCATAGCGGCAACGATGATGTTACAATACGCATAGTAAGGTCCTATAACATTACACGTACACAAAGGCATAGACGACTCTACGCGCGGCTTCTTATGGCCTCTAGATCGGACGCAATTATCTCGGCCGCTCCACTGCCTCGTCATCTCCATCTACCAATCTATAGCGTCCCCTCGCCCAAACATCTCGGCAAGGGAAACACATCCCCCACACAAAGACTAATAACCCCATCCACCCACTGCATCTGCCCAAATGCCTTCTCCTCAAAGCTATCCGCCTGATACCCCGTCAAGCTCCCCTCACTCCCCACGGTCCCCTCGAAAACGTTCCCGCTCTTCCGGTTCGTCCACGGATTGCTCACAAACGCGCCGTACTTGCCCGCCGGCACATCGCCCTCGAATTGCTGCAACTGCTGCGACGTCCAGGACTGGCTATAGTCGATGGAGACCGATGCAGACAGGAAATCCTCGACGATACCAAGGGTCGCGGACGTGCCGACGGAGATGCTGTTCGAGATCTCGTAGCCTGTGGATACGGTGATGGTGGTGGGCGCGCCGGAGACGACTTGCGACATTTGAACGTCCCAGCCGAGAAAGCGGGAGTCGGGGTTGGGGATGACAATGGTGGAGCTGCCGCGCTTTTGGATGGAGCGGGTTTGTCTCTGGGTGACGCTCGTGCTGGGACCCGAAGAGGTGACGAGGTTGGGGTTGAGGTTTCCGGGCATTGGAGGGACGGTGCCGTTCTTGCGGAGGGCTTCGAGCTCGTTGAGTTCAGTGCGTTTAATGATTTGGTAGCGGCCGTTGCCATAGAGGACGACGTCGTCAGCGCGGAGTTTGATTGTGGAGGGGGCGGCCATGGCGGTAGTGCCCATGGCGACTATGGCTAGGAGCTGAGAGGCGAGCATGGTGATAAAGAGTGATGGGTGAAAGAACAGAATCAGCGAACGACTGTGGTAAGCAATAGAAGGATAAATGAATGGATGAGGTGGTGGACTCTTCCCAGGGACCTCCAGCAGACTTATACCATCTTCTCCATCTCTACCTCACATCGAAGGCAGCCATGTAACCCTCCGCATCATGCGGTACCTTCTTGGCAGGACTCACAGTGGAGCAAACAAGGTACACCCTTCGGGCCGAACAACTCCTGACTCTCATGGTTGACCTTCCCTGCAGACCCCTATTCGCTTGGTAGTTGTAAGCCGTTGACCGTCAACCGGCTGAACGCTACCCTATCCGTCCTCTCCCGAGTTACCCTAATTTAGGATGCCCCTACGCATGCTCCCCGATCGCATAACTCCTATTGGCTGCCTGTCTCTACACTTCTCCCTTTGGCGTGTCGAAACATGCGGCCCGACTCGACGGTCCGACTCCGCATAAACCGCATGAACAACACTACGTCTCATCGTAAGGACCCCACTGTAACCTCAACCACGTGGGCGCATATTCTGTTATCTCGGCCTTTCTTTTTGTCTTGGGGTTTCTAAATGCGGGCGGGCTGAGTAGAAGATTTTCCTGTTTATTGGGCGTTTTGAGAAGCCAAACGTACGATGGGAGAAGGGAGGATGTTTCAAAGTGAAGAGAACCGCCACTTTGTCGCCGAGATACACCCGTATACGGAGTTTGGCTTCCGGGGGTGGGAAAGCGTTGGTTCCTGCAGGTCTTGGCTAGATATCGCGGTATGTCATGGATACTGAGTGCAGCTCCTGAACACTGCCTACAAGTACGGCCCCATTGCGCACTCATCTCGCTCATCACAGCTCATCAGCTTGTAATCCACACTCGTTCCTGAACACTGTCATTCGTTTACCAAACACATTCGCTACTTCACGCTCGTTTCACTAAGTCGACATCTGAACAGCCCTTCCAAAATGCACTTCACATCCACCCTCATCTTCGCCACGACACTGCTCGCACCCTTTGCAGCTGCTGATCTCCACTGGAGCGGCTTGTGCGTCGACAACGTCGGCGGGCAAAACGTTTACAACGATGCCGCAACCAAGGCTGCATGCACAGCTTACGCAGCGCGGAATACTGGATCAGAGCAGTGGGATACGTGCCCAGACTGTGTAATGGTAAGCAGTTCTGAAACAGAAGAAGGGGACGTATGCTGACTTTGGTAGCAAACGGTGGGAGGACTTCCTTCGTGCAACTCGCCCGCGAAGCATATTGGGGGCGATGAACTGAGCTACTACTGTGAGCAGAATGGGGCTGGGGGCTCTATCGCGGACTAGAAGATGCAAATAAGGCTTGATAGTTTGAAAATGTAATACTTTTGTCTATGCTGCCAACACGTATGATTAGAAGATTTTTCGTGTGATATAGTTGATTCAAGAATGAAGTGATTTTTCGAATCGCGACAATAACTTACGAGAATCGAATGATGTTTATAATAGCGTTAAGGGCGTTTTGAGACAATCCTGAATTTTAATTTTTTCCGCTTTCTCTACAATGGCAGACGTGTAAACTCGGGGGATACGTTCCAAAGAATATATCGGGTAGGCACGGGCCAATTGGCAACCGCCTTCGCGTTCCATAGTGCTAAAATGTATAGGCCTGGAGATATTGTGCTGATGTTACAGACGTGTGCCCTGGTCTACCAAAAGTATCAAATTCAGGGTGCAAGTAGCGGTGGACCCTTCACTTTAGCCGTAGCCGCGATTGCGCCAAAAAGGGAAGTCCTCGCAACTAGGATCATCGCCGGTGCAGTGCCAATAGAGGCGGGACGTCGCTGTAGGAACTTCAGGCGTCTCCTCGGCAAATATTTGCTTCTAGCATTCCCGTGGTGTTCCAAACTGCAAGCACGATCCCAACTTCAACCAGAGGTCAGGAACATTCGAAGCGGTCAGATTGCTATTTTCGATGAAGAGTAAGTACAATTCCCTGAGCAGAGAGCGGCACTGGCCAGACTAGAAACACTTCTCAGAAACGAGACTACGGGCAGTGTGGAATGCTACCGCGCCCTGAATAGTTATTGAGGATTCGAACTGGAAGCTCTTCGGGACAAGAGCCCGGTTCTCTTGGCATATGGGACCGAAGATTAAGCTGCACCTCTTGGTGGGGGTCGCTACATCGCAGAGCGCATAGGTCCAATATGTGAGCTGACTGTGCTTGTGCACATCATGACATGGTAGCACCCCTTTGCGGGCGGGAACTGAAATGGAAGCTCAGATCGTGAAAGTAGAAAAGCAAGATGACGGCCCCGGACTTTTGGGTCGCAAATACTCTACCATTGAAACTCCATGGTAAACTCCCTGAATGTAACCTACACCTCCTACCAACCAACACACTCAGCTACTCATACCTTCCTAACTAACGCACATGGTTATTGCCCAATCGCCCTGCCGCCCCGTGGCTATCAAGACCGCGAATGTGACACAACGCGCTCCTCGCGTCAACCTGCTCCAAGGGATGCCCACAGCGCGCACAAAACCGCTTTGCCATCCCGCATGCAATGTCTCACTGTACTCACCATCCAGCCCATCATGAAGCTGCTCCCCCTCGCCACATTCTGCGCCACCGTTCTCGGTCTCCCAACTCTCCATCGTCGGTCCGACTCTTGTCCCCAGCCTTATTCCTCACACCAGACTCACAAACCTAGGGACGACCCTCCACCTGCGCCTGCGCCCGTGCTCAAGAACACACATCTGTACCTCTGCTCAGAAGCCGGTTTCGAAGGCGCTTGTGAAAACGTGCAGGTTGATCTGGGGAAATGCTGTGAGTCTGCCACTTCTCCACTCCCTCTGAATTAGTCATTGACGCCAAGCAGACAATGCGGACGATAAGTTGAACGATAAGATATCGTCGACGGGGCCGGATAAGGGGTATTTCTGCACGGCGTATCCGTATGTTTGATCCGCTCCATTAAGTGTTGTAAAGCGGGGCGGGGCGGAGCGGAGCGGGAACCATTGGAGTAGAAGAGACGCTAACAGCACAAAGGGATTTCGACTGTAGCGGAAAGGCATTTCCATTCGTAAATCCGGGCATCTGGGATTTGGCGAACTATGGCTTTGGAGACATTATCAGCTCGTGGAGGTGTGATGAGTTGGGTGGACTGGATGATTGAGATGAACAGCGCAAAGTCCTTGTCTTGCCCACGTTGCGAGCTCGCTGCCCTAGTGGCTGAGGACATGCGCAAAGGTTAGCTCACAGAGCTGGAAGAAAATGAAGTTCAAATCTTTTGGTATGCGAGAAACTCAAAACAGAGAACCGGTAGTACATAATTGCCCACCCTAAGCGCCGTGAAACGCCAGCCTTTCCGAGCTATCGGTATCACACAACCCATCTGTCTCGTAAAGCATGAAAATCCGCACTCTAACCTCTGCTTCAGTCTCGCTTCTATGCCGCACGCTGGTAGATACCGGCGACAAGAGCGTGATCACGCTCGAAGGGCTCGAGCGTCAATTGCTCCTTTGGCTTAATGCCCATCTCCCTCATCTTATTGACCTCAGAGGCGAACACGGCCTCAGGGGCAGCGGTCGAATCGATACAGTTAGCCTTGATAGAGATGAGAACGCCGCCGCCGACCTTTAGGAAGAGGCTGGCATTGAGACCGACAATACGAGCTTGATCTGGCTGAGCAACGTCTGCGAAGATGCAGTCCACCATAGGCAGAAGCATACGGTACTTCAGCGGGTGACGGGCGTCCTCGACGATGGGTATGACGTTCGTGCGGTGAGTAGCCATGTTGATCAGGTCACGACCAGATCGGTGGGAGAACTCGACGGCGTAGACTGTGCCCTCTGGGCCAACAATGTCGGCAACGTGCGAGACGCTGGTTCCGGACGCAGCGCCGAGGTAAAGAACCTTGCTTCCGGGCTTCATGTAGATGTCGTCGACACCACCCAAGATACCAGCGGCAAGCTTGGATCGGAAAGGGTTCCACACGCGGTATTCGGTTGTAGTAGCGGGGGCATCGTCGCCGTTGGCCGGGTTCGCGCTGTTCGCAATGCTGATGCGCTTCTCGCCGTAGACGCTCTCGCCAGGTGTGAGGTTCTTGGTGAGCAGGAGATCCTCTTTGCCTCTGCCCACAAAAACTCCAGCATGACGATGAGGCTCAACAATGACCTTGCTATGCACATTGTTAGCCGGGATTCAGCGTCTTGCGCATGATGACTTACGCCCCGCCGCGAGCTCCCGCTCCGCCGCGCCCGCCTCCTCTCGGCGCGCCTCTGCCCCTTGGAGCACCTCGTCCAGCACCTCGCCCGCCTGAGGGAACATGTTAGTCAAGGGCAGGTTGCTGTTCTCCAAACTACTTACCACCTCGTCCACCTCGATCACCGAAACCTCCACGGCCTCCTCCACGGCCTCCACGGCCACCGCGATCGCCAAAGCCACCACGTGACCCGCCGCGGCCTCTGTCGCCTCCAAACCCGCCTCGACCTCTAGGAGTGAACGCCATAGGTGATGATGGTATAGTTCGAGCGCTTCCTGCGATTGTGTGGTTGCTGTGGGCGCGTTGCTGTCAGGGACAGCTGTTGCGATGAAGCTGACAGAAAAACCCCCAGAAATTTATTGGGTGAATGCGCTGCTGTCGGCGGTTGCTGTTGGTGGAGTCTGAAGCTCTGAACTGAAGTTCAGACAGACAGACTTTTTTTTGGATCCATTGCGCTAAGGCACAAAAAGATCCGTGCGTCGGCAAATATTGGCTTAGGTAACCGCCCACACAGGCTTCGAATTTGCTTCGCGCGAACATCGACCTCAACTAACCACACAGGATACCCGCCGCACATCACGATGGTACGTCGTCCGCCGTCCCTGGAGCTGCAAACAGCGCCTCGATAACATATCGCGCGCACACGCAATCGCGACACCAGCTAATTGGTTTCGCAGGTCCGCTACGCAGCCACCTCGATTGACAACGCAAAGTCCGCCAGGGCTCGCGGCAGCTACCTCCGCACCTCGTTCAAGAACACCCGCGAGACTGCCCAGGCTATCAACGGATGGCGCCTTGAGCGTGCCCTCACCTTCCTCGGCAATGTCATCGAGCACAAGGAGGCCGTTCCCATGAGGCGGTACGCTGGCAGCACCGGCCGCACTGCGCAGGGTGAGTGGCTGCGAATTTTTCTATGCGGACGATGCGAAAGAGCTGGAATCGCGATTTTTCGGCCTGTTGGAACACGAGACATTGCGGCTTTCGTTGGGTTGAGTGCATGGGACTGACACTTACCTAGGCAAGGCTTTCGGTGTCTCCAAGGCCCGCTGGCCCGTCAAGAGCGCCGAGTTCGTCCTCGGTCTGCTCAAGAACGCTGAGGCCAACGCCGACACTAAGGGTCTCGACACCAGCAACTTGGTCGTCAAGCACATCCAGGTCAACCAGGCCCCCAAGCAGCGAAGGCGCACATACCGCGCCCACGGCCGTGTATGTCCATGTTGAATCTGAACAGATCTGTGCAATCCCTAACATGTGCAGATCAACCCCTACATGTCGAACCCCTGCCACATTGAGCTTATCCTCACCGAGGCCAACGAGGCCGTCCAGAAGGCCGAGCCCATTGCCCACCGCCTGAACTCCAGGCAGCAGGGTCGCGCGACCCGCCGGGCCATCACCGCCGCATAGAGAAGAGTTATTGGGGTCGGCACGGTGTCTAGGGGAAGGAAAACGGAGACGGCATGGGCAAGGTCTAGGCGTCAATGAGCGATGATCATAGGGAATTTCATACCTTCACGTGTACTCCAGCTGATTGGAGGGTCATTATACCGGTGTCTGCGATAAAATTTCGAGGCCAAGGCCTGTTCCCAATCTCTGATGAAGAGACGACAACCTCTCAACTAGTTTCCCAATACTCAACGAAGCACCTGTTTGAGATCTAGCTCTACCAGTAATTGCTGAACCACATTGCAGTCAGCGACAATACCAACATCAACCGCCACTCCACCAATAACTGTCCCGCCGTACCTTCGCCCTCGCCCTTCTGTCCCTCCGCAAACCCATTCTGCTCCCCGCCCAAATACAAAGCCCCCAACTCCGTCAACCCCCCATCATCATCAAACAACGCCACCCCATCCCCAGTCCACTCATTCGCATCACCTTCCCTAAAAGCTCCAAACCACGCATACTTCTCCACATAATCCAAGCCATCCAGATATGGCAACGTCGCATTCATCATCTGCACAGTCGTCTGCGCATCCTGCTGCGGCAACGCCAACTCTGTAACCCAGATCTTCAGCCTATCGTCCCCTTCACGCGAGCCATTGGTGTTGTAGAACTCATCCAGCGTCCCCAGCCACGACGCAAGCCCGTCAAACGCCCCGTACCAGTGCGCGGCGATAAAGTCCGTGGGGCACCCACTCTCCGAGTCGATGTCGTAGCACGACGCGTTGAAGCTTTTTAACCACTCCAGCCCATTCCCTGAACCTGTCACGCTGGGGTGGCTGATCTTCCACTTGCGTTCACCGGACTCGCCGTCCCGGAACTTGGTAATGTGCTCGATGTACGCTTTCGCGGCGTCTTCGGGACTTATGCTGCTCCCGCCGCTCTCGGTTGTGCCGTCCGGTTCGTTGAAACTTAACAGGTGGGTAGAGGAGTCTGGGAGTGCGGAGAGTTGGCGAGATATTGAGTCTGAGGATGCTTCATCGAGGCCGTGGATTAGAGGGACGAACTCTAGATTCTTAGAGGGAACCTGCGGTGGTGGAGAGGGTGCCCAATTGTAGTACCATTTAAGTGGCGTGCGGGAGGAGGTGAGGATGTTGTTGTCGGCCTCGTTAGTATTTCCGACGTAGGCGAAGCCACGCTTGTTATCTTGAGCGAGAACAGGGACGAGAAGCGCGGTGAGGGCAACGAGCGTGGATGTTCTTTGTCTTCGACGTTCATTATTTCTTAGTTGTGTGTGTCGCGCCATTGTTGGCGTGGGTATGTCGCAGCTGTTGTCAACTATCTTTTTCAATGTGACATAGGCAGGGATTTCCGAGGACCAGGTTAAAGAGTCTCATCGCAAGAGGGGCATTTCCTCGTCTATATTGCATATTGCAACTGATAAGACTGCTGAAGTGGCGGTGCCATGGCTACTTCCTCGTGTGCTGCTAGGCCTACGTCATGACATAGAAACTTGGCAAGAACCATGCGAGGCCAGCGGTGTTATTGATGGAGAATATGGCAAGGCCGAATCTTTGACCATATGAAATGATTGTACTGAGATTTGAGGCTGCAATAAGTCTTCTTGGGTGAAGTATTGGTGTTGACGTTGAAATCGTCGATGAGCGCTGCGAGGGGGTTTAGATTGGGTTTAGCGGTTTTTATCACACGTTTGAGCATCTCCCGAGGTCAAGGCAACTTGCTGTGCTCATGTCCACTATTGCGTGCACACCGACCAAAAATGATCCTACATTGAGTAGCGCGTGGTGAGTCTAATGTTTTTGATCGTGATATCTTCGCTTGAAATTCCACAGGCTCAGTGCTTATTGGAACGTGGGTAAACCGTGAGCCGTGCCGCTAGCGCCCGCAAAGTCAGTACGTAGTGGTACTACTCACAACGCTACTTTGACGCTGCTACTATAAATCGCCCTGAGGCCTACATAGTACAAATCTGCGCCGCGATGCACTCATACCAGCAACTTGCTACTCGTCTGCGTATTGATAATGGGTCGTAGGATTCGCAGTACGGCCCGCACATCCTGAACATCCCCAGATCCATACCCCGCCAAACCCAATCCAATGAACTTTACCCGCTCCCGGATTCAACACCGCGAACCTTGTGACACCGTAACATCAGCAACCGCTCAATTGACTAGCCAGCAACACACCCCTCTCACAGCGACAAATCACGGAACAGCATCTCCACCAAGACTGAGGACGTTCGGCACCTCGCTACGATGACCAGGCCTTTGTCCGGGGAGCGGGTAGCGATCCTGGCCAACAGGACATGTAGGTGATCTCGTTTGTAATTTAGGCCCGTAAAAAGGTCCCTGGCACAGGCACGGCTGCTCATTAAGCTTCGTATAAGAACTCTTATGCACCTCTTGTGCCCTCCTCCCGCAGCCACCTTTCTTGTCCTATAACATACCGTCCTCTGACTGTTTGCGCTTAGCCAACAGTCCAGACTACGGGGCCATCACATCAGCCTCCAGCAGCACAATGGCCGCCGGCACCGACACTAAGCCAGCAGTTGACGAAATATCGGACGATGTCGTGAAAGCGACGGAACCTGGGCATGGCCATGCGCATGGGAGGATACAGCCGCCGCCGCTGGTTGCGGCGATGTCGCAGGAGTACCGGTTGGAGGCCGAGGCCAAGCTGCGGAAGAAGATCGACACGCGATTGCTACCGATGATTATTCTGATGTACATTATGAATTATCTGGATCGCAACAATATTGCGGCGGTGCGATTGGCGGGATTGCAGGACGAGTTGAATTTGACGAGCACGCAGTATCAGGTCAGTTTGCAGTTCATTACCGTTCATCACATTTGTTTCCGGAAGAAAAGTCAGTGGGTGGTGTGGGATTTGCGGTACCCACCATCTCCGCTATTAACGCTGTGCTCTGTACTAACAATGGACACAGACAACAGTTTCAATCCTGTTCGTTGGCTATATCCTGATGCAAGTGCCGAGCAATTTACTATTGAATAAGACCGGAAAGCCAGCTCTCTTTCTTCCCATTTGCATGATCATCTGGGGAGTTATCTCGGGCGCAACAGGCGCTTGCCAAAGTTTTGGAGGCCTTGTAGCATGCCGATTTTTCCTTGGTTTCATCGAAGCCGTATACTTCCCTGGTTGTCTGTTCTACTTGTCGTCATGGTACACTAGGAAAGAGCTTGGGTTCAGGACTGCAGTGTTGTACTCCGGCTCTCTCATCTCCGGTGCTTTCGGAGGACTGGTCACCGCCGGTATCACCAGCAACATGAACAACGTCAAAGGCCTCAGGGCTTGGCGATGGGTCTTCATCATTGAGGGTGCGATTACCGTCGTCATTGCCTTTGGAGCCTTCTTCGTGCTGCCCAACATGCCCCGGACTACGGCATGGTTGAGTGAGGAAGAGCGTCAGCTAGCAACGTTCCGCTTGGTCGAGGATGTCGGCGAGGAAGATTGGACGTCTTCTGAATCGCAAACCTTGTTCCATGGATTTAAGCTCGCACTGGCTGATATCAAGACCTGGATTTTGACAGTCCTTCTTCTGGCCATCGTCTCATCGGCGTCCGTCACGAACTTCTTTCCGACGATAGTGAAGACGCTCGGGTACAACAATGTGAAGACTTTGCTGCTTACCGCTCCACCTTACGTTCTTGCGGTCATCACGACATACCTGAATGCATGGCACGCAGACCGCACAGGAGAGCGCTTCTTCCATATTGTGCTTCCCCTTTGCGTCGGCGTCGTAGCTTTCATCCTCTGTGCTGCAACGCACTCCACCGCGCCGCGGTACGTCGCCATGATGTTGATGGTTCCCGGAGTATACACCGGCTATGTCGTTGCGCTCGCCTGGATATCGAATTCCCTACCGCGTCCGGCGGCGAAGCGCGCTGCTGCCCTCGCGTTCATCAACGCCATCTCGAACACCAGTTCAATTTACGCGAGTTACATGTATCCGCAGCCGAAGAGTGGGCAGCCAAACTTGACGATCCCACTGAGCGTAGACTGCGCAACGGCTGCGCTAGCTATCATTATGGCGGGTGTGATGAGGGTCATCTTGGGCAGGCTGAATAAGAAATTGGATAGAGGAGAGCATGTAGAGGGTGCTATTAATGCGGTCCCAGGGGTGGCGCAGGAGAACGGGTTTAGATTCCTAGTGTGAGAGTGCGAGGACTCTGATGCGAGATGCATTCGTAAGGAGAAGGCACAACATGGCACCGCCATTACGATCAACAAAGCGATAATAGATTACCATTTCAATGTGTGGACGGCCTTCGGCCATGAACCGTTGCCACTCGGGCATCAAAGGTTTCGCCAAGTCACGACGTGCGACTCACGCACCATACATTCCACTGATAGAGAATGGGCATTCTAGGCTAGCCTTCGTTGATTCACGGCTGGAGCTTCGAGGCCCATGACATGAACATTCGTCCTGTCTGGTGAACCTGGGCGATAAGTTCGCGTGAAAGCTTCGCTGACCATCGCACGTGACTCGGCTAGTGCCGGGCGCCAAATTCTTGCCCCATAGTCTGCGGATCTTGAAACTGAAGGTGCGTCCCATCGCCGCCATCGCGCATACGTCAACCCTCCCCTCCACTGCTGTACCCTGGCCTGTCCGCGTCTCCACATATACGCGCCCGGCTTCACTACGCGCGACCGCTCTGTCCATCGTTATTGAGGACACTTACTTCACCCTCTGTATCAAGATTAGCTACGTCGCAGCTATCGATTACAGCACACAGCCAAATCGCTGTTCACGCACTATGCATTCACGGATCTAAATCAGACGGCCGGTGCAACTCAAACACTCTCTCCGCACGGTGTTATCGCCCTACTTTATCAACTGGCCCGAACGGCAATCGCTTTTGTCGATCAACGCGCAGTAGGCAGCAACTCCGCTAGTCAGCTGACGCCACCAAGTCACTCAGACTACTCGCGACTGAACATCACATCATCATGGACTTCTCGAACAACGCCTTCAGGCCGAAGAAAGAGTCCGCAACGCTCTCTGCCGACACCATGGGTCATGCGCAAGCAGTAGAAGCCTGCCGTTGGGGTTGGGCCGTTGATCCCCAGGTTACAGGGACACCGACGCCACGCGCGTCTGCACCAGCGGTGCAAGCGCGCCAAATCGCGACCTCGCAAATCACGCGTCCAAATCGTTCGACACCCTGCCGCGGCCGTCTCTATCATCAACTATCATGCTCACACCGAATTCGAACCGATCTTGTCGAGGATTGCGGCTCAAATTGTCTGGAGCCCCACGGTCTCGTGTCTGACGTTCCGTTCTTCTGCCAAGAATGCGTCGAGCAAGAAGCAAAGACTATCTGGGCAACGCGCGAAGCAGAGCACAACGCCTTGTACCCCTCTCTAGCCGATATGACCAAAGAGCAGTCTGACATCTGGTACGACGGGCACCGCAAGCTCGAGGCGTCGTTCACACGCGACCGGAAGATCTACGAGATGGAGCTCCGCTCGACCACGCGTCCCAGCAACGTATGCTCAGCACTCCAGTACAGCGAGGAAGAGAAGGCCTTCGCAGCAGAATTGGACTCGCTCTCTCTCGCCATGATGTCATCAAACACCAGTGCCATCTCAGAGACCCAGTCTCCTCCCCGTAAGCGAATTGGCCTGCCAAACGACGCGTCTGAGCAGATCCACTGGGGCCTCAATTCACTGACCATCGACCGCGGCTCGTGCGGTCCGGAGTTCACCGCTGCACAGCCCTCAAACGGCATCTCGCCGCTGCAGGCTATGAGCGAGGAGGAGCTTTGGGGGCGTCCTCGGGAGCGCAAGTAGGATGCGCAGACATTTGGCTGTATCATCACGAAGCAGATGACCGATATGGGGTGTTCGGATCTATGAATGATTTGCATTTAGCGACATAGGCATTGGTATGGAGTTTGGACAGAACAAAACCACTATGAAGATGGAAGATGAAGGGGTGTACCACCACAGTGTGCAACAATGAATGTATACGTCATCACAATGAATGATCATCGTTTTTTGGAATTTCCGCGTTTCTCAAGAATGGTTTCTGCTTAGTGGAAGTGGAATCGTGATTTTCGATTTACATATGTCGCTATTGTTGTTGTTTTGTTGTAGTCCACTTCAATCAGACCCTCATCTCCTGATTCTTCGTGTGTAGAAGCAAAAGGTTCTTTTTAGCATGCATTTATGATGAGGGTGATGGCGTAAAGTGGTTTGATGTTGCTGCCTGGGAGAGGATTCCAGATAGAACTCAGCCTTGTCGTTGGGCGGCAACATATTTACTAGTAGCCTGGAGTTGTTGCTGACAGAAAGATCAGTCGTGGCGAAGTGAAGCTAAGAGCGGCGGGAACTCAGCTTTCCAGGGCAAATGCGGGGTATAGGGAATTAGGTCAATTCGCCTTGGGGACAACTTGTAATTGAGCCTTTGTGGTCAATATTGTCACCAAAGCCTGACCTGATAATGGCCTAGCCTTCCTAGAATGCTTGGATAGAACTTAGCACTAGTCGTAAGTGTAGTTTTGCATTCGATCGTATGAATTAATGCACAAATCCCTTAGGGCATGTGGCAACAAAACAAATATCGTAATGTAGCAACGCCGTCGTCACGTATATGGATACCATCCTCCTTTTTCATGACATTCAGCCCTGCGACTAACTGCGGACAGTGAATCCTGGCATGTCCAACTGTCTCTTCTCCCAACCTGCTCCTGATCTATCCTAGACCGTATGCTTATCGAGAACTTGCACTGACTCCTCGGTCTCCCGGCGCCTTCATCGATCTGCGTAGATCGCCGACCGGCCGTTCGGTCGCTTCGACGCTGGAGACGAAGGTATTGGTAGCCTTTTCTGGAGTTGACGTCCATATATGTTGGCACTGGCTCTGCATAAATTGCAGCGAACAACAATGACCATACTTTTGGGCCGATATCTACTATCAGTCAGCGTGAGATTGCGAAAGGTCACTGGTAGCACTTACTGTAGACAGTGCCAGGCACGAGCGTGGGAATTCTGAGCGTATCCTGCGATGGGCATTGCCCGATCACATTCTTCGGACATCACTCTTCTCTTGGCGCAATTGAATAACGATTCTCCTCCTGGCCCTTGCTCACCGAATCATGTACGCTGCGTATACACCTGCTTCCGGCTGTGCAGTAGCACGAGTCGACATGTCGCCGAACATGCGACCGTCGTCGTAATTAGGCGTCAGAGGACTGACGATGTGTACCGGATGCTCCTGCGGATGCTCTGGTTCAATTATAGTATCCCGCTCAAGAACTTCCGCGTCTTCCATCTCGTGTCTCGGCTCCGAATCGCCCATCTCGCACAACGGTGTCCCCACTAGCTCTACCATCTTCTTTTCCTTCGATTGTAGCTCCGGTTGCGCGTTGCCATCTTTCCCTTTATTCCTCGGTGACGTTTTTCGACGTATTCGTCTTTGCCGCTTGAGGTAGAGATGTATCGATATCGAAATTACGACGATGAGGATCAGGACGAGCGAAATGATGAGCATAATCTCACCAGCCTGAACGACCTCTGGTTTGGATAATGGGTTGCTCGCTGCCGTGTGCGAAGGGTCAGCCTTTTCCGGCTGCGTAGGCTGCTGCGGAGTGCCATTCTGATCCAATGGCCGCGGTGCCATCTTCGCTTTCGTGGAACAAGATCGCGGTTATCAGTGGCTATCGCTCGTTGAAATGCATCCGTGATTCAGCAAGTCGTGGTGATTGTGGAGTATTGTGGGTCGGCCGTTAAATCGTTCGTTTCTAGCGTTGAGGTCGTTGACAGCCTCCAACGCCAGCGAGAGGGTTCCGAGGAGAAGAGAGCCACACCTGAACGCCTCTAGAGCGGCCGTAAGCCCTCAAGTACGGACGCCATTGCCAGCGCGCGACAGGTCGAGCTCAAGGATACGAGCTGAGCATGCAGCCACGGCGTCGAAAACGGAAGTCAGTTGGCACAGGAACAGGGGACGAACCCGTCAGGATGGGTTGGACAGGGGTATTTTGGCTAGGCGAGCGAATCTGGAGGATGGACGGCGACCACTGAAGATCAGTCCAGTGTCTGTGCGGGTTGGGGCGGATGCATTGCGAACAGGGCCAGGGGCCAGAATTGTGGCCAGGTGCACTCAGATCACTGTCTGGGAATGCGAATGCCGAAATGAACACTTGAAACTCAACATGTACCTGAGCAACAAAGGGTGCTTAAAATTCCCTAGATGTCCAATTGTCGTATCGCACCGAAGATGCTCCACAGATAGTCCCCGAATTATACACCGGACTTCGACACTACTCCGGTGCCACACGGGAGCCAGGCACTCGGCAGCTAGCACGCGATTCCCCGCGAGGCATCAAGCCCCACAAGAACCACACGCAAGTCTGGCGCATTTTCCACCTTGCTAGAACCCACGCGATAGTGGTCCTGATTGTAATTCTCCTCCTCTCACAGCGCTTTTTCCGGCCCGACTCCAGCAAGTGCCGTACCAATGCTGTGGTGCCGGAACAGGAAGGAGAGTTATACCCCGGGTCTGGGCAACGCAAGGAGTCTGTCCGAGCGATCTGCTGATTGGCAGTCTCATTCGATCCTGCAAAGCCTTTGTTTTGGAAGCCTGGGCTATATGTGCGGATAAATGCTGTCGAAGGGTTCCAAATACAACCAAAATGAAGGGGCCCATCATCACTCCGTTCAGCTATATCAGAGTGATAATAAAAGTCCAATGTGATAGTCAAGAACTCAGAATATCGCTCTGGGAATGGGCGCATGCTTGTTATCGTTATCGGACGGGTATAAGTCATGTGGACAGCCACGAGGTCATGTTTCTGACTTACGCACAATGTGTTTGTCTTTGCAATAACGTTAAGCTCTGGGCTTTCGCAGTGTATCCTCAGAGGGGAAGGTAAAGGTGTTGGTCGGTTTGGTCATGTGCTTCCCTCTCTCCAAGGGTAAGCGATGTCAGGGTACGGTCCGCCAGCCTCTTTACCACTGGCACCGTGCGGGACCTGGCAGGACCATCATAACAGCGGATGTCCAGACAGATCTTCAGTAAGGAGGCTCTTGCGCCCGCATGCGAGTGGTGAATCGACGATGTTGGGGTCGTATAGGTCGTTTGTGGTGGCTCAGGTCAAGGATACATTCGCACCGAGGATACATTCTATCATTTATGTTGTCGCGTAGGGTCTGGCCTCCATATGCACCCGTTGGGCCACCCGTTCGTTGCGAAAGCCTACTGCGCGCCGAACACGTTCGATTCGTCTCGTCGCATCTAAAGACCCTGGACTAGAGGCCAGCCTTTGCTATCATCACTCTGACCCAGTCGAGCTCGGTGCGCCATTGGTCGCAATCTGATGGTCTGTTCACTCTCCCGCGTTCTAGGCTCCGCGGAGCTAAAATAGTGACTACTAGCTTTATGGAGGTAGACTAGTCGTATACAATTCTTTCGCCAAATGGGGAAGTTTCTGCAGTATCCGGGAACATAACACAGAACATACAGTCATATCTATCAATCAATCAATCGTCAAAGAGAGGAGAAAACCTGCAAGTCGAACGATGCGCTAAAATATGTCGAGCAACATGCTTTTGCCCTTCCTTTGGAAAAGACATTCGGGCTGATCTTGTCGAGAATCGAAGAATGCTATTCCAATGCGCTCAAACTTCTCCTCAGCATTCGAATTCTTGAGTATGAGGGCTACCCTCCTAAAGCGATCAACCCCGATCCTCGCTATTCCCATGTTCGCGACGTAGACATCTTCTGTTGTGTATTCGGCCTCCCATGGCGTATGTGTATATCTTCCAATGAAATCGTATTCAAAATCAAGGCGGATTTGAATCCACATGAACTCCGCCAGGTCGTCATGGTGATGCTTCGTAAAGTGGTGTTCATGAAACTTCTCGCCACGATGGAGACCAAGTAACAATACTTGGGTTTGTAGCTGGAGATGGCCAGCGATAACCTCCCCATAGACATGCGCAGTCCGTAGTTCACAACTGCAACTTACTATTTCTGCTTGTTCAGAAAACTCATTCATGATGGCCATTGACTGAAAAAACGCAATCCCAGGGCCCTCAGCAGCAGCCCACGACCAGGACGGGGCTGGCAGCTCTCTTAGGCCGACTGGTTTTGAAACGCAGTTTGCAGTAGTTGTGAACCACATGAGCTGCTGCATCAAATCGTTTCTCCACAGACCAGCCAAGTATGTACCTGGGTTTTCTGATGTTCCTTCGAAGCTTTGATGTAACTGCTTGGCAATACCGGAAAGTGCTGGAAATACATCTCTCTGAAACGTGAGACGCCGGCAAGAATACTCTTTGACGATCTTCTGCCAGAGTTCTGAAGCAGTCTTCTGAGAATGATGTCTTAGACCATTGCACCACTCGCTCTTTCGAATGAGATGCGGCGAATCGAACTGTGAGTCCTTCTCGGAGCATTCGCATCGAGTGTGTTCTTGGCATTCCCAGACAAGTTCAGAGGGGCCGAGGTGGAGGACTCGTGGTGATAGAAGCCTTTCTTGGAATGCCCAAGCGCGCTGCATTAGAGGCCATGAGCCTGCCATAGTCCATTTGCCTTCGATAATCCTGTATACGCTCTCAAAACTGGGGTAATTGTGCTGAATGTGTTTTCGCACGAAGAAAGTTGCTTCCGACCCATCTTCAAAGGTGGTTTGAAACATATATGGTGGACAATCGGAGACTCTAAAGCAACCTTCCGTATCATTTCTAGATGCTGAGGCGGCTATAGTGATGTAAGAGTTACTGTAAACCTCGGCCATCTTTGATGCTTCATATGTCCAATCATCTGCATCGTCTTGGATGATGCAGAGCGAGTCAATCCACAGATATGCTATTCCTAATTGGTTGCACAGATACAGAGCCTCTTGAAACGTTTTTGGTAGCTCATGCCATTCAATTCTGTCCTTTCTTTGTTGTAGAGTTGCGGTAGTGGTAGTCAGCGGCTGATGTGAGCCCCAACTATGAGATAAACAGGCATAAGTTATGGGCCCATGATTAGTGTCGAGTTCGATGAGCGTTGTACCGTTGCTCTGTGTGTCTACAGTGAGAAGCCGTCGTGGAACAAATGCGTCTGTATTACCACAAGCTGGATGCAACTGGTCACATTCTTTCAACCAAGTAAGAATGGAACCAATTGCTTGTTCAGAGGATGTACTCTCGGGTATCAGCTTCGATATGCGGAATGGCCATTGTTGATGAGCTGACCAACTTCAGCTCTTTCCTGTGATGTGCTGTCGTCTTCTTACCTTTCAAAAATCCTATTTCTAACGTATACAATCCTGTGAAATTTTCTTCAGCGTTCTTTGGCTTGACGGTTTCCAGGTCGTCGTTCTCCATTGCATCGGCCTCCACTTCATGGGCTTCTTCTTTGGCGGGTTCAAATTCCGTCCCGTCACTTGTTAATCGAACCAACAAGCGCTCGTCTCCTTTGGAGATCCTTGACTCTGTGAATGCGTGCAGGTAATTTATGGTTGGGACCTTGGTGGACCAGGCAACGTACGGGGTTTTGGTTGCCTTGAAGAGGACGTCACAGTACGTACAAACCTTTCTGGATCTTCGAAGGCTTGCAATTTTTACTGGAACCCCGTCATTCCAGCTTTCGATATCGAGATTGCAGCAGGTCGTGCAGCCGCCTGGGTGAGATTGAGCCCATTTAGCGAGCTCCTCCTCTTTGTTCCCGTGAGTATCCAAACGGTTATTCATGACCATCGCCGAGATGCTACCTAGATGTTAAAGCAACAGGAGATCGCATCGCTTGTTGAGACGATTCTTCCGGGGCAGCTTGACAGCACATCCTACCCCGCAATTAGGCAGTTACGAGGCGCAGCCCACGTCACGTACTTCCTTTCTACCGTTGCCTCTATGTTCATGTTACCTCTTGATAAGTGATCATATACAGACAACCACTTGCGCACTGCTAGAAAATGATACACTAGGGCTGGTGAAGACTCGGTCCGCTGACAAGCCCTTAACGCCTGCCCAAGTCACCCACTCCCACCTCTTCACGGCTCTTGCCAACTTCACAATAGTAACGTTCCAAACACTGGCATTCCTAGCGCCTTGTATCAAAACCAAATCGCTCATCTGCACACCACTCAGCCACCTCGTATCCATAAAATTGGCCAAAAAGATGATCTCGTAGAGAACCATGTTCTCCGCTCCCAGAATCGAACTAGGGACCTTTCGATTACAACAGATATTACAGTCGAACGTGATAAACCAACTACACCAAGCGGAGGAATGCGCGCTGTTGCGCGCTTGGTGATCATGTGATTGATGAACAGATTCAAATTGTAGCATATATATATGTGCTATTGAAACAGTGTCGCAAAGAGGAGTTTGACCCGGACAAAGTAGATTTTGCAGCCTCAACAAAAAGCCTGCTAGTGGTTAATCCTGTTAGCGCACCGTCTCCACAGTTCATCTCTGCTCTCTACGAGAGTGGTGGGATTCGCGAGGTGTTAGCGTAGCGAGACACTGAGCTGCGATGCGAGATCATTCAGGGCTCCAGTGCAAAAACAAAGACCAATCATCCGGAAAGTCAAGATGTATAGATATCCACCGAGATATGTGCGTTGTAAAAAGCATGCCACGCATCCGAAGCCTGCCTTCTATAAGAGTTGGAGAGCTTGAGGCTTATGCAAATGCGTTCTCTTAATTTGCAACGCATCAGAACTACACAAAGTACAACGCGCTCGCGCTCCTATTCGAGTCCACGTAAATTTACTTACGATCATGTCCTCTCTGTCTCTGCAAACCTTCAATTGGCGCTTACACACTTAGCTCCCCCCACATGCATGCAAAATTCTCTGTGTGGAGACTAGCGCTGCCCACACCACCCGTTCTTTCCACGCACCAACAATCCTCCCTTTCTCTAGTGGTTGTATCAGCCATATATTGAATTATTTCTTGCGATTAGTCATCGAAAACACACTCGGGCTTGTGGTTTAGGGGTATAATGTAAATGGCACCCGTCCTCACCCTCTGTAACTCATCACTAACAATCTATAGGTTCGCTTCGCATCTTCCAAACGCGTCTGCGAAAGGTCCTGGGTTCGATTCCCAGCAAGTCCACTCTTTTTGCCCTTTCGGAAGGGGTGAAGTTTGTTCTGCGAGGCAGGAAGTCGCTGAGGAGCTTTGATGTGCGCTACACCGCCTTTTTGTCACGGTACGCTCGAGTAGAAGATGACATCCTGCGCATCTCTTGAGAGGGAGATGTCTTGCGGTATATCTGCTCTTGACGTCCAGGTCCAGCCAAGGAGCTCTCATGATGTTGATCAGCGGTGGACAACTGCACAATTGTTGCCAAGTTGCGGCAAAATATTGAAGCCGAGCGCATGCCCAGGATAAATTCTGAGATCTTGAGTCCGACATGCTCTGTCATCGGTTGAAGATTGAACACAGCAGCTATAACTTCGGCTCACTTCGGGGCTTTCAGGCCGCCGGAACGAATGTGCTCCCCAGTCATAACATATCGCATCGGCGTAGCTGCTTAGGGTGCGGCGTATATTGTTGTCTCAACCGCTGTGCTGGGACCACTCAATCATTGACATAGCTACATCTGCGAACGATCCCAAGGTCGATTGCGATGTTTCCATAGTGCCGGCTCTCTAGCTTCAAGTCTTAAAATTTCGATAACTCTCATATATCGAGAGATTTCAGCGCCTGTTCCGACTCCCGTGGTGAGACTTGGGCCGGCCATCCTTTACGCATCAGCGACAACTTCCAACTCCACCAACGCGCCCTCCTTCGCGAGTCCGCTGATCTATCATGCACGTATCAGTACCGTCCTCTCGCGCCCCACCCTCCTTTCCTCTCCTCAAAAACCAGGCAAACTCACCTGCACACACGTACTGACCGGCCACGGCTCCTCGAACCACTCACCCCATATAGCATCCACTTTGCGAAATTCCTTGATATCGATCATGTATATGCGCCTTCTAACCACCTTATCCAAACTACTCCCCGCAGCCTCCAGGCATGCATTGATGTTTTTGATCGCTTGGACCTAATCCAATATTAGCGAAGCCTTTCTACATATACAAATTTGCCTTTTTGTCCGATCCTCACTCATCCAATCCGACGCGTCTCGAGAAGAAAGTCATGCTCAAATCAAATTGGGAAGGGTAAGGATTGATGTATACGTACGGTCTGCGCCTCGATCCCGCCCTCGACGATATCCTCCGTCGTGGGATCGTCACCCATCCATCCAGCAACGTGCAGCGTGCTGCCGGAGCGCACGACGTGGGAGTAGTTGCCGTTTGGGCGGGGCGCGGTGCGGGCGTGGATTACGTTGCGCGAGGACGGCATTCTTAAACTTGCTACACGAGATTGAAGTGAGAAAGGTGGTATGGAAAGTGGTTTTAGGCGATTGTGGAGGTAGGTAATGTATTAGTATCATTTGTAGTCGTAGGGGCCGGTGTGGAGAAGATGAGCGCGATGATGTCATTGTGAACGTGAGAGCCGCGGACTACGTGTTGTTTAGCGGGGAGTGTAATTTAGGTCATCGTTTGCATTCGAGGGTGGTTGTGAGAAGGAGGCCAGTGTCATTATGGCACTTCGACCAGGCGGAAGACCGCGCTTGCCGCTTTCACTCCCCCTTGCCGGGCGTCCATGGTCGCGAGATAAGGCAATTTCCCCATCCATTAGTCCTAGACTTTGGGTCCAACAGGACGATTATCTTCCTTTCGTGCCATAATCAGAATGTCCGCCTAGCACCACCGACATCCCTTACACTCCTGCTCTTATCAGCTTCCCTCCTGCTCTTAACTCCACACATTGTCTCTCACTCACCTCCCAATGCACCCGACACGTCTCCATATAGCACACTTTGGAGCAGCCCCACGCGTTGATTGGACACTTCCACTGAACACACTTGTCAGCCCTTTCTTCGCAGCCTTTCCATCTCGCCCCACCTCTCCCTCCCATGGCGTGGGCATACCTTCTTGCAATCCGCATAATAACCCCCACAGTTCTTGCTGCACTTGCCTTCTCGCGCGTCAGCAACATTCCTCTTCTATCCGCCTTCAAATCCAAAGACATACTACAGTACTGGTCCCTCGGGCTGGGCCAGTTGCAATCAATGGGGTCCGCCATCACGGGTGCAATGTCACCGGCGAGCCCCTCAGTGAAGCCGGGGTCTGTCAACGCGCTGGAGAGGGCGGTGAGGTTCGAGTTCACGGCGCCGGAGACGGAGGCGTCCGAGACGAGGGCGGATGCCATGGCGAGTAGAGCGAGCAAGATGGGGAGGAAGTGCATCGTGGCGGATGGGGTTGCACGAACTGGTGGAGTCGTGAGTATGAGGTCGAGGAATTGGATGCGTGTGGGCTGAGCGGGTCGCGTCGGTGGTCAAGTGATGGGTGAGGTGAACTGGAAAGTGGACAGGCTCGTGCCTCACGGCTGGGAATTGTACATCAATTACGCTTCGCTGTCTCTTCTACCCTCATCGGTCCGCTACGTCCAAATCTCATAGTCCGGAAACCACCTCCCATGTATCCGCTCCGCATACTCTACCACCACCGGAAACTCGCCCTTCAACAACTCCCTTGTCTCCGGCGCCGCATCGCACACGAGATTACTCACCACGAACCCAAACAGCGTCGCGTCCGCCTCCGTCGGCTCCTTCCCTCCCAGCACCCAGAAGCACGCATCTCGCGGCGCCGCCCGCCTGCTCTCCCCCAGTAAACCGCTCACACCGCCCCACACATCCCTGATCAGCGCGCGTGTCTCAGTGTCCGAGAAGCGGCCCGCGCCCTGCTCGTACAGCTTGCGCACGTTGGCGCGGTAGGCCAGTAGTCCGATCACGAGGCGCATGGGATATGGGATGGACCATAGCGCGTGGTCGCGCATGGTGTAGTAGTTGTTTACCCAGCGCTCGCGGCCTTGCAGGAAATACAGTCTGTCCTCGAGCAGCGCCCTGACAGCGAGGTCTTGGCCTTGCTGCACGCCGGTCAAGCCTGTATTGACATCGTTCACTACGCCGCGCTCGGTGAAGGTTCTTAAAATGAGGGTTGAATCGGAGAGAAGTTCGGTGGGCGCGTCTAAGGGTGTGATTTCGAGGTAGGGGATTTTCCCTCTTGGGCCAGCGCGCGGGCCTCCCACGCCGCAGGTGTAAGGTACGTGGGAGGTGCGCAGGCGGAACTCGACTTTTGTGACGAAGGGGGACCAGACGTATTGGCTTGGGGTGTTCCAGCCGCGGTAGAGGGTTATGGCGGGGGAGGACTTGGATGCCATGACTGGGTGATGGAACGAAGAGTAGTAATTTGACACAGGAGAAGAAACTTGGGATGAAACAAGAGAATCGTAATAATGATGAACACAGCAGCGCTATTATCAGAAGACTTTTGGTGTTGGGGGTGAGGCTGATGGTGGAATTCCTTCATTTTGTCTTATACTGTACGCGGGTACGACGATGTCCGCATGCTCGTACATGAGGGACACTGACTCACGAAGCTCGTATATCTCGCCTTACGACCGTTCAAGTCAGCATGTCGGATATACGGTCGGACATGTTCAAGATGTCGTGCGATAGATGCAAGTCCGATCGTTCAGAAAGCATGACGACGATGAGTGGTGAAAGAAGACGCGCTGGACACGACGCGCGAGCTTACGGCTATCGATACGGTAGAGCTCGGGCCAATGAGATGACGGAGGCAGTTGCGACTACTACGAACAAACAACAACATGGCTCATCTTGCATTTCTCGAGATGTCCTAATGTATCGAGAGTCTTGCAAGTAGAGCATGCCATCCAGGGACGGTCCCCAATTGCGGTTGCAAGGCAGCGCAAACGCTGGGCGTAAACCGCGACTCACCCCGCCTGCCCCGACGGTAGACTCGAGGAAGCGCCCAGCAACTCGACAATGACGACGGCCATGGACGTCCGTCTTCTGGAGGGCTCACTGCTCTGCCCTGGGCAAACGCGTGCCCGCAGCGCCTCTCTCCCCGCCTGGCAAACGCTGTGACGCGCACCTCGCGCACCGCTCGTGCCGGCCAGGCAACAGGCAGCCTCGTGCATGCGGTCGCTCAGCTTCACCCGCCGACGTCGCCCGCCCGCTGCCCGCTCGAACCTCTGCCTCTGCGTCGCTGCGACGGCTGCTAGACAACGCCCCGTTGCCCGCTCCGGGTTGTCGTCACTGCCGACACTCACCCTCACCCGCCCTCACCATCAGGCTGGCACCTCTCCTACCTCTCCCAGCAAGTCGCCTCGAACTCGCAAACCCCAAAGCGCAATCAAGCTAACATACCCAAGCTCAATTCCGTTTTTCCCCGCGACTATGTCGTCACCCGCCGACCCGACCGCTCCCTCGCCCTTGCTGAGCGTTCCGCTCGAGATCCGCCATCACATCTTTAGCCACGTCGCAGACGCCCGCGACACCAAGCCGCGCTACACACTGCGCTATTGGTTCGAGAAGAAGGACATCCAGGAGCAGATTGCCGAGAATCTGGAGAAGGATCCGCACGCGAATGTCACGTATGTGCCGGGCTATAATCACGAGTATGATCATGAAGATGAGCCTCGGGTGCAGGATGGTGCAGTAGTAGGCGATGACGCAGAGGATGACGAGTAAGTGACTGCACTACAAGTTCGGGTCATTGATGTTTCTACATGACCATACGGCATGCACCACCACCAGGACAAAAGCCAGAGTACAATCGGCCTGCGCATTGCCTATCCTGGGTAACACTGTACTTGGACTTTTGTCCTAGCACTGTATCTTTCGGTGCCTGTAGAATCTGCAGCAAGCGCCGACCTGCCGTCATCTACTTCGAACGCTAGCTAACATACTTTCAGGGACGAGGAGCAGGACGAGGAGGATGATGGAGATGATGTCGACGGGGACCAGGATATCGCCTCCGATGACGATGAACTCATATCTGACGACGTTACGGAGGGAGCTGTCACCTTTCCAAACAACGCAACAGGCGGTGCTTCAGCTACAACATCCACTGATCCCTATCAGCCGGCCATGGTGAACAACCAGACCTCCGTCGCTGCTCCAACTGTCGCCATGCCCGACGCTCAGGAAGAGAGCGAGAACGCCGCGGCAGATCCAGAGGCCGAGCAGGTTATCCACGATGCAGAGATGGCCGACGCCGGTGGAGACGATGCTACTGCTGACGACGACGTCGCTGCTGGGGTTGAAACCAGTGATGTGACCGCTTCCTCCGAGCCCCGAGTTATCGTGGTCAAGCCGAATCAGAAGTGGCGCCACGTCTCCAAGTTCATGCACCTCACGCAGTGTCCTCCCCAGGGCAACCTCTTCCTGCTCTCTAAGCAGCTCAACATCGAGGCCAAGACGTGGTTCTACGACGTGGCCACTCTCACCATCAACGTAAGTACACCTACAGGGACAAAGCGGATGTGTCTATGTCGTAAGACCACGCTTAGGCGAGACATAATCCACCCTGTCACAACTCACACTGACTCTGCATCCGCACTTTAGGCCACCACTTCTTTCTCTCATTTCACTTTCTTCGAGCTTGCTCTGACTAAGCTCGCCGAAGCCCCGTTCTCGCCCATGGAGCATATCAAAAACGCCGAGATCATTTTTGTCTGGGATTCGACATGGATTCGCGCCGAAGAGACCGGCTTCGCCGGAGCTGTAAGTACACCACCAGGTGCAAAGTGGATGTGCTTTGCTGCAGAAGCAAATCCTGCGTTCTCCGCCCTGTCCCAATATCATACTGACTTTGTGCCCACACCTCAGGTCTTTCCAGTCCTCCTCAAGAGCCGTGTCGACTTCATCCTCGAAATTTTGCTGCGCGCGCCTGAGCTGGAGAAGCTCAAGATCATCTGGCACGACTCTGCGCAAGACGATGGCGCTATGCAACTGCGTGCTGATACGCTGGAGCCGTTTATCATGAACCTCAAGGCGGTCGTTGAGACGGAGGACCACTACATTGCGCCGGATGCGAAGCCGCGTGCTAGCAGCCGTGCGGGCAAGCAGCGGCTCGAGTTCAAGACATTGTTCGACAATGGCTGTGAAACGTTCTAGCATCGCGCGAAGCAGTGCAGAATCAGTTGCAGTCTGTGGATCGTGAAAACCTTCACCGTCGATGGGAGGTCTTCAGTCGGCTTTATGAGCGGTTCTGTCTTCGGCTTCGGCCGCGTTATTTGGCATGGTGACGGGGTTCTGGAGATGGTTTACACCGTGGTTTGGCGTGCATGGAATACACAGATTACATGCACTGGAATACGAGAGCGCGGGACATGATACCCCGAGCAGCGAGATCGCTAGCTGGCAAGCAAGCTGGCATGCTTGAATTACATACATGGCAATCCTGACTGTTCACTAAAGTGCAAAATGTTTATTACTTTGTCCGCGATGGCATTGGAAAGAAGGTGCACAGAGTGTGAGGAGGCAAAACTACGGCAGGAATCGGCAACGAAGTGCTCTTGCTCGTAGGGAGCTCGAGGACATTCATCGCTAGAAATGGTGACACGGGGCGGGCGACCAAGTCGAGCCGTCCACCCATAAGCAGCAGAAAATCCAAACCAAAACTCAATTTTTTCCAAGTTGCAAATAAAACAAGTAGGAAAATGGCATCAAATATGCCAAAACGCCAGACGCCTGTATGCTAACTCTTTCCCTCAGGCAGCACCACGCTCCCAGGGAAACTGAATCGAATCTCCCTCCAACTCCCAGATTCCGTGCTTCGGCCGCCACATTGGATAGACGGGAGTCGGGGTCAGCTCGTGCATGCACTTCCTCCACACATCGCTCGCATCTTTCCTCTCCATGTCGAACTGCATCTTGAACAGCGAGCGAAAGCCATGCTTCTCGTACAGCTTCTTCCCCATTCCCGAAGCTTCCATCCAGCACTCCACGCCGAGCGCGTCCGCACGCGACGTTCCTATGCTCATCAAAAGTGAGCCGATGTCCTTCCCCCGATATGCTGGCAGCACCGCCATCCAATTGAGTGCTACATTGCGTCAGCATTAGTCAAGCAGCTTGTCAGCACAACCTACCCAAGTGAGGCCGCCGCATCCAGTGCGTCCGAGGCGTGTACACCTGCCTGATGATCTCCTCGCAGAAGTCCCGGTACTCGCCTTCGGGCCACCATGGTGCTCGCAGTGTGGGCGCTCCCGCTTTGAAGGGGTTCTGAGTGTGGATTTCCCACTGTGCACACCCGACCACTCGTCCATTCGTGGTGTCCTCGACGTAAAACCAGTTGCTCGTGGGCGTGCTGTTGTGGTTCTCCCAGAACCGGTCTTTCGATTCTGCGATGGCGGCCTCGCGGGCAGAAGCCGTGTATCCCAGGACGGGAAAGAACAGTTGAGCGTATGTATCGTACGGGTCATAGTTCGCCGCCCAAATGACATCCATGATGGCATCCATCTCGCCCTTGCTCTTCATCTCTCTGACCACGTATTTGGCCGCCATATCTGGTTCCAGTAACAGCCCCATCTCTTGCGTGCGTCCGCCGAGCTTATGAATAGCTCCTTCACGTGCGCATCTGTCTCTCCGCGGAATGACCTCCAGTATATCCTGTGATACCTATATTGGAACCAAGCCAGACACCCTCACGACACACTCAAAACAGCAGGCCCGCAAACTTTGAGTTCTCGCGCGCAATGCGTCGTCGCGATAACGCGGTCCGAAGTTATCGGGTAGATGGAAACGAGGCTGGCACACCCAGTCGCCGGGACGTGTGCACTGCCGAAACGAGGCACAGCTCTTGCGCGCTGCTCACGCGGTGTTCAAGTGTGTAGATAGCAAGGGTGTGGAGCTGGGGGAGCCAGCCCCAAAGAGGCAGCTGCTCGTTGCGGACTAGCGCCGTTGCACCCAGACAACGACGACGTCTCACGACGGGACTGACCCCGCGAGCTGCAACAGTCTAGAGCGTGATTACGCTCGTAGTACGGCGCGAGTGACAAGTAGTGCTGATGGGCCCTTGCTTTCCGATAGTGAATATGTGAGCGCGAAGGGAGGATGCGATGGGGGAGAGCCGATGCCGGCGCGTAGGCCATTCATCTGTGGTCCGAGCTCGGAGGCTGGGTTGGCTGGACGGGCCCTGCGGCGGATGATTGTGAGGGGACGAGGGAGAACAAAGGGATTGGAAAACATCGCTGATACGAACTGGAAAACGTCCATCATGACAAGAAGGAGCCAGAAGGCAGTCGCGAATGCCGCGCAACCTTCTTGCTTGAACCCGAACATCAACGGTAGATTGATCACGCGAAAAAGTAAACACTCATGGGCCATCTGAATCTGAAACTCCAATATCGAGAATCTGATTTCTCACCGCATGTACTGCCCCGTCCTCTCGTCGACACAGAAGACAACTCTTGCAATGGGGCTTCTGCTGGGGCAGGGAAAAGAGCCACCCTGTGGCGCAAATAGTTTTGTGGCGCATGAGAATTCAAAAGCTGAATATCTGCTGGCGCGTGCATCATCACCGGACAAGACACATCCAACATGGCAAAGACACAGCAATATCAACCATTGAGCGGGATTGATGATGATGAAGGGAAAGAGAACGTATTCATTCCAGGCGAGGACGGCGACACGCGAAGCACATGTTCTCGGTCTGCCTTTGCACTGTGTGTGGTTGCCATATTGGTGTCTCTTGTCGTCAATGTGTTGCTCCTGATTGACAACACCCGGCTTCGGGATTCATCTCGCGATAGTGGGAAGACGAAATACAGTAAGCAGTACAAAATTATTTGGTTATCAGTCCTGAAAAAAGCAGGTGGCATCAATTTCGATACAATGGTCCCTTTCCAGTCGTTCTCTGACTATTGGAACCCCAATATCAGTGACGAAGTCACGGATGCCAACTGGGACGCCATAGACACGAATCCCATGGCCATATCCTTACACGACGACTTCGCAGAACAAGTTGGTCTCGGGCCATCTACACGATTTCCATGGGACACTGAACGCAGCATCTACTATATCAAGGGCTTTCACGATCTCCATTGCTTGGTAAGTCACTACTCGACCCTCACGCAACCACCTCCAGCTCACGCGCCCAGAAACTCATCCGCAAAGCGATTGTCTCCAAGCACAATCAAGACAACCGCACATTCACCCTCAGCCACCTGTTCCATTGTCTGGACGGATTGCGACAGGATGTCATGTGCACAGCCGACGATACACCCATGCCCGCTCTAGTCCCTCACCATGTGGGCGATGGCCAGCTCCGACGATGCCGTGACTGGAACAAGCTGACTGCTTGGGCTACGCGGCTTGACCAGCATGCTTGTCATGACTTCGATGATTACCGGGAGGCTACCAACACCCTAGAAGTTTTCGGACACTGTCCTCAGGACTCGCCATACCGTCCCGTAGTGGAGGCCTATTTTGATTACCATGGTCACAAAGACCCGTATGAGCTGAAGGAGGAAGAGAATCGCATTGTCTTCTGAAACATCGGGGTGCCAGATCGACTGAGCGCTGTCTCCACGCGCTCAAGCAATGTGCTTGCCTGAACAACAACAGCCAATGTACTTTTTAGCTGGGTCAGGCGCGCGGAGGAACTGGTTTCGCATTGAATCAAAGGTTGCGCCAATACGTATCCCATCGTGGCAGTGCATGAACGATTGGTCTCGCTCGCCGCAATGCTTACTCAAGTAGTCATGCAGCCTCATCGCAGAAGTACCAATATCTCTCATTCCGAGCATGCCCGGCCATTCAGGCAGACCATTCCGCCCCGAGGATGCTATTTTCCATCGTCTTGCCCCTAATAAAGCCGCTTGGATCCGAAAATTCGGTTGGACCGGGCCTTGGGATCATGCTTGTGCGACCTCCCCATCCCGAGCGACCTATTGATCTGCGAATTCGATGAAGCGGGGTACGTGTCGAGGAACAGTCACGAGTTGCAGCCTTGCACCCGACGATTAATCTGAAATGGGGGCTTCAGCTGAGGGTGAGTCTGCTGGACGCGAACGAGCGGAGCGTTGTATTCAAAAGCCGTCGGTCTGGCAGCTGTGGGTAGACAAGCTCGAGACTTCGAAATTTATCGGTCAATAGTCAACATGCGGTCTTTTGCTATCCTCCTGTCTCTCAGCGCTCTCTTCGTAAGCAGCTTTGCCGCGCCTGCGCGTCCGGATTGGCGCAAACCTTTCAAGTCGCCAGGCCATGTGAATGGACGTGGAGTTCCATCTGTCGAGGCTGTTACCGTACGTTTGAAGGAGAAAAATATTTCCTATGGGGTTTGAGGGATCCAATCACGTGGTCCGAGAAGGTCTCCTAGACGCGAAGCTAAGCACTTCACAGGATCTTGATCGTCGGGTTGCTCCTGTCGTGGAGACGGAACTGAACAATCGCGTAGAGGTACGCGGCTAGGTGAGTGTTTGTCGGGAAGATCTACAGACTGAGCTGACATTTGCTAGAGGAATTGTGCGATGTGTCACAACTTCGGCGATATTTCCTTTTGAGGTGCGTAGTGAGCGATGGGATATGTGGTGGCATAGCATGTTCGTTATCTGTCGCTACCGATTAAATGACAATCGCTTTTCTCTGATACTCCGCAATCACAGGGAGGAATTTTATGCTGACAGGTGACTTCAAGAGAGTAGATGCGACGTCGTGAGGGCTACCAGCCATGCTGAGCTGACACTGGTCTGTTCTGGACCGTAAGTGATACACTTGCGCCGCAACACCCACGTTAGTTCGGTATTGCATCGGTACGTTCCACAACATTCAGGTTGGGACCTGCCTGTTCCTCCAATTTTGCTGTACAGATGTTGTGACACATCACTGGCTGCACGGCGCTTGAAAACGGAGCTCTCGTACTAGCCGAGATAATTAGTGGAAGCAGAAGGTTTCGGCTACAAGCGTGGAATGCCGATGAGTTCATGACCGTGAGAGTACTTGGTGATGGACTTGGTCACACAAACCTGGCCCAGCGGTCCCGGCATTCTTGCGCTCGCACCTCCGCACCCTACGCCGTCCTTGCATGCCAACTATCGACCACGTCCGCCGTACAACGCGCATCCCAACTTCGCCGTCTTGAGTCTCCATGAATCCTCGCTAGACTCATGTGCGATGCTCCCTCCCTTCCCTCTCCAGCCAGCGTCACTCAAGCAAGTCACCCAGCACGCTCTTCACCTCACACTCTAAACACAGCCCGGCGTGCCCTCTGCCGCCGTGAAATGCCCCTCCCCTTGCCATGCCTGCTAGTTTACGCCTCCCCCATACCTGTCACTCAGCTCTCGCTCGCATTCCGGCGCCCCAGTAGCCCACCCGCACACGCTCAGCACAATTCCTACATCCAAGAATATCTCCTCCAATCTGACTGCGCTCGAGGCCTGTGGTGAGCTGCGCTTTGGCATGATTCACATCGCGATAAGGATGCGAGTATGATTGCTTTTCCCGCCGAGGTGAAGACGTTCGTGGCGCGACATCCTGGCTCGCAGGAAGACTTGGGCCCGTTTCTTGATGTCGTTACGTGGGTCCTGCTTGTGACGAGTTTCCTGGCCGTGAGTACGCGACTGGGGACGAAGCGGGCGTTGAGGAGGAGGATAGATGTTGATGATTATCTGGTTGTTGGTGCGCTGGTACGTTGGCTGCCTTTCTTACTGAAGTGAATAATTGACGTATGCGCGCCGAGGCTGGAGACAACTTGGCATGATGTGAGTGCTGATGCGAGTGTTTAGTTGGCGAGCGTCGGCTCCGGGGTGGCAGTTGTTATGCAAACACAGTATGGCCTCGGAAGAAACATAGATCTGTTGTCGCCTGAGCACATTGTGGCTTATCAGAAGGTATGCTTGCTTATGCTTTCGTATTCAGCCTCCCCTCTTGCATGATGCCTCCAACCTTCCGATACCGCCCTCTCTTAAACACATTGCTCATGTTCACAGGCCGAATATGCGAACAAGTTACTCTACATCGCCACTCTTACGCTGGCTAAGCTGTCAATCATCTCGCTGCTTATGCTACTGACAGCTTCACACTCGCATCACAAGTTTGGATGGGTACTCACAGTATCTATTGCCCTGTGGGGCATAGTAACAGAGCTAGTTGCTGCATTTCAATGCGGGGCGCAAAAGCCATGGTTATTTCATGGGGATGATGCTCACTGTCTTAGCGTGGTATGTCACTCAGTACTGAAGACTGCCGCATGCCTCGACTGACCAGATGCAGGCAGGTTTCTGGCGCTCCTTTGGCGCTTTCAACATCATTACCGATCTGGGCTTGGTATGCTTTCCAATGCACATCATCTTTACCCTGCAGATGGGTCTGAGCAAGAAGATCACTATCCTAGGCTTTTTTGGCGCACGGTCACTGTAAGTCCCCCACCCTCTAAAGAGCCATCGCGCGCATACTGACCAGAAGAAGGGACATCATAGCCACGGCTATCCAACTCGCTTATACCCCCGCTTTCAACGACCCAAACATCACCCGCGCGCTCTGGAAATGGACACTCACAGCCCAAGTCATCGAATGCGTTACCATCATCACATCCTGTGTTCCTTATCTTCGCCCACTGCTAGAGTCGCTTCCAACAGGTATGTATGGAGCCGACGAATACCGCCGTCGAGGCACAGCTTCCGAGCTGGGCTACTCTCGAAACCGCAGCAAGAACTCCTCATTCAAGCTCAGCTCCAGTCACTCTCACACCGCCCCCTCCCCCGAGAAACGGCATCGGCCGAGCCAGGCTGAGAATGCGATACGACGGTTCTTGCCTATGCTCAGCGAGAACACGAGTCATGCGAATTCGGCGAGCGGGCTGCCTGGTGGGCCAAAGCGGACAGATGGGAACGTGGATGTGGAGATTAGTGCTGCGGCGAATGGTGGCGAGGGAAGGTGGGATGTTGAGAGCACCGGGAGTCAGGCGAAGATCGTGAAGACTACGGTCGTTTGTGCGGAGTGGGAAGACCGGAGAAGTGAGAGGAGAGAGAGTGGTAGCGATGAGATTGAAGTGTTGGGGAAACATGAGCTCGGTCCGAAGATATAGATTGTGCTATAGCGCGTTATAGCAGTATGTGCGTGCCTGGAGCAAATGTTGACATGATATCCGCTCCGTTTCGAGCATTGTAAAAATAGGTCAAATGAACAAAAACGAATTGGTCCACTGTTCCAGCTGTTGCCTGCGGCACTTGTTTGTTTGGATGTCGCTGAAAGGAGTGCCTGTCCTTCATTTTGCCCCGGCTTAACCAAGCACGCGAAGACTTCACAATCGGTACTGTGAATCACGCTTCACACTCTAGACTGTGTTAAAATTCGTGTAAATGGTCCCGATGGAAACTTTTTGGGAGTGTTGCGTGAGCCCTTGTCCATCATATTGGTCTCGATCACAAGACTTGCTGCAATAGAGCTCGCGCGCCGTCTCTGCCAAGAGTGTCGCTCGAAAGAGCTCTTGCACCACGCATCCCCGCGGACATCAAGGTAGTGAACGAAAATTATGCGCACCAGCAGCTGTCCGCTTGAACTCGATTCAAGAGCGCCGGGCTTATCCGAGGATGCCACTCTTGAGAATTGAGTCTATTGTTAGAAGTACAGCGAGCTAGAAAATGCATCAACAAGGGGTCCTGTATTGACTGAGTGATCTTCTCCACACAGCAGGAGCCTCGGCTTGGGAGTAGCCGATGACATGAAGCCCATGGTACCTGGGCGTTCTACGCCAGCGGCGCGTAGTAGAAGCTGATTGTTGCCACCTCATCGAATGGCTTGACGTGTTTCCAGATGGAACGACGCCCTTGACAAATCAGAACAGATGAAACCTACCCCAACGTTGCTTTGCAAAGAAGCGCTCGTCATCCCCATGTGTAGCGGTCTCACTCAATGGTTTCTCGTACTGCAGCACTCGGCTTGGCTAGCTGTACGGGTAGACAACGGCACTGGTCCCGTTTCTCATGGCCTGGCGATGGTAGGATGCTGGGCTCCCGCATGTGGTGGCGTTATGGCCCAGGTTGTGAGGATGTCTCCCACGTGGCGCGCTAAGCGCGATCGGATGCTAGTCTGTCCTATTTCACAACGTCTGCAGCAGAACAGTCCTAATTCTCCGCATCCTCATGCCAACCACCTCCTGGACCCAAGAAATCTGTCCTCTCTTGTACCACTGCCATCTGCGGGCCCTTCTGTATCTCTCCAACGGTTGTCTGACGGGCCGAGTCCCCACCAGTGGCTCAACATGTCACAAGCCTATCAGTGTGCGACGAGCGATGAAGCAGAATTTGCCCTTCATCATCGGTAGCCGTTCGCGAAGAGCTAGGCTTGTCCCTCAACCCCTCAGTTCCGCAGTGCGATGTGCAGAAGCGCGATCTAGTGCTGCTTGGGGCCAGTAAGCATGTGTTGTACTCACTAACGCAGTCGGGAAATTAGATGATTCGCAGAATGAGACTGACCGGCTTCGAGACGAGCAAGGGATATCCCCCGATGCATGCCATCGCAAAGTGCCTCTTTGATGTGTCTAGTGGTGCGACCTAATCGGCAAATCAGCTTGAGCCATGGCGTAACGGCACAGGTCTCAAGACGCAGTACGATATGTCAAGCCTGTTACCTGTCGTCTGCAGCTTTCCCACGCTTCCACGCTTGCAAGCAGCTGAGTGGGTATTCGGCCTAGCAGAAGTCCGTGGAATACGTGCCGTTCTTCCTGCCGAGCGCTGTAGTGGCCGTCGTCCACAGTTTAAATGAGCCGACGGCGCACATGGTTGACGTTACCTCTACACTGACAGGACAGATCAAGTTGACTCCAGATTGACTTGCATTGCATGTGCTCTGTACGACAGGACACTCGTATTCTCCTTGCAACTCCCCCTTCGTCATTCGTAGGGTCCACGAGGCGAACGTTGTTAGTGCCCGGTCGCCGGTATATCCTTCGCCTGCGGACCTCTCTAGCTGAGTCTAGGAGGCTCACAGAAAGCTGCGTGCCAATCCATCATGGAAAAGGTGCTGGAGTTTCAGACGCTGGACGATGATGGTGTCCGCCATAGAGGAGGCGGCTCCCTATCAGAGGTGAAGCCTGCCAGCTTCGACCGTGACAGGTATGAGTTGGCTCGGGTGGGGAAGGAGCAAGTTCTAAAGGTGGGCAAACTTCCTCATGACCAACAGAGTGAGCTAACAACTTCAGCGTCGTTTCGGTTTGGTGAGCATGACAGGGCTGTCATGCGGCCTCATGTGCACGTGGGAGAGCATATTAGTGTATGGCCTTGATTCGGCCCCTTCTTCTTCGACCTGCTAATTTGTGGCAGAGTATTCTCGATTGGTTTCCAGAAGTAAGTATGCGCGCTATGACCTGCAATTCAGCACTAATCAGATCAGTGGTGGGCCCGCTGGCTTGATATACGGATTTGTTCTTGTATGGCTAGGCAACATCTCTGTGTTTATCGCCATAGGTGAGCTCTCGAGTGCCATTCCGACCGCCGGTGGTCAATACCATTGGGTGTCACTCCTCGCACCGCGTTCCTGTAAAAGGTTCTTTAGCTACATCACTGGTGAGTTCTGCCTTCTCTTGTCTCGCACCGAATGAGATTGCTGACATCTATAGGTTGGCTGACAGTCATTGGGTGGATTGCGGCGTTGACATCTGTTTGCTTCTTCGTTGCAGATCTCACGTTGGGTCTTGTTTCCCTCAGTCACCCCGACTATGTTCGGGAACTTTGGCACGGTACACTGCTCCTGTGGGCCGTCCTGTTGCTGTGTGTCTTCATCAATGTGTTTGTCAGCGGAGCGCTACCCACTATCGAAGTGATTGTGCTTGTCATCCACGTCCTGGGTTTCTTCGGCATTCTCATACCACTAGTTTACCTGACGGGCTCTCATCACTCCGCGAAAGAGATCTTCACCACATTCAACAACCAAGGGCAGTGGAGAACGACGGCTTTGGCTTTCTTCATTGGCCTACAAGGAAATGCTCTGGCGTTTGTCGGAACAGACTCTGCGGTCCATGTAAGTGAACGATTGTGTGTGTGGCATGGTAACTGCTAACTTGATTAGATGTCAGAAGAGGTCAGAAATGCCAGTACAGACGTTGCACGCTCGATGCTTCTCAGTCTCGGCATCAACGGTTGTCTCGCACTGGGCATGCTCATATCGGTTCTATTCAGTGCTCCCGATATCCAGAGACTTATGGACGATACTACATCAACGACACCAGTGTTCATGCGCATCTTTGAGTATGCAACCGGCTCTGTGGTTGGAGCGACCATCATGACCGTCATCATTATCTCTCTAGAATTCTGTAGCGCAATGGGTTGCCTGGCAGCGGCGTCGCGTATGACATGGTCGTTCGCGCGAGACTTCGGTCTGCCATTTGCGCCAGCTCTTCAGAAAGTGAGAAAGAATCGTGCTTCTATGGAACCCCTCTGACATAAGGCAGATCGACCAACGTACGACTATCCCAGTGAACGCCATCCTCGTCGTAACCACGCTTTCCGCTCTCCTCGCGCTCATCAACATCGGCAACAATGCTGCATTCAATGGGACCATCTCTCTCGTGCTCGAGGGCTTCTACATCTCCTATCTCCTCGCGATTGGGCTTCTCTTATGGCGACGCCTCCGCGGCGACTTGAGCAACCCCTACTCAGGTCTCACCGCCTTCCACTCCGACCGACAAGCCGACGAGACACTCGACAGGAGCTTGGGATGGGGTCCATGGCGGCTGGAAGGATGGCTAGGCACTGCCAACAACGTCATGGCCTGCTGCTATCTCCTCCTGCTCATCTTCTTCAGCTTCTGGCCGAACAACTTCAAGATCGAATATCCGTCGCAGATGAATTGGGCTGTGGTCGTGACGGCAGGCGTGGCGTCTTTCAGTGTGGGGTACTACCTGCTGTACGCGAGAAAGAGCTACTCGGGACCGAAGGTGGAGGTCGATCCTCCGCTCTGAAAAGAGATACCAGCCACCATTGAGATCTTGAAGGCGAAAGGAAAGTGGTGATTCAGGCGTAATTAACAGTCGGAAATTCCTTCTAGGACACGTTCTCTACGTTTGTATTGTATACTGGGAAAAGGGTTAAGTGATGGAGCGGCGACCTGATTTCTGTGCATGCGCACTTGCATCTACGAACAATTTCTACGTAGGTATCATTTCGGCCAATTACGATTCTATGCGTATCTCTAAACTCATTGGCAAAATCGACAACTATTATGCCTTGCTTTAGTCGGAAGGGGCGGAAGGTGCACTGCCTCTGCAGGAGTATGCGCACTTACAGCACGTGTTCGCGGAAAGCTTCGGGCGTATCGCGACGAGAGAGCACTAGCCCAATGCCAGTACAGAAAACTAAATCAATAGCCATTCCCTTGTCAGAATGCACTTTCAATGCGTATGCGTGCTCATAAATAGAACAGATCCCTCGTGTCCAACGCCTCCAATGCCTTCAGCCGCATGCCACACGCTGTACTTCCGCCCTCCAGCTGCTGAACTCAAGCCCCGCACCAACGTCGACAACACAGCTGCCATAGCTTAAATCACGCGACAGCATCGCCGTCATATGGATCGCACAAGCGCATATAATACGAAGCAATGATGACGGAATACCCTACGCTACCAGGCGAAGCATCTCTGCACCTTAATCTGGGTCACAAACCCAGCCGCTAAGAGCCCTTTCAGTGCGTGCTAGCGATAGTGTATGGACTGACAAGCTTGACCGAGCAAGTAGCCACAATGGAAACAGCCAAGCATCATATTACATGCAGCTATGCAGCTTGCCATCCGGGCTACATCCGAACACGAGCACGTCTCCCACTGCCGAACGCATGCACCATCGCGAGCCAGGGTCCCATCGCGCTGCAAATCCACCGGTTCATATGGAGGTTTCTTGTGTCTAACGTTGTATTCACCAGCCGAGGAGATGTCCATCCCGCTCGCAAGCGTCCTCACTACTATTCGCTGTCATAACAAGACCAGCTATCGACTCATTGGCAAAAGGCAAGCTCTAATCGACATGTGTCGAGGACATGGCCGAGCTTCAAGTAGGTCTTCACGAGTGCTGCAGTGTCTCCACCGTATGTATCACAGCTCAGGCGGCACTGAGCCACGTTGCCTCGTTTCAGGCAAGATATTGCTCATAGAAGAAAAAGTTTATAATCTCAGCGGGGAGCGGGGTCTCAGTAATCGATGCACCGCGTGGTGTTTCGTAGTGTTGGGTTGTCTCACCACCAGTGGAAGGATGACCGTTGAATGGTGAATCTCTCAGCCTTTGGGCTGATCGAGACGGGAAACCCGGGCTACTATGGAGAGGCTGAGTTCATATTGAAGATACACTGGTGGTGGATCTCGTGTTGGAGCTGAATCGTATAGCAATGCTGAGGAGGAGATCAGTGTATATAAACCCTGCATACAAAGGAAGATGAAAGCAAAGAAAGCACCATCCATCCAGCAGCCAGCCCTTCCTCCTCTGCAGAAACCTACCATACCGTAAACCGGCACGACCATGAAGTTCACCACCATCTTCCTCAACGCCCTCATCGGCCTAGCAACCGCCGCGCCCGTCGAGGACCCCTCCCCGGCCCTCCTCGAAAAACGCTATCCTCCCAACGTCCTGACCCCACTCTACTCCCACCGCTGGAGCAACAACGTCTGGACCCCCGCCACCGACTCCCGCGGAAACGCAACCTGGGGCCCTTCCGACTCCCGCGTAAGCAGTCCCCCCGATCACACTCACCCCCTTCTTTCCTTCCTGTAGCGTCTCCATGCTCCGTCGGCTTGGCCTTACGCTACACCATCCCATCCCATCTCACACCACACTAACTCTACCCCCACCCAGGGCTTCCCCACCGAAACAATCTCGACCTTCTCCATCACCCCTGCCCTCGTCAACCAGAAATTCGAACTGCACTTCTTCTCCCCGGGCGGCTATCCGCCCATCCAGGCCATACAGCTTTGGAGCAACACCAACGTGCCGCCCTCGGCCAACACCATACCGAGCACATCGACGAACGGAAGGAATGTGCATCTCGGGACCTTCAGGGCCGACGCGACGGGAGATGCGGTGGAGATACCCGGGAACCCCTCGGGCTGGAAGAGCGTGACGTTTGGCAAGACGGGACGGTACGCCTTCAGCGTGGTGGGGATCTGGGCGCAGAATCCGACGAGCTTGGAGTGGGAGACGCGGGACTACGGACTGTATCTGAAGCGGGCTTGAGTGTTGGGCTGAGGAAGGGTGGGCGGGGTAGTGTGAAGGGGGGTGTGAGGTGTGAGAAAGGAATGTTAGTTTGTTTTGGAGAGCTGGAGTGTCATTCATTTTGGACTTCACTGTGATGTCGAGGTTGACTAGCTCTTCTCTTGCGGATGAGTGGCTTGGACATACAGGCCCGGGTATGAGCCTAGATCCTCACTGTCAGAGTCTCATGCAGACACCAGGCAGAACGATCATGTTGATGGGCACTAGGCCCATTGGTTCCGTCAAGGTGCTAATTGAATAGCCACACCGAAGCTTCGTTGCTCTGACACCAAGTACGCACTCGGCTTACAGTTTCCTCAAATACACTCCGCTCGTCGCGACCTCATACGAAAAGTTCGTCTCAGGGACGCTCCCAACGCCAACAACCTCAAATGCCACACTCCCCACACCCGCCGGCAGCTGGAATGCCTTCCACCCACTGGGCCCGTCTCCCGGCCGCACAATCGCATCCCCCGGCACTTGCACATAAAACCTGCCCAGATGCTGATCGCGGTTGTTCGACCCGATGAGGTCATTCGGCGGCGTGCGGCTCGAGCTGTAAATGTCCACGACGGTGTTATTTTGCGTGCCGCGCTCGTTGTACCAAAAGCCGACCTGGACTTTTTTGCCGATCCAGTCGGTGGGCAGGCTGAAGACATGGACTTCGGAGGTGGAGGTGAGGAAGTTGACGACGCCGGTGAGTTTGGGGGTGTAGTCGGGTGGCGGGTGAGTGGGGGATTGGTGGTAGATGTAGGACCGGCCGGGGGTGAGGACGCCGGAGGGCCAGCGCTTGAAAAGAGCGGCGGGGGCGGCGGTTGTGAGGGCGGCGAGGCCGAGGATGAAGGGGGTGAGGAACTTCATTGTGAATGTATTTGGTTCGCTCGGTGGGAAAAAAGCGCGTGGGATCCGAGAAGGGATTAAATGTTTCTGGGTTTAACGACACAGTGAGATTCGTATGCTGGATCGTGACTGATAATATGCATATACGATGGGAACGAATACGATGTCGGTCAGCTGCGCCCGCAATACTCCCGTCGCCAACCAAGTTTCTCGCAGATGGCATCATGTCTGCGGACAGAAATTCCATTGCTGCTGTTACTGGTTGAGATTCGTAACGCATTATTGATGGCGTTGACGATGCATTGATTCCTCGAGTGTTTCGCAGGGCAATGAAATAGTGGCGTGATCTTGAGATGGGGTCAATATGGTATTACGAGAGATTTATTGAAGACTGAGCAGAACAGTCTCAGGGCTCGGAGGGAAACTTGGTGTACAGCTGCCTGCTGTATTCCGCGCTGTATTTCGCGATGGTATTGTGCCCCGAGTAGTGACAGGCTGGTTCGTGACGGTGGCGATAGGCATCGACTTGCGACAAGGACGTCAAATATGCCGGAAGGGTTCCAGTCTGATAGCAAGACTCCCTACAACTGTCAATTTTACGCATGTACGGGGCGAAGGAAACGTACTGTATTCCATCAAATCACAACGGTTCCACGGTGTACTCGTCTTCCGCCCAAGTTCAACTACTTGCTCGGCCTATCGACCACAGTGATCTTGGGGATAGCTCTGTTGAGCTCCTCCTTGTCCTTCTCGGTAGGCACAAGGCCCATCTTCTCTTCGAGCCGGTCGGTGACGAACATGGCCGCGGCGGCGTAACCCATGACGCCGACGCCTACGAGCATGCGCGTCCGGGTGGGAATGCCTTTGTACCACCTATATATCGTCAGTATGGACAAGAAGGTGGACTGGGCGGAAGACGTGCTGCCAGAGACCCATTGCTGCGCGGTTGGGGTTGTAATGGATTGGGAAGGTGGCAACGCGCAGCGTGACGCGACGGGCAAGAGCGGAGGTGCCAAGCCTGCCCGCATCATGGCGACTTCCAAGCTTCCATTCAGGCAGACGAGGCCACGACAACACCGCCTGCAAAGTTGCTGCTGCGTCCAACGCTGAAGGAACGAGTGTATTCACTATACTGTCACCTGTAGATAGCCGCCAACTGCTTTTGTCAGCTCTCGCGCCTTGCTACTCTCGTCGCTGTGATTTGCGGGCCCACCGCACCTGCCTCTGCTGTGCCACTCCCGACAGCGCCGCGTCCTTCGCAGCCGTCGTCCACCCAAGAAAGCCCAAATCCGGGCAGGACACCTCCGAGAGGCCTTGTCATTTCTCCACAGCGACTGCCCGTCTGCTTCATCCGCAAACCGCACAGCTCGCTAAGCCATGCCCGGCTTCCGTCGCTGGAGCAAATCCAAGTTCGACAGGAACCCCAATGGGCCCTTCAAACTCCTTGCCGCCGTGCTGGTCATCACATTTTACCTGATTATCAAACAGTTCTCGGACCCAACCGCCAGGCTCCCGAGCACGATACCCAGGTATGGCGCCAAAATACAGTGTGCACACTGGACGAATGGCTCGGGGCCGGCAGACGAGGACAAGGCAGACAAGTGTATGAGGCCATGAAGCACACCTTCTGCAAGTATCGCCAGAGAGCCTATGGCAGCGGCGATAGCCTGCCTGTGTCGGGCGCTGGCTCTTCCTCACGCAATGGCCGGGGCTCCGCAAATACTCTGGTACGGTCGGCGCTCCCATCGACCCTCGTGTGGTTCGTTGGGAAGCTCCACACTGTGGAACGCATTTATCGTAGGTAACATCCCAACACCTCCTGTCCTTGCAGCAGCGCAACTTCGGCACACAAAATCAGAAGACGATACACTAAGTGCACTGAGTCCGCCATGTCTATCTCACCGACATACAACCTCGAGCTGCGCCTCCACATTGTATGTATAGACCAGAGCTGTCTCAACCTCACTAAAGTCTATTACAGATTAAGAAGATGCCCCCAAAGGCCACTGAGATTATTCCGCTGCTCTCCTGCCGCGAATCTTCACCTCCGTCGTTAGAGCGCAATAGAAGCGAGCCTCAAGTAACGCATACATCCTTCAAAAATTGTGGAGCCACGATCGTTCTAGCATCAATAACACAATTTCTATCGCTGCAGAGCTTTCAGATCCTGTTATCTCGTCCATTCAGTCCGGTCGCCGACATAGAGCCTGAGCTTGTACCTGAGCACCTGTTGTTCCAGCTCGCCCGTGCTGGCTTTGTGCTGTACCAAGGCTATCGAAACAGAACGGAGAGCGCCATCGTTTCCATAGCATTACATCAGGCTCTAACATATTACTTCAATTAAGAGCATGCTCGCCTGCTTCGCGCCCGGCACCCCTCTCCTAATCTCCACAGCCTACGACAACGAAAGCTTCAGCATCGTTGCCCTTGCGCTCTTGGAAGGTTCCCGGCACACGTACAATTCCAAGCTATCCAACATCGGCCCAGGATCTTGATCCTGGACACCCAAATTCGACTACGACTACCCCATCTACTCTCCCGAGACGCCCCGGTAAAAAGGACAGTGGCGCACCAACGGCTTCTGGAGCACACATCCCCACTACAAAGGACGCCCTGAGTACGTTGAGTCCCTCTTCTACGCGCACCGCATCACAGGTGAGGCACGCTTCCGCGAGTGGGCATGGGACGCGTTCACGGCGATGGAGCGGTACTGCAAGGCGCCATATGGCTACGCGCAGCTGGCGGGTGTGTACAGAGTGGACCCTGGACAGTGGAGCAGCGAGAGCGGGGGGAGGTGGATTGACATGCATGAGAGCTTCTGGGCTGCCGAGACGCTCAGGTATCTATGGCTTGCGTTCAGCGACGCGAATATTGCGAGTTTGAATCGGTAGGTCTTCAGCACCCAGAGCCATTCTTGCCAGTAAATAGCAGAAAGAAATACCACGACCAACCGCATAACCACAAACAACTTGTCCTCTCCAATCCATCCTCTCCTGTCCGGTGCTAACTGTGACTGCTCCACTACCAGCACCATCCGCCCCAATCCAACCCAGCTCACCTCTTCCACTCCTCCTCCAACTCCCCAATCAGAATATCGATAACCTTCCACATCTCCTCGCTCACTCTACGCCCCGCCTCGCGGTACCCTTCGTCGCACAGCCGCCCAAACCGGTCGGGATGCCACCGCAAGCGCTCCTTCTTGAGCCACTCATACCCGTAGGACCCGCTGGCACGGAAAAATCGCTCCACGTCGTGCTTGCAGGCGCGCAGGCCTGAGGGCTCGCGTTTGAGGCTGAGGCACGGGGAGAGCGGGCAGAGTGTCGAGGACGCGGGGAGGTATGGGAAGGACGTCAGGAGCGCGGCGCGGGGGAGGGGGGGTGCTGGGGGGGAGGTGGGCTGGGACGAGGGTGTAGGCTGGGACGAGGGCGTGGTGGATTTGGAACGAGGGAGTGGGGTCGAGGTGTTGGGGTCGGCGGATGCGGCGGATTGGGACTGTGAGCGGATTTGGAGTTTCTTCGGCGCGCGTTTTGGGGGTGGTGTCGGTGTTGGTGTGGGCGTGGATGATGGCGCTTGTGCTGGTGCTGGTGTTGTAGCAGCGAGCGCGGAGGCGAAGAGCAGGGCTGTGCTTGTGCACCAGGTCTGGTACGCTGCTCTCGTTGCGTGGTCCGGCTCCTCGATTCGACGGCCGGTCTGCGCAGCTGTGTGCGTGTGTCCGCTGGTTCCAGCCCCTGCTCTAGGCTCTGTGTTCGCCTTCTCCTTCGCTCTCGCCCTCTGGAAGAAGTTATGCGCGAAGCTCTCCAAAGCGCTCGAATTCTCATCTGCTATCGAACCAGACCACGTCCCGTCATTTCGTATCGCGACGAACTGGTCTGGTGTCGTGGGGTCGAGCGCCACGAATGCGACTTCGTTCCAGCGAAAGCCACGCTCAGCCTTCCAGTCTTCAACGGTTTCTCTCCAGATTTCCCAACTATCTGTCCTCTTGTCACCGAGCCGGTATGCCACATCACCGTACTCGCTCATTGCGAAGAAGGCATCGTCTGGCCCCCAGGTGAGCATGCGTGGGGGCCCGGCGCGCCAGCCGGAGGGCGTGAGCCAGGATTGGAGGGTGTCTTCTAGGGATGTGGGGAGGCTTGACCACCGAATAAACGTGGCGTCCCAGGCGATGTATGAATCCGCTGGACCTAAGAAGACCCGCAGATGCTGTGAAGGAGCGAGCTTAGATACTACTTTCTGAAGGCGGGTTGGTATTGAGGCGCCCCAGGCGAGGTTGGGGGTGGCGGAGGAGTCTTTGAACGAGAGAAGCCATGAGTCGGGATTTGGGCCTAAGGATGCCTAAGACAGGTTAGTAGAAGTATTGATATGATACCATAGCTGTGAATTGTATGTCAAGTTGGATGTTGATTTGACAAAGACTGGGTGATGGTGAAGTACCACGGTAGGTGCAGGGTCAACGCGAACAGATCGACAAGAGAGATTGTTCAAAGAACCTGTGTTGGCTAAGTGAACTCAGGCACTTCCACAACATAAGTTCTCGAGTTACTTGACTCTTGTTCCCCAGCTGTGGCAGCGCTTGCCTCCTGACTTTGTTGACTTACCCAGTGGACGTCCCGAACACTACCACCATTAATGAGGGCAAGAAGCGCAGGCGGAAGGTCGTTGTAACGTAAGCCCTCGTAACTCTTCGATATGAAGCTGTCGTCTGGCCCAAATGAGAAGAAGCATGTAGCGCTCGAAGTACCATTCATGCTTGTCTATAATTGGAAATTTTCTGAAATGACGTCATATGCTCAACAGCTCTCGAACACCGGCTAACCGCGCGCGAAAGACTCAACGGGAAGAGAAGGAGAGAGACAGTGTGGCTGGGAAAAGGCTGGAGACTCTGGGGTGCATAACGGGCCTGGGGTACATGTTGTTCATGGTGGTTGGCGCATGATGCCGTTGTTCCTTGGTAGGAACCTGGAAGCCGATCTCTTGGCGGCCACGCTGGTGGTGAACGTCCGTCTGATCGCGCGCGAATACACATACACCAAAACAGTTCGAAGTACCGATCGAACCCCGAAGGCTATCTTGCAACTCAGTCATGTGCGATACGACGTTCACGTTTGGTCAGAGGGGCAACCACTTCTTCCAGTGTCCCTCTCGGCGAGACTAGTACGCCGGACACCCTCCCCTCACGATACTATACATGTCCTGACTATATACCTATAGCACGCGCATTCCGAAGAAACTCACTTCACTCCTCACATCGGCGCAGGTTCAGGAAGTGTATCACGTAGCTCTTGGCTTCGAAGACAGCTTTCTGCTGACCTATCGTGACAAACGTGGCCGCGACCACATCGGTAAGGTTCCTTACACCTCCTCACAGAACACAGCGTTGATTGAGTTCTTAGAGTCCCACAATCTCCCTACCGAGCTCACTACCTTCCTCCATGCCAAAAACCCCCAAGGCCGGCCTACCCGAAACATCCCCGCCATTCGCCTGACCCTCGGCCCCCACAACGCCTCTTTCTTCGTTCACGATGCCGGCTCTTACATCTGGATGAATCTTCCTTCTGGACTACTAACCGCGCTTCAAGCGCGAATAAAAGACGGTAACTGGACAGACCGACCACGCCTTGTTGCGTTAGGCGCCGATGCGAACTACCTCCTCCTCACCGAGAGGCACGCTGCAGTCTGGGACCTGCGGCACTACACGACCCTCTCCCGGATGCTAGAGTATTCGCGCACGCAAGCCCGGGGTATCGCGGACGTGCGGAACGTAGCGCTGCATCCGTATCGGTATCAGTGCTCGATTGCGCAGTCGGCGAACGGGACGGTGCTTAGTGACAATGTTCCACCGCATGAGGCTGCGGGGATCGAAAGCATCCGGGCTGCCATCTTAAAGGATACGGAGGAGATAGATATGCGCGTGCAGCAGTCGCAGAGCAAAATTGAGAGCGCCCCTAGGAGACCTGGCCTGCAGCACCAGGCGACGCTGAGGAAAGATTGGGGTGAAAGAAAGCAGGAGTTCCGCGCACAGTCTAAGGGGTTAAGGTTGAGTCTCAGTTTGAGTGTTAGTGCAGCCGGTATCGCGGGAAGCTTTAGTAAGATGCTTGGATAGGGCTGGAGGATATATTCGAAAGTTTAGCTGCTGGAAATGCGCCCGTGTCTCGACTTTCAACGAAAAGACTTGGTAATCCATATCTATGCGTTCATTAGTGAAAACAAGTTCGACAAGTTTCGGGAGCTATGATCTCTTTAGGCAAAAGCTTCAAAGGTAATATATTGTGCTAATAGGAAGTCGTCACTGAACTCTGGTCTTACACAAGTGTTGCACGGGTACATAGATAGCATTTGGTCGATGGCTTTCGTCGCGTTGTTCCTTGCAAACACATAACATCACCACCATAACTGTGCCCACTGCCAACCATCCGTTCCCGACCAGGTCATCGCAGTCTACTCCAAGCACGGACGTGGAGGCTCTTTCCTTTTACTCTCATGACGCTTCTCGCCGCTGTCTCGAGATGCGTATTGACCAACTTCGTCGCATAAGAGGCGTACAAGGCGGAAAAGCCCCCCCGGACGCAGTAAGCTTCGATTTCAAACAATCACAAAAACCCGAATCTCAACGACAGTTAGAACCATAGATACTATTACCTTGAAGAGAAGTCGATAAGGAAACTTGAGCATAGCTGAGTATGACAGTGTTCACAAGCTAATTCTACACTTTCGTTCTGGGAGCAAGTCTACTTCCTGTCAAGTATGTCGTAATAAGTTCTATGTCACCAGACCAAAACAGGGCGGCACGGGCTCCAACGTAGTGACTTCAGACAGTACTACCGAGCTGGGACTTGATTCACGCCCCAACAATCGCCCGTAGAACCGTGACGCGGTAAAGAAAACTGACGATACGAAGCGTGCCTTTCATGCTATGCACTATTCCTTATCTGTTAGTCGAGCGTCGTCTTTTAAGCAAGGCCCCCACATTTTCCTCTTTCATACGACTCACAAGCCTCGACCAAAAGAACCAAGCTATAAAAGTAGCGAGCATAAGCAACGCCGCTATGATGAAATACCACCATATCGAGGGTAAAAGGCTATCCCGATCCCCCGTCATCTCTCGCAGATTCATACCAAAAATGCTCTATCCCCTCTCGTCAGCGCTCGAACAGCAGACCGCTCCGACATACTCACAGCAGCCAGCATCAGCGGCAAATAAACAAACGTTAAAAGCGTAACACGTCTAATGCTCGCCGTGAACGCATTCGCAAGCTTCCCCTCCTCAACTGCAGCCCGAGTATCCTGCAAAGTGGCGATATTGAAAATAAGACTTATCAAAACGCCCGTCTGCTCTTCGAGCTCCTTCGTTCGCGTAATGTGGTCCTCAACCATATTCACCTGCTTCGTGAGATACCCCTCGATAGCCACGCGGCCATTGTGCCCATTGATGTCGGCGAAGAACGGATGCACGAGCATCTGCCCTGCGAGATCTTTGACGCATACGAGACGGCGCCGGACTTGCACCCAGAGCGGGGAAAGCTGGTGCAATTCGCGTGTATACATAAGTTGGGCATCGATATCTAGATCCTCGTCGATGCATTTTTGGCTCTGCAATAGTGTATACGCTCAATAAGAGTTCCCGATGAGATTTTATGAGGCTACGTTGGGCTTACCAATATCTGGAGATGAAGTTCTGCTTCGGCGAGGAACACCCCCCAGTTGAAGGTCGTGATGTACATTACTTCGGAAAGGATCTGGCCCAGTCCGGCGTACGCTTCGGCCTCACCGGGGGGGATTTGTTCATCCCGCGTCATGAGTTTCTGCAGGCCTTCTGCTATCGTGGTGTCCAAAGGGTCGAGGTGTACTAAGCCGCGGAACTTCTTGCGGTCCAGACTTCTAGCGAATAGCAGTGCTATGCGCGTAACGTGCCAAGTGTGTCCATGCATTCCAGTTGCGGCTCGGAACCGGGCTGTGGGCGATGCATCGCTGCGCGTTGCTTCGGCGGGTACCCGCTTTCCTTCATAGCGCTCAAAGAGTTGGAGTGAAAAGAAGACATCTATGATGCTGTCAAAAATTCGAGTGGAGAATGGATGACACAACATCGGCTACTTACATTGCTCGACAGCATTCCCTGTACTTAGCAACGTGTACGGAAAGTTGAAAAAGCGTGGCGTGAGATCTAGATAGTAGCCTAAGATCTGAATAGCCTCGCTGGAAAGAAGTGTCGCAAAGCTGTTGCCAAATAGCGATGAGTGCCCTTTCTTTCGCTCTTCAAGGGTAAATGAATGTTACTAACAAGAAGACGCTATGTACATCTTGCGGGTCCGCTTCCTGAATCAGAGCGATCAAATCGTTGTTGGAATTTACGGTCGTGCACGGCGTCCATCTAGCATGCTTCCCATCAGCAGATAGTCCAGGTACGAATCGTAGTTTTTCAATCCGACAAGCGGTGGCTCTAGACTTTCTTAACGTTTCTTCTAGAACGGCGAAGCTGATTCCAGTTGTGTTCAGATTCTTCGGCCAAGTTTGATGAGGCTGATTTGGGGTATTGGCGGTGGCGGGCTGGGTCTGCGATTGAGACGCTGGGTTGGGAAGCGTTTGCATCCACCACGCGGTTCTGAGAGCCATGTTTCAGTCTGATCAAGTCGAGGTAAAGTATCAGCGTCACATAAACAATCTTTCATCCCGTATACCCGTGCACGCTATTGCCTTAAAGGACATTCCCGAAGGAGGATATTCTTCAATTAGTTATACCACATTAGAGTCAAGTGGTAATTATGGCTATTCGGTTACGATGTATGAGTATTAGAATACCTGTTTCCATCCCTGCTTGACCAATTGAGGTAGCCTATAGGATTGCATACTTAGTGCGCGTGTTGTTAGCTACGTGTAGCGAACACGAACTCTTGGGAAAGCTAGGTGATACCCATTTAGCTTGCCTATTTGTCATAGATAAGACTTTTAGGGAAGAAAGAAGGTGGGGTCGGGGTTAAGGACCTAAAGTACATAGAAATATGCTTGATCATACTCTAGTGGAAGAATTGATGCATCAGTTCCTTCGTCGACAGCTATTGAGGCAAACATGCTTCCTGGAAAGCTCTATGTAAGGCGACTCAATGTTGCGCAGTAGCCTGTACTTGCTCGCTGGTCGGACTACAAGATTGTGCCGGGACTCTTTGTCTCACCAGCCTCCCGCGTCCTTTTTCTTCGGGCCACATCCGCCCCCAACGTTAAGGTCTGTCCTGCCCATGTCGGTCTACAACGCCTGCGACACCTGCAATCGCAGCGGCAACTGAGCCAATCACATCGTGTTCCATGCGCCTTCGAGTTTTATACAAATTAGAGTATGCAACTGATCGCCAGTGCATGCCGAGCGTATAATGCTCGACCCAGCCTGCTGGTCCAGAAGCACATTTGTTCTACTGACACTGTTGAATGGACCACGAGCGATCGTTTTAATGGCGCGCGGCGCATACTTCAAAATCACACCTAGTTCCAAACGGCAGGGGACTCGTTCTGGCAAGCATGCCTTCAACCACCTTTACATACGGGCCAAGAGTGGGGACGGTTTAGAGGGACACATATGAGCGGCGGTGCTACCTCAACAACATTGAATTCTTTAACGGCATGGGCTTCACTGCGGAGAGCGGAATCTTCCGCAGCAAGGTCCCAGAAGCAACGGTGCAGATTTACCCTCAATTTTCTGCAAATCCACGCAAATCGCGATTCTTGGTAGTGTTCGAGCCGGATGAGATATTAAGGCCCAAGGATTTTTGGATCGGGGCGATATTCGAAAGTAGCAGAACAAAAGAAACCGAACAAGCTGGAATTGTGAAGTCGGCGTTACTACCCTTTAGCCGATACGCATGTGAGTTATCACTATGGTAGACCATTTGTGGCTTTAGGTCTTGAAAGGTGAACCAAGTACCCCAGACGTCGTGATCTCCTGTTTTCCCAATGTCCAGAGCGGCCCGAAAACGACTGATCATGACCGGTATGACTGTAGTGACGTGCTCGCGAACATCAAAAGGCACTGCTGAAGAGCCTTGGCATTATTACTTCCCTATATGATCTTGCAGGCGTAATCGCTGCGAAGTGCTCCCGTCATTATCTTGGTTCGTCTATTACGCTTGATTTCAGTACACTACACAAGGGCATACAGATCTCAGAAATCTACGAGGAGGTTATTAGGGACCTCGTAAGTCACTCGCATTCTTCATCAATGGATTTTGGGCGGACTGTTCGTTCTGAGCCTATCGTGAGGTAGCGTACTTGAATCGCTTAATGCTCTAATATCCTCATCCTTACCAATTGATGATTGCCAGACTGAAAAAAAGGCGCATCTTTCGAACGTTTCCGCTTCAAGTTTTGGAGCGAACACGACAAGAATGAGGTTGCCGAGATCACGGGCGAGATCTAATGGATGTCTCAGGCCAAGCTTGTACTCGACGAGCTGAACATCATGAAATTCCTGTTTGAGACACAGAAAAAGGAACTTCGGTATTTACGCGACATGCTGCAGTCAGTGGACACTAGATCGGCTCAGTCATCAGACCCACCGGCGACGGCGACAAACGACAAGAATCATAAGGCGACTGCTGACCTGCACGATACTGACTTGAAAACTGGAAATCGGTTGAATGCGGATCTGAACGACGACACCGTGGGCGGTGCCGAGGTTTCGGCGACCTCGCCCAATGCTGATGGCGTTCAGATAAGTGATGATGTTGGAGATGACTATTATGTGCATTCGGGGGAAGCCCCGACGAACTACTACAGATCCTTTGTGAAACGGCGTCCAGGAGATCCACGGCTTGGTGCGATGTGGACGCAGCGCCGCAACGGCTAACTGCTTAACGATGTCTACCGTAGCATCGGAGAGATCAACGAAATGATAAACCGTGCAAATCGAAAAAACTGTGCCCTGCTCTGTGCATGTCAGACTTTTACCAGGTCTGGTAGCAGGCGATCAAATGCAATTTCGCTCCAGCATACAATTAGGCCGATCTGAAAGGTTCTTCTTCGTCATCGCGTGTTCATATGGTACATAGGTAGGAAAACGGCAATCGCAACACTGTACACCATCGTGGCCTACTGTAGCGCACTTCAAAATCTCCGAGAATCTCCGAATCTCATCCCCTTGCACGAACAGCGCAATCCATTCTCGACCGCCTCCTTCCTTATTCGATTCCTCAGACTCACGACAGCATCACTGGAATGACTCACGCTCCGTAAACATGCAAAAGCCGCCCTTTTACACTCACAGCACTCGGTGTTGTTTTCGGCGGTTCGGAAATGACGTATGATTTCAAAGCATCGATTACAAAACGTCCGTGCGCACTCCGCCAAGGGTCGGTGTAAGCATATGTTGTGCAGAATGTTGGTGGTGTCTTGTAAGTCTGATGAGAAAAGTGCCTGGAAGGATTCAATTATGGAGTTATATAAGAGGGAAAGGACGTGGCGGGTGAAAAAGGTATTGTCGACAGCATTTGCAAAAGATTGGACTGAACATACGGCTTTCTGGCATCCGCATTTCGAATACTTTGAGCCACCAGATTGAAATCATTTGCGCAGACTTTACTTGAAAACAAAAGAAATATAATTCAACATGTCAGTTGTTATGGCTGAACCCCACGCCGCACTTCCCTCAAGACCGCGCCGGAAAACCCAAGCAAAACCATCGAGAGATTTTCGCCGTCTCCTGGCCCAACTTGCCGACTTGCAGTCCAGCTATGTCACCTCCGAATTCGCTAAGAACATCGAGAAGCAACTTCTCTCCCTCACGAAACCCGGAACAACCTCATTCACACGCATCGTTTCTCTCGGCCTTGGCTCCCTTTCCAGCACAGAAAAAGGCCAAACACGGCGTCTGAAACAGCTCACCCTCCTTCTGGCAATTCAAGATACACTACAAAAGCAAACGCAATCGCCGATAGAAGTCTACGCCCAGGACCCTGCCTTCACGAAGCAAGACGAAGCCATGTTGAGCAGCCTCAACGTCCGGATATTACGAACCGCATCAGGATCTTCCCTTGGCGAGGCCGCAGACGTGATTGACGCGTCTACGCTGATATACTCGCCCTTCCTGACGCTAGATGCATACGAGCAATTGCTTGTGGAATCGAAACGGCCGGTGCAGTACGTGATCGGAGACGACTTCAACGCGCTGTTGGATAAGTGGCCTAAGTACAGCGCGGAGCGGGCGCAGGTGCAGAAAGTGACCAAGGCGGGGCTGGGGCGATATCAGAGGAAAGCAATATTGGGAACTGGGTTCTGGGAAGAGATCGATGGGGCGTTTCCGATGGCCGTGTATGCGGCGCAGAATAGGGTGAACGAGAAGGCAAAGATATAGGAAGTGCTGTGTGGTGTGATTTTGATTTGAGATACCCGATAAAGCGAGATTTATTGTCGATGTTGTGCATCCCGGAGAACTCGATCGAATGTCAAGCTTTGTTTGAGACTGTCCCAACTTGATCATTCCCAGGCGCTGAAGTCGTGCAGACTACAGTGAACATCATTGTGCAGATAAGATGCAGCATGGACACTCGGCCATGAACAAAGTCTAAGAGATTTATGGAACAAAAGGATCGCCTTCAGCGAGATTGTCGCCTCCTTGATAATGAATGATAGCGGTCCAAAATAGTTGGTTTCCTCCTGGCAGCGAGCCAGAACTGGGCTCGTCGTGAAGCTCACGACAGCACTCACGACCTCGCACTGTCGTGCAGAGTTCTGGACATTTGGTATACTGCAATCAGCTGGACCAGTAGGATAGATAGAGTAGTAAGGTTGGCGATGGCCACTGGGGAGCTGATTCTACTGAAGAGCCGTCCATTGCCCAAAACATTGCCAAAAAAGACGGGTCTTACCGCGATTCGAACGCGGGGCCTCTCGCAAATGTGCTCAGGTAACAGCCCTAAGCGAGAATCATCTGAAGAATTGTTAGTTGTTGTTGAACTCATGTGAGGCTGTTGTACTTACACCACTAGACCATAAGACCGGTGATCAGAAGATCTGATTGGTTGATACATGATGATTCAACTGCAAAATATCTATACCAATACAATAATTGCGGCATATGTTGGGCGCTGGTGCTGCCGCTCAAATTTCGGTGAGTGGTTCGAGTGGTAGGTGCAGGATTTGACCCACACACGCTGCGAGAAATAAGCGAGTCATCTAGCTCCAGCGACGCCACAACTATACAGCAGGCTCTTGTGTGGTCGTGTGCACACGGAAGTCAGGACTTCGGCAGCATAGTTAGGTCGAATTATATCAGTGGCAGCAAGGTGAGTCTGGCTGCTAAGGCATCGTGATTTTGTCCGGGCCTCTCAAGGAGACAGGAGGCCTGGTATCTCAAGCTAAATGATTTCATGCTTTGCTTGCTCTTATAGATGCGAGCTGAGCCTCTTTAAAAATACACAATTCACATGTGTCTCAGTGTCTGAGCATAGGACACTGGCCCATTTCGCGTGAAAACTCTGCACCAACCTCAGCCCTACCGCAATATCTACCATGAAAATTTTGCTTGACTAGATTCTGCGTAAACAGTCCGATCATACCACGTCAAGATTTTACAAAAATCAATTCACCAACTATATTTACAGCTTGTCGCTCGGAACAGCTCATCAAATCACCGACTAGCCCGGCTAGCTCAATCGGTAGAGCGTGAGACTCTTAAGTACACGATCTAACAACTCGATTACTCGGTATCTCAAGGTTGTGGGTTCGACCCCCACGTCGGGCTTCCTTTTTTCATCGATGGAAACACATCTTTTAGCACACCACGCATAGGTCCTCCGGCTATACGCTGGGACAGGGTTTTTTTTACCTGCTGTCCTGCGCACGCAGAACCTGGCGTGCGGGCGGCAAAGAAAGAACGAGCGGAGGGAGGCACAGCGAAGTTCCCTTTTACAAGACACACCCACAGGTACTACTACTGCCCAGTGCTTGCCCACACCCGGCCAAACAAGGGATCAAGTGTCTTATCCAACTCTTCCTTCCTACGCGACTTTGCAGTCTCCAGATTTGATATTGCCTCTGACATTCTGTACTCCCATACATGGTCGTTGCAAATTTCGTTGACCCTTATTTGCAAAATGTCTTGCTCGTGGCATCAGCTCGTTGCCAACACGTTGCGCACTTTCATTAAGAAGGGTTACTGGCATGGATACAGATTCCGGTAGAGACGGTCTTGAACTTTGGAGGCCTTCCCAAGAACAACAACCAGGGTAGAAGCCCTTCTGTATTCCATGCACTAACGGAATGAGGATTGCCTGCGTCAATGTCATCGAGTGACTTCATAGTTCAGCCCTTCTTTTAGAGACTCTAGATATAAAGCTCATCGCCCTCGTATAATGGATTTGGGATACCATATAAGCGAATGATTAACTGGATAGCTTCTTTAATGGCTCCCTAAAAGGTGTCTGTCAGTTCCATGGTCTCGCCACAGGGCCCGGGTCCACAGGGGTCAGACCAGGAAATTGCAGACGACGGGGGAGATGACGGAGGGGATGTCGTGTCCTCTCCATCCTGTCCGGATTTCCAGTTCTCGGCCACATCGGGAAATGTCTGCGCAAATGCGACAAGGGCTGCTACCGCTCTGGCCCCCAGCTCTTTGTTGGAATAAGTGCTGATATCGAACATGCACTTAACGTTAGCGAACAGCTCGATCAGGTCGTTCTCCGGCTCAGCTCTCTTCCACTTCTTGTGGCGTCTTTCTTTGGGCTGAGCGTCCTCTTTGGGGAGACTGTTATGCTCAGCCCCGTAAATCATCTTCCTGACCATGGGTGGTATTTGCTCAAGGCGTCTGGTGTGTAACGAGAAATTGGATCTACGTTAGGATCTGCCGGTTGTACATCATCGTCAGGATATGGCCATTCATGGAGAAGGTGAAGTATTCGTTGCCCTCGATCCGCACTGAGAAAACCCTTGGATCGAAAACCGCATCTGCTACGCAACCGCTCGAGGCTCCAAGTGAAAGGCTGGAAATCTGCAATTTATTTCGTTCCTCTCGAGGAGCTCGTCAAAGAACCACCTTCGCAGATAGCGTCGGCTTTCCTAAGATAATCTGTCCAATGTGGCAATAATAGAAGTCTCGATAATCCAGAGGCGCGATTCCTGCTACATCAGCATTACACGACCTCAAAGTGTTTTTGCAAAATTGGTGCTCCTAGTGGATCGGTTCGTTGGTTCCCTTTTTGTTCATTTCCCACCATATGTCATCAAGAAGCTCGGTCAAGGCAGGGAATCTCTCCTCTGTGATGCTGTCTTCGCGCGCGGGCGTACAAAGATGTGCAAAGATATCGAATGTGCTGTTCACTTGTTTTCTCAACGCATTGGTCCATTAGCTCGGTAGGGCTGTCGTCGAGTATTCAAGAAACACATACGGCCGCATGTCTTCGCTCGAGATGCTTCCCACGCCCACTTGATTTTTGCCTGTTTCGTGATGACGACTCTGTTCACCGCACCTTGGAAGAAGTTCATCTTGGCGATGTCCTGTCGCAATTGGGTCTGTTTGGCCCATTGGTAGTCCAGGAATTCGCGCATATATTCACTGCACTTCCACGAACCAGGATTTTCTTCCTCATCCTCGTCCTCTTTTTCCAGCTCGCTGTCTTCCGTTGCTTCCTCTTGTCATCTCGCCATGCTGATACATAGCAAATCTGAGGTCATCTACATATATGCAATGGGCGCACCTACCAACGTGCGGCAAGCTGAGTCAGTGGCAAAACGGTGGATAGGATCTTCGTTTCTCCTCACGATTATTGTGCATCAGAGCCTCAATGAGAAGAAATGTGGAATCAGCATCCCACGGCCATGGAGTATGGGCGCAAACGTGTTGGGATATGGAGAAGGCTCCAATCATTGACGCCGCTGGACTCGCGCGCGTGTGCGTCCCGGGAGCGCGGAGCCTTGATCGCAGGGAAGGCATGCCGACGCTACGTAGGGTCTGCCGCTGGCAGACATACAAAGGTGGAATTGTTCCAACTTTCGAGGAACAGTTCGCGAGCAGCTCATGCACAGTCGGCCAAAGATGGGAGGTTCATGTGTTGGATGGGATCGCCGCGTCATCCCACATAGAAAGAGCAACCCCTACGCGCTTTTCTGCACAGCGGGACGCTGTTAGCCGACGACCAACACCCACACCTACACCTACGCTGTTGGCCTCTTAAGCCCCGCTCTCCGCGCTCCCTCCTCGTTCTGCCTCTACAACGTTTGTTCTCTCTCGCTCACGCTTCTTTGCGATGTGAAGCGCGCCTCTCGAGCCGCGGCTAGATGCACGATTGCTATTGGTCCATTAGACCCCGAGATCCGGGCGGCAGACCCGCGTAATCCCAAATCGCAACATGCCCGCATTTTCGCTCAAGCCCCAGGATGGATCGGAGACATGATGGAGCTCCTCGGGGACCGCTAGTCGCCCTTTCACCGGTCCGTAGCAGCCTTGCACACGCCTGTGTGTGTGCGTGTCACGACTCACCTCTGTGAGTGCCATCGCAGGACGCGCCGCCTGGCCCATCTGTACCACTCTCGGACCATAATCGCGCGACATCGGTCGCGTCTATGTACGATGCGGCTGCACATCAGTCCGAGTGATCAGCCAGCCCCGGACGGGAGCGGGGATTAACGGCGTACCTACCGGCGAGCCTGCTCTGTCGGTGCGCGGCGCAGATGACGATAAACAAAACAGGGCTTTCTCCTGCAGCATCTGACCGTTTCTGCCCACGCCAGGTTGCACGCCCGTAAGGCTGTGTGTGTGTGCTCTCCATCGGACGCTGCCGCCCATCGTTGCCCAAGCACGTCAGTTGCAAGCAATCGTTGTCTCACGACTTCCGACCACCCCATGTTATAGCCCCCGCTAGGGCCATCGACTATATATCGGCGGCCGATTGTTCATCTGCCGGCTGCCCTATGTATACAAAGTGACATCGGCGTTGCTGTACGCTAAGCTGCTTTTCGGGCGGAACCATACTGCCGAATCCTCGGGTAGCAGGAGTGCCATCCAAGATCCTGTTTATCGTATGCGCTTTTCTGACACTGCATGGAACCTTTCAGACTGCTTAGTGTCTTTGTGTCCTAGCTGGTAGGCCTACGCGTCTTTGATGCTCGGTGGCCATTCATCACGCGTTGTCCTCACAAATCTGACTCCGTCTTGGCATGATCGGACTTCCCCACCAGTCCGCGGCGGGCGATTCCACGCCTTCCCACTCCATCATCACCATGGAGGCAAGAGAGGGAAGGATAGGGAACGCGTTCGCCTGTGAACGCTGTCGAAAACACAAGGTTCGATGCGTGCCGTCCGAAGCTGCAGGCATCTGCCAAAGGTTTGTATCACCGGTGCTTCTCATATACTTCCGGATTAACACGTGCTAGATGTCAAAAGGCTCGCGTCGACTGTATCGAACATGTTGCTCGACGGAGACCAGCAAAACCAAGGGCGGTGGTACAACAAACAAACAAAGTGGCTGAGATGGAAAAGAGAATTGAGAAGCTACACGCCATCGTCACGTCCACCACAGCACCAAGCGTGGCGAGTTCTACGCCCTCATCTACCTTACCACCTGTAGCAACCATCCCATCCCAGTCCGTAGAGCTTTCGCGACGCACCTCAACGCCAGCACCTATCATCCCATCTGCCACCCCCTTGCCAATCGTCAAAACACCAATCCTCCCGAACCCTGGCTCCACGCCCGAATCAGCACTGTCATTCTGGGAGTCTATGAACGACGCTGTGACCGGCCTCGGACGTCTGGATCCTGTTATTCGGTCCATCAGCATCATCCATATGCAGTCATTATTGGAGACGTACCGGTCGATGACCGAGTTTTTCCCGTTTGTGCTGCTGCCTAGGGAATGCTTCTGTGGCGACTTGATCCAGCAAAGGCCAATCTTCCTATTTGCGGTGCTTACTGCGGCGTCATTTGACTCGTCTCAACTACAAGTCTCACTAAGCAGAGAGTTCCGTAAGGTAGTCATGGTCAAGATCATGAATGGAGAAAAGAGTCTTGATCTCTTGCAAGGTCTTCTTGTATTCATAGCATGGCACCATCACTACATGGACGTAAATGCTGCTTCGGTGCACTTGCTTCTCCAGATATGCGTTGGTATCGCGGGCGAACTTGGCCTCGACAACATCTCATCTCATTCACGAAGTCCGGTGCAAAAAGATGATGTATGGCACAGAGAGGCGAAGAGAGCCTACTTGGGATGCTACTATCTCGCATCCAGCCTCAGCCTGCTGGAATCTGGCAGAACACGAAGCATGTCACATTCAAGTACCTTGCAAATGTTTGCAAGAGACATCGCCGACGCCTGGGAGCACCGATCTGATGCCATTGTGCCGATCCTTGTCGATATGTGCCAGTTCATGGAGGATGTTGAAGATACTTTCGGCGATCATTCGGAGCCTGCGCTTGTCACCAAGGCCCAGTTAAAGCGCCTGAGTGAGAAGTGGGATCATATGCAGTCTGCGACCAAAGCTCAGGCGAACGACTACCGTGAGTGTATTCTTCCTATTTGTGTACCACGCTAACATGGCACAGGTACGCTGCGATGGATCCAGCTAGTAGCCCGAACACACCTCTACAAAGCCACGGCCTCTCTCGATATATACGACCGAGACAGCATACCGTGGGTATCTGGATTCCAACTGTCGCAACGTATTACATGTCTACGGTGCGTCGAACAATTCCTGGACTACAGCCTCCAGCTTTCCAGTACCGAGTATGAGCGGTTATCGATTACGGACTGGCTTGCACTGGTAGCTGGCTTGACCACGCTGGCCAAACTCGCTCTCCATACCTCGCCAATGCCAGGATGGGATCCCGTAGAGCTGCAGATCTCAAAGAGTTTCGAGTACTTTCGCGACCAACTATCAGCACAGATGCCACGACTACACGAGTCGCAAGATCTTGGCGAGGATCTTTTTGAGCGATTCCGACGAATTACAGCAATCATGAAAATGGCAGTCAAGGCCGCACCGGGAAGAAGCAGCCCAAACGGGTCTACTTTCGAGCTGGCCACTGGCTCTGGAAGAACAGTTTCTCTTCTGCAAGAATTGCCTCCGCTGAAGCCTAATGGTGTATCGAATGGCTCTGATCCACTCCCTGTACCCTGGAAAGTCAGCCCGCAATTCGACATAAGCAGTCAGGAATTTCTTTGGAAATTTCTCACCGGCTCCATTTGAGCAATACGGAGACTACCACCAATCGTAAATCCAATATTTCCCTTCCTCGAATATTCATACCCATTCCGAATACCATAGCTCCACGTGTTTCGGCTCGCGAAAAGTAGTCCCCGAGGACAGTGCCCAAATGCAGCGTGGGTAAAGACGCATACCACAATCAAGCTCATCGAAAATCGACGGCAGACGCCACGACAACAATTCGTCGCTCGCTTGACCAAGATTTGGTGCATCACAAGGACAGAACTCGAAAGGCACAATGTCTTAGCCCGGAATACCTATTCCGGCTGGTCTCGCTCAATTTGAAAAAGCATGCAGTGCCGATTTGGCTCGTTCCGTGTGCACTTGAACCATGATGTTTCTTGCTGCACGCTTGCAGTCCTACATCCCGTCTCTCTACGTATCCTTGTCTGCTGTTTCCTTTTCTGTCAAGTCACGAATTATGTTGCATTTTATACCCTCTTCTTCCTTCGAAGTCGTTGTATTGGCTAGTTTTGTTTCTGTAATCTTTACCTACAATCAAGCGTTCTTAGTGTGTCATACCACCCCGCAAGCCTCGGAGCTGCTAAAATACGATTGCTCCTTTTCTTTGTTCCGCGAATGGTCTCCTGCGAGCCTGTCGATCGCGAATCTACCAACGCCACAATACAACTTTTCCGGTGTCTTGTACACCAATACGAAGCTGACCTGCTGTCTCGCGACCTTCACCATGTGACCGTGCACAGCCCCCCTGCAATTGAAAGCTGAATTGCCACCCAACATATATTTCGACGCCGTAGCCTGCTCCTCCAACAGCATCGCAAAAAGTCAGCGGAGTCCGAATAGATCCCGCCGGAACAAAGAGAGCAATCTGACAACAGAATCTCCAACCTGGTCGCACTGCACCACGGTAGATTGTCCACCCGCTCTGCTCGCTCACTTGCTGACCTCGAAGATCACATCGATCACCGTCACAACAGCAGTGACTCCCGCGCCCAGCACACCTCACCTCGGGAGCTATGGGTTGTTTCAACAGCAAGCCATCCTCGACTGACCCCGACGACCGCAGCAGATACTACCCCGGCGTAGTCGCTGGGGACTCTGGCGGAGGAACAAGCCACGCTACGGCGGGTGGCGGACACGGTCATCATACCTACGCTGGGGATGGAGGAGGTGGATTTGGAGGGGATGGCGGCGGCGGTGGAGGAGGGGGCTGATATCCGGGCTGCACGTGAGGTGCCCATTGGCCAAGTGGGTAGTGTTGAATGGATGTTCAGTTATATCTGAGTCTGTATCTGTATCTGCAGTACATGTGCCTTGCGACGGAACGGCGTGGCTAACCCAGCCTCAATGCACGCCTACCCGCGATACATGGCATCCACAGAAACCGGTGAAGCAGCCATATCTTCCATCGTGTTCCTGTGACATCATCAAAAGTCTGCCTACGCAACGTCATGTTTCTCGTATCTATCTGCCTTGCTCTCTGCCTACAAGTTGGCGGCCCTTACCTCCGCTAGCGCGAAAAGAGGTCAAATTTCCGGCCCCCATCTAGCTCAGTGCGTTGACCGAGGCATTTTGCGGAGCCTCACTTTCTCACGCTGCGCCGTTATTTGTAGGCAGCATCTTGCGAGTCACGGTTTGCGAGGGGGTCGCTTGCAGTTGTCGCTTGCGGGATGGCTTGTGTGGGGCGGTACGAGGTCGAAGGCTGGGGAAGGTGCACAGCCACAGAGACGGAAGGCGCACGCGGAAGGTGAGGTCGGCAGGCTACTCGACTGCGGTGAGGTGATAGAGGTAGTGTGGAATGCGATTTGTATCACACTAGTGTAGTAGTAGGCACAGCCGTAGTGGGAGGCATAGTCGCAGGTGAAGCATTGACTCCTTCCACTGCTGGCACGGCACTTCACGCGTGGTATGTGAAGGGCCGAGTCTTCTCCACTCTGTACGAGCTTCAACCGCATATATTTTCTTCTCTACCTACCTACCCACCTCGTCTGTCTTACCTCCCATCCACACACAACACCCACCGCACCAGACCATCCTCTCACCAACCCAACCCAGCCTCAAACTCCCACTGATACCTGATTCTCACAATGGGCTGTCTCCACATCCCCTCCTCGTTCCGCAAATACAAACCCAAGCCCATGTCCCGCAATCCGTATCCAAAACCCACCGCTTCTCCCCCAAAGGCCACCAAGGCCACCTCCAGCCCTCCCACGAAATCAAAGTCCTCGGGCGGCACGTCCGGAACAAACACGGCACCCCAACCCGCGCCAGACACAACAACCCAAGCCGCCCTAAACACGTACACCTTCGACCTCCCCAGCGCGGACAAACCGCCCGTGTCGGGGACTTGCCAGCCATCTTCTGACCCCGTCTTCGCCACGGTCCCCAACTTTTCCACCCCTTCCAATGCGCAGCCGTCGTTCAGCTACTACAACTCCCACTCTTCTTCGCATGGACACTCGTATGGGCACGGGCATACGACAACCAGCGGCGGGTACAAATCATCTCATTCGTACTCCGGCGGCGGCGGCGATAGTGGAGGGGGTGGGTCCTATGGCGGGGGAGACAGCGGCGGCGGCGGTGGCGGCGGCGGTGACAGCGGCGGAGGGGGTGGTGGGTGCTAGATGAATAAATGGAAACAGAGACGCGTCAGCATAGTGGGAGGAGTTAGGAGCAAGTGAGAAGAGAAAGAGCGTGAGGTGAGACGTTGATATGATAGGACGCATGCCAAGCAATTGATTACTTCTGGTGTTCTTTTTTCCTGCGGTGACTGTGTTGGAAGGGTGAGGGAGGTCTAATGAGACAGGACAGGTCTGACGGTGTCTTGTTCTTTGGAGAGAAGAGCGTGGGCATTTGATAGCGTTTGATACATCATCAGAGTCCGTAGCCATGGAGCACAGCATCAACCACCACCGCCGACAGAAGAGCCTTTTTGTAATAGTTCATTGATCATATCTCATTTTATTCGTAAGTGGACATGGCAGAGACACCGTCTGTCAAAGATCCGGCCCGGCTTTTCACAGTGTATTACATATCTAGCCGCCGTACTCTTGAAAGGGTTTGTTTTCGAAAGTAATTAGCTGCTCCCCTTGAGGCTACGCGCAATCACCTCACAAGCGGGGCCTTCATGCGCCCTGCACCTTTTTCACGACCGCCACCACGCGCTCGTACAGCGGGTGGTCCTTCTCGAGGCCGGTGATGTGCGCTGCAGCATCCTCGGCCGACTTCTCCTTGAGGATCTTGGCAAGCTCGACGGACTCTTCGTCGCCCTCGACGTTCTGGAAGCGGAAGGCCTGCTCGGCGGCGCCAAGCAGAGCGTCGACTGGGAGGCCCATCTCGGCGAGCTGGGCCGCGGGGCCAATGAAGCGCTCCTTGCGGGAGAGCTTGCGGAGCGGGGCACGGCCAACACGCTCGACGTTGTCCTTGAGGGTAGGGTTGGAGATACGCGAGATGATGGTCTCGACGTACTTATCCTGCTCGTCCTGAGAGATACCGTGCTTCTTGACGATGAGCGCGGCGGTCTCCTTGACGGCTGCGCGAACCGTGTCGTGGAGCTTCTGGTCGGCAAGGACCTCGTGGATGTAGGGGATCTTGGCCTGGTGGCCGTAGTAGGCGGCAGTTGCGTGGGAGGTGTTGACCGTGAAGAGCTTGCGCTCAATGTACGGCTCCAGGTCGTCAACGTAGTGAATGCCCTCGATGGCCGGCTTGTTGCCGCCGTTCTCGAAGGGCTTCTGCTCAACGCACCACTCGTAGAACTTCTCAATCTTGACGTTCAGGCCGGCACCCTCGTCCTGCTGGGGCACAATTCGGTCAATAGCCGAGTTGGCGTAGCGGGCACGCTTCTCAATGCCGTTTAGCGTCTCTGCGTTGAGCTTGTCCTTGATGTAGGTCTCGATGTGGCCCTTCCATGCGGTTGTGGCGTTGATCATGTTCTCGCAGGCAATGACGGCGAGCGGGGGGAGGTCTGACGAGCGGGCCTCGATGGCCTTGGCCACAGGCTCTGCAACGAATTTGAGGATGTTGGGACCGACGGCGCAGGTGACGACCTCGGCGGTTGCGATCTCGTTGACGACCTCGGGCATGTTGTACTTGGAGTTGATGGCGCGGTAGTTGTCAATGGTGAAAGACCGCTGGCCGTCGGCGCCAATCTCGGTGACAGTGTAAGATTTTGCCTCGTTCAGGGAATTGATGATGGCGTCCATGACATCGACAAAGACGACCTCGTACCCAGAGTTGTGGAGGAACTCGGCGACGAAGCCACGGCCGATGTTGCCGCCGCCGAAGTGAACTGCCTTCTTGGTAGGAGCCATTGTGTCTGTCCTGTGTCAGCCAACCGCGGCGTGGTTGATGTCAGACGCCTCAGGCATCCCGGGGTCAGACGAACCTTGCGGTGTTGAGAGAGTTGTTGATGAGGTGGAGTCTGGTCGGCGAAGGTCAATTGAGGATAAGGAAGGTAGAGAAATAAGAGGGGAAAGGAGGCTTTATAGGTCCGACGCGGGTGAGGGCTTGGTGTGGAGGAACAGGCGTTGGCGGGGTATTTGCAGCGGGCAGGAGCGAGGCGCGGCGGGGCAGGACTGGGGTGAAGGTGCGGGCAGGGCATCTCCGTCACTTACCTTACGAGCGGGTGTTCCTGGGAAGAGAGGGGCGGTGTGCTCTGGGGTGCAGTAAGGCAGATCAGAGAGGAATGGCCAATGTTGGGGGCACGATGGTGAGCTGTCGACAACAAAAGGTGAGGCCCGCGCTAAAGCGGTGACGTTGCAGTGCGGCAGCAGGGGTGCGATTGGACGCCGCTTCCTGGTGTAATCAGAGAGGCAGTCGCAGTGCGTGTGACTCGAGCAAAAGCAATAGTATTGCGACTTGGTGCGAGGTCTGGCGTGGGAGCACGGCGCGCTACGGAAACGCTACAGCTTTTGTACTCGGTTTGGATTTGGCAATGATACAAACACAGCCCCTCCATAGCATCCCCCACCACCCGTTGCTTTTGATTAATCGCTCATGCCTGCAGCCCAACCACGCCCGCTACTCGGCCGTGAATGCACCCACACGGCCGCGCGCGCCGCTCAGGCGAGAATGGTACCATCTACTTCTCCCAATGCCATGGAGTCGCGGGAGTCCATGTACTGCGACGTCATTTGGAACTTAGCTCCCCAATGGTTTCCGCAGCCGTAGACTAGACCCCACCAAACGCACCGGACTGGCCAGCTAAGGCGTGCTAGGAGGGGGCATCCTCGCTCAATGCCTGCTGAAAACTCCCTGTCGCGTCTAGATCGCAACACGCTCGGAGTCTAGGTTCCGATTTGTGAGATGCCATCCGATTGTTGTTTCTGCCATGATCTCCGTGTTTCTGCCCAGTCTCTTGTCGCTGAAGAAACTTCATCGCCCCCACCGTCTCCTCTACGCGTGAATCGCCTGCTGGACATGCGGGTACACCGCAACCATCTGGTGGTACAGGTCTGGGTGGTCGCGCATCAGCACCTCCGGATCCCAAGCCATTGCGACGAAGATGGTGTCCAGCCCGCTGCTCAGCGGCGTGGTGAAGATTTGACAGATTTGCAGGCCGATGACGAATGCGAACGCGACCACGACCGGCGTATACGAGCCCGTGCTGTTGTAGGCTGGCGACGTGAACAGCAGATATAGATACGCGAGCAGCGCACACGAATACGCGACGAACATGGCTCCCATGCTCAGGACCGGTCCGATGAGGCATTCGTTGACGAGCGCGTCGATACCACGGTCTTTGATCATCCTTGGTCACGTTAGTACAAAATACGCGGAAGTGAGAGGAAGTAGATACTTACTTCCAGGTGTCCTTTGCTGCTGCGACATACGACTTGCCGTACAGAGCAATGTAAGAGAACGCGTAGCGGTTCAAGAACTGCACAGCCCAGTCCAAAAGACCGATCAAGCACTGCAGGCAGCAGAAGATGACCGTTCCGACGATATTTCCGTCTTGCGATGCGCTGCTCTGTGCAGCCGAACAGATCTGCCTTAGCATCTGAATTATGGCCACAATAAGACTTCCGAGGCTGATGCTGCCGAAGCTGTACGTAAGGGATCGCTTGAGCGCACCGCGGGTGGCTCCCTTGGGGAAATGGTTCTTGTTGAAATACCACGAGCCGTATACGCCTGAGATCGTAACGTGGATGGTATTCTTGAGCCACCTATGTCGCTGTTAGCAGTGTCGTCTCTAAGATTCAGGGATGTGACTTACTCGGAGATCCAATACATCGCGAATGTGACAAAGACGAGCAGCCCGATCACTTTGGCTGAGCTACAGCCTCCAGCACCAGTGTTGCACGCCGGGTTCCGTCCTGGTTCGTATTTGACGTAAACGGCTGTCAACGTGACGGAATACCATGCTGCGAACGCGGCTGCGAGGATGCCTCCAATGAGAGAGACCATGTAGACGTGGCCAAACTTCTTAGATACATCGATGGTTGTTTTGAGCATCAGCACAGAGAATGGAATGCGCGGGATCCAGCTGATGAAGCAGAAGACGTAAAAGACGGAGAAGAGGAGAAACACAATGCCGCCGGACCAGTACTTGCGCGAGAGCATGTAGATGGCAGTCACGAAACCGAAGACAATGTTAAGTATGCCAGTAATCCCTATCTGATGTCAGCGTTATGCTCTCATATATGTCTTCCAGTTGCAGCATACAGATGAATTGCTTGGTGAATGCGCGCGCACACCACATGTAGGCATAGCTCAGAATCGAGGCCTGTACATCATGTCAGTATGAGCTCCGGAAGTAAAGCGCGCATCGGACAGACTCACCATAACCAGGACGAACGCGAACAAGATGATCGTGTTGCTGTCCAACCCGAACGTGTTCTTACTGCCGTAGATTCCGCCGTTGAAGTCTATCGTCTCCGAATAGCCATGAATTACAATACCCGAGACCGCCGTGTATCCTAGGAAGACTGCGATGAGCTGCACGTGTTAGCGACTCCTTAGAGTACAATCGAATGTTGCGCGCGCATACCAAAAGGCCAGCCCAAATATCGTTGAACTTCGGTTTCTCAACCTTGAACGCCTGGTCGAAAGTCGGCTTCTCTCCTCCCCACTGCTGTCCGTTCGGCGGTGGAGGTCCAGATGGCGGTCCATACTTCGCATTGTTGTCGTATTGCGGAGGCTGTTGCGGGTAGCCCGCCGGTTCTTGCATCTGATAGTAGTTGTTTTGCTGGGGCGCGCCATTGTAGTAGTCTGCGGCCTCTCCTCGTTGAGCCATGATTGCGGGCGAACACAGCGCAGCGCAGGGTCGAAACACTTGAAGGTCGAAACACTTGAAGGTCGAAAAGCAGTCGCAAGTCGTTTTCGAAGAAAGTTTCCCTTGCGGCGGTGACAAATGGGTGATGCGCGCCTCTAGTGGCTTTAATTAGTGGGCCCGATCTATACGTCACTGACACGATGCGCCCGGCGCAAGTGCTAGCCTTGCGGTTCGTTCTCCGCTTGTTGATCACCCGACTTCGTGCGACTTTGTGCGCATGTGATTCGTTTTCTTCCAAGGCTGCGAGGAGGACGCGGGTGCGAAGACCGATTGTTGATGCTGAGCAGATGGGCGACACATTCCAGATAAACAATCCACCCGAGGCGAGTGGAGCCGGTTGTGTGGCGCGTTCCTGATGCACTTGCTGTGGCGCGACGCTTTCCCCTTCAAACTTGCTGGGCGAGTGCAGCTCCTGGCTTGTACGGCACCACTTCCGTGCCGGAACCCGTCTTGAGCACCACGCATACTCTGCGCTGCCTGCGTAGTCGATGGAGCAGTGCACGGTAGGAGCAAGGAGCATCGTGTGGGTGATGGAGAAATACCAAATGGTGAGCATCGCATCGGCATTAGAGCACAACTCCCTGATTGGTGGGCTAAGACTCTTGCCTGCATTGAGCTCATGGAAGGTGCTATTCAACACTGCAAGCAACTCAACTTCCAATCGTCAGACGCTTGCTGTCATCAGTTCCACACGTACCCAATCGCCCGATGTATGATCTCGGACGTCACATACTGCGCAGCTTACCGCGACTGCACCCCTCTACAGCACACGTACGATACGTATGAGTCACTGAGTTACCTAGTTGCTGACCGTTGCTTCGTGCGCGCTGCGTTTTCAGGCATCCATCCTGAGATGTGAGTATATATATTCAATAGAAAGAATCGTACGTCGAAGTATATCAGGGTCTTCCCAAAGAGTTCACTATGTCGACCGCCCTTCACGCCACTATGAACGAGTCAATGCCGCTCTATGAACAAGCGGAGAGGTACGGTCTTCTACCTTTCCAGCATGAGCACCGAGTCAAACTCTTGCGTCAAATGAACATCCAGGACGGTGACAGAATACTGGAGATTGGATGCGGCCAAGGCGATTGCACTACCGCGCTTGCATTGCTCTACCCCAACTCGCACGTCACCGCCATCGACCCAGCACCATTGGACTATGGAGGGCCAGAAACTTTAGGTCAAGCGCAGGCGCGTATCAAGACCTATGATATCGGAAGTCGTATCGAGTTTGTTCAGGCTACGCCAACAGCACATCTGAAGAACGTGGAGAAGGGCGCATACGAAGTCGCGCTCATGTGTCATTCGCTCTGGTACTTCTCCAACAGAGCTGAGGTGATTTCCACAATGGAAGCGCTAAAAGGCAAGACAAAGAAGCTTTTGATAGCCGAATGGGCATTGAAGAGCCACAGCCGAGAAGGCGATGTTCACGTTCAGGTTGCTTTCACGAGGGCGACGTGTGAAGCGCATATCCCGGACACCACGGAGAATATTCGATCACCGCTATCGCCAAGTCAGATTAAGCAATGTGTAATAGACTCGGGGTGGGTATTGCACCACGATTTGACTATTCCTTCGAATCCTCAACTTGAAGACGCGAAGTGGGAACTCAATATGCTCCTCGGAGCAAAATTCGGTGACGAGTTTGCATTCATGAAAAGGGTCAAGGAGCACATTCAGGAAGAGCGGATTCACTTGGTGCTCGAGGGTATGCTCGAGAGCGTGAAGAGTAGTGTTGACGCAATCGGTGGAGAAGACCATATCAAGTGTATGGATGTGTGGATTGGTTCATTTGCACAGTAGTAGACGTGATGTGGCTTGTGGATACCGATTTGTGAGTATGGAGGACTCCTGCGGTATAAAGCTGTGGGAAAAGGAAGCTTGGTCATCACGGCTTCTATTTCTTGTAGTATTTCCCTCAGATATAGAGACATCATATCTCAACAACTCAAGACCTACTTTCAGCCCTCAGGAAGCTAGATCAACGCGACCAATTGAGTGACAGAAAGCCTGTTCCGTGTCCAGAGAACCACCTACCTTGCAGGCCGGAATCTGCTTCCAAGTGATCGTTCTGTGCGATCGAACCCTCCACAATCCCTTACACGCCCTTCAACATCATAGTACAGAAGATTCACCCAACAATATGGGCACGCTCGGCACCATCGCCGCCATTGTCATCATCGTAATCATCATCGCGATCGTCTTGTACACCACCCGAAAGTACGGCTGCTGCTGTGGCCTTGTCAAGTGGGGAAAATCCAACAAAAAGAAGGAGCTAGACATTGACCTGAAACATGGCAAACCCTCCATATCTCCGCCGACACAACAGCAGCCGCAATGTCAAAACCCAGCCTACCAACAGCCTCAGACGCAGCACGCATCGAACATTCAGTCTCAATGGAACCCAGGGGCTCATCCTGAACAAGGCCAACAGCCGTTTTCCCCACCATACTCTCCGCTTTCGTCACCGCGTAACTTGTATTCGAATGGCTACCCAGTGCCTCCGTAAGCACACACCAGAGATATGCCAGCGCTGTATCCAAAAAAGCATCAGCAACAACTTTACGCCGAGCTCCAACACCCTCCATCGTCCGACCTCACCAACCAACACCCTCACCCCCTTCGCAGCACCACACGTACCCTGTCCTGACACCTTACCCACAACAGCAGAGCGATGGGCAAGCGTAGCTGTACCGCAGCCCCTCTCCAAGGGAACAACCCTACGCTCCCTTACCACCGTTCAGGGCATTGACACCGAACCCACCTGCGACGAGGCCGAGGGCGAAAGGGAGTAAGAGTAAGCCGACGAGTGAAGCGGGGACGCCCGATTCCCCTGTCGCAGACTTTGCACCTGTAAGACCAGAGGCGAAGTCATCTAACGCAGCGACGTTGGATTCTCGGGTGCCAGAGTTCCTGATGAAGGGGAAAGAAAAGGATCGGAAGAAGGCAGCGATGTTGGATTCGGGAAGAACGGATATCACGTCATTGAAGGCGGAAACGAAGAAGAAGAAGAAGAAGAAGAAGAAGAAGAAGAAGAAGAAGAAGAAGAAGAAGAAGAAGAAGAAGAAGAAGAAGAAGAAGAAGAAGAAGAAGA